GAGGGTTCCTAGAGCCATGATATCGTGGTGAATTTGCAGCAATGCATGTTCGTCGTTGGCCTTGGCGGCTTCGAGATTACGTGACATGTCGCCGAAGATGGGGTTCATCACCGACTGGGCATAGAGAACCTGCTTGTCTGCGCTGACACTCGGGGTCGAGGAAATTATTCCAACGGACTCGAAAAGGTATAGTTGACTGTTGAACACGGCGTCCGCGGAGCCCTCGTGGTCCTCGGAAGACATCTCATCACCATCATCGCCCTCCGACGGCACTTCGGCCTGGATAACCAACAAGTCACTCAATGCCTCCACGACAGTCTGTGCCACGTTGCCAATTTGGCTGCGCAGCTGTCTAGCTAGTCGCTGGAACAGATACCACGAACGAGTCTTCACTTTTCGAACAGGATGGTGTACAAGCCGGAGGAAGCTCTCCAGAACACCCGGGATGAGATGAGTGTGGTGAGTGAAGAATGAACTATAACGAACACATATTTCCATGTACTGAAGTTGCGTTACAGGGTGGGTGAATGATCGGATATCGGACTCAACCATTGCAAGCATCATCTCGATGAGACGGTTTGCAGCCATGCCAGTAGGAGAGCCCTTCAGATAGAGACTGCCACCCCTGACGGCCAGATCGCCAAACAAGTACATCTCGTACAAAGCAAGATCTAGGTCACGCCAGTCGAGCTGCCCACCGGATGCCCGCAGTTTTTGGAAAGTGGTACCCACCACCTCTGAGATTGCATCGATGTAAAGCTGCTCATCGGCTGAGGCGATGATTTGCTGTAGAACACCCAGTCTCTTGCGAAGGTCTATGAACTCTGCCTCATCCGTCTGCTCGTCTTCCTCGCCCCAGTTTGAGGTGTCGTCGTACCGCATTTTCGCAATGATCGCCTTCAAGATCGGGAGCAAGATGGATTTGTTTCGCTCCTCGAAGGATGGGTTCGCCTTCGCGAGTTTACGAATATAAGTGAGTATGTCATTGACACATGGAATAACAGTTGAGCAGACTTCGTCGTACTCATCCGAGAAGAATCGCAGAACATGCGGCAGGAAGACCTGCAAAAGGTTCTCTGCCTGCTCCTTAGCGGGGCCAGCATCATTATCCAATACTCGCACAATATCCACGACTGTATTGTTGACAAGCTTGGCAACCGTCTCTGCCAAATCAGTATCGTACTTGAATGTGAATCGGCTTTCCCGTAGTGGAGGACTGTTAGACAGCTGCGTGATGATGGAATCGAGGTTCAAGAAAGCGATCATCTCAATTTTGTCCGAAGGCTTCATCTTCTTGCCAATGATCTCTGTGAAGACATCCACGGCCGCATCGCGCACCCGCTGTTCTCCCTCCCGAAGCTCCTGTTTCTCGGCCCGTCCAAGCTGCTGGAAGAGCAGGTCCAACATAGTCTGATTCACGACAAGACCAATATCGATCCAGCTGACCCAGCTACCAACCGCCTTCAAGCACATCTCGACTATCACATCATCACCTTCCCGCCACACCGCCAAAATCTCCTGCCAGGAGTTGGCAATTTTCTGCATGTCCCTCGCACGGATCAGGTCTTTCAGCGCATTTGCCTTGTCCTGTTCCCCGCGAGATCTGGAAACCAGCACATCGCCGATCTCTTCGTGAATCGAGCTCAGCACACGCAGGTAAAAAACTACACCGATTTGGCTATCCCGGCCCGCGGATTTGTAGGTCAGGTTCAGTAGATCGTCGATGCAAGACTCCCAGCCATTCGCGTAGAGAGTGGAGAAGAGAAAAGTGACGGTCTGTGCAATTTTGTTTTGGATATAAGGAGCGTCGGGCGTGGCAGTGGCCTCCGGGCCGTAAGCCTGGCGAATGTAGGCTAGCACACTATCTCGGACAAGGCCGAGCGAGGCCGGATCGATCAAGCCGACCTGGGCGGCACTATTTACAATCTCCAGACTGACATGCCGTACGACTTCGGGCCGCTGTGGGGTTTGGGTAAAGAGAGAGAGGCAAACTTGCCATCCGGAGGGGTCGGAGCGGAGTTGGTTAAGGTATTCGTAGGCTTGCGATTTTAGGGCTTGGTCGGAGGATGGATTCCAGGCGATCTCAATGGCATTTGCTACCTAGGATGTGTCAATCATCTTGCGTCTTGAGCTGAGGAACGCTCAAGGTATCGGAGGGGTTGAAACGGCGGGGGAGGGGCGCGGTGTTTGGGGTATTGGATTTTTTTTTTTTCGGTTTTGGAGAGAGCTGAACATAATTGGGAGACTCACCTGTTCTTCCATCTTCCAGTCTCCCTTCGATGTGTGGGAAGGAGAGAAGGAAATGAAACGTAGGGAAGGTGTGTGTTGTTAAAATTGTTTTTTTGGTGGAGGAGATATCATTTAAACTGGATATCGTAATCGATCCCGTGCCAGGTTCCGCCTTCGCTTGCCAAGAGAGTATCAAGTCTACAAATCAAATATCTATCTCTGCAGTAGAGAGATATGAAGGAGTTTTGTTTGAAATGCGATGTTCTTTGTGTTTTCCTAAATAGGGCAAGGGGCTTTCACACAGTTGTTTTTGGGGCCCGGAGCTATATTGTTGGGAACATCATACTATATGTACTAGACTTGCTATGCTCTCATTGCTATATAGGGCTTCAAAATAGCTAAGTTATGCCAAAATAATTCTAATATGATCTTCTTTAATGTCTATATTATTTTCAGTTTCCATGTCCATGGGCCTTGTCGGCCTCTTGCTGCAAAACCTGGTGTTCCATCTTCTCAAAGCCCTCGACGGCCTGACCATATTGTTCAAATACCCCCTTTTGATACCCGTCCGCAATCTTCTCGATGAACTCGTCCTCGTTCCATCGCTGACCGACCAGGTTCTCAAATGTTTGACCGGGCTGTCGCTCGATGCCCCAAACAGCCTTATATGCGGCACCCAGGGCGCAGGCATTGTCACCAACATCGAGCGAATATACACCCTCAACGCCGCCGAGGATTTCGCCAGCAATTCTGGCAATTGCCTTGTTCTTAGATCCTCCACCAACGAGATAAACACGGCGTGGCTGGGAGGGAAGTCCATTGCCAGGGCTCTGGGTAAGGTCTCGAGACCGTAAGCGCAGTGAAAGCAACTGGCTCTCAATGATAGCGCGGGCTTCATCCTGCGGAGAGTTCCATCCATCAGTCGTTTCTTGTAGACTTCCGGTATTGGCATCGTATGTAAAGCGCCATTGGCCCTTGCTGATGTTTGGTACGATCTCGTGCCGGGGGAAGAACAGGCCCATCTTCATCGGGGCCGTTGGGTTATGTTGGCCCAATGGGACAGTTTGCAGCGCGATCTTGTCAAAGTTGATCCAGGGATGAGCAGGGGTGTCATTCAGGCTCTCATTGATCGCGTCTCGGACGTGCTCGCGGGCCAGGCCGCCGTTCTTGTAGCACAACATGAACATGTACAAACCGGGGGTAGTAGGATGGTTGAAGAAGTGTGTGGCCGGATCAGGTTTGTAGTTAGGGGTCGACATGAGGAAGGTAGTAGAGGTGCCGAGCGAAACCATTGCATCTGATGGCAACAGTGGCAGTGCAAGAATGGTCGCCGGGTTATCGCCAGTTGCTGGAATGACCGTACAATCGGGACTGAAGCCAAAACGCTCTACGAAATATGCATGAACGTGGCCCAGGTGCAGACCTCCGTCTTCCGGTACCTCGCCTAGCTTCTGCTTGAGATCCTCAACTCCAAAAACACCCGAGCAGAGCTGAATCAGGCGCTCGTCGTACGCCCCTTTCTTGATATTCCATAAGTTCATCCCGCACACGTCGGAGATGTCGAACGGGGCTATATGGCCTAGGAAAAGCGAGGCCAGGAAAGAAGACACCAATGAAATTCTCGAGGTCTTCTTATAAATATCGGGGTGCTTCCTTGTGAATCGGAGGATTTGAGGACCTGTGAATCTCTGATGATAGTGTCAGCACACTCGCTCCGCGTATACTTGAAGACTTCAAGGGCTTCTTACATGGTGTGCCTTGCTTCCGGTGGCCTGCGCCAAATCCTCGGGGTTGCCGAGAGCGGCATCAAACTCGTGACATTCTTTCTGAGTGCTCGAATCTTGCCAATTAGGACTGTATGGGTGGGAGAAAGCCCCTTCCAGCTGTGCCTCGAGGGACTTGCTGGCATCTAGATTGCGGAGAAGTGACTCCGCATTCTGACCCCAGTATACACTTCCGTGCTGCTGCCCCGCACCACTAATTCCCTTCACGCGGCGGAAATCGAGACCCTGCTTGCGCAAGCTTTCTAGCACACCGTCCAATGCCTGCAGCCACAGAGCGACCGGGGCAAACACTTCATGTTCGGCTTCATTGTTCAGCACGCCTTTTTTAATCGAGAACCCCTGCGAGTCGGCATCGAAGTCGAATTTGGCAACATGAACTACCTTAAGATCGGAGTTGACGACTAATCCCTTCAATTGTTGGGTGGAGAGATCGAATCCAATATAGAGGGGAGTATCTGACGCCATGGTTGGAAGTGACAAACACAATTACACGGGGACAATAGAGTAAATAGAGCAATGGAAAAGATAAAGTAGGATTTCTTCCAAATTTAGGCAAAAATAATTCTCAATTAAAAAAGATTGATCATGGGACGCCGGGAAAAGAAGTAGAAGTGCAAGCGGCAAGATTTCCCCGGGGCCAGGTGGGATGAACCGATGATGTAAATGGACTATAACCGGTCTCGTTCCATAGTGGACTCCTAAGCATCTTCTGCTATAAAAAAAAAAGTGGAAAGTGTATACCGAGAGGCCAATTAGGATAAAATGATGATTTTCCCAGGAATGTAAAGTCAGGCCCGAGAAAGTTTTTGCCGGGTAAATAGCACTTTTTAGCTGTCGCTCTGTTAAATTCTCGGTAGAATAGCTTGCCCACCTGACCCCCCCCCCCCCCCCCACTATATACTCTGTACTATGTTATACGATCTGTTTATATTCAATCTATACACATAGCTCCCACATCCAAAGGGTATCATTGCAGAACTCTATCCTTTATTGTCGTTTCCGAGCATCTTGGGGTGTCTCTGGGTCACCACTAATATCCTGTGCAACGAACTCATCTGAGAACGTGAGGTCTTGATGTTCAGCCGGAATGAAACGCACTTTGATCCGCTTAACACCACGAACTCCCGATCCAACAGCCTGGCGAACGGTCTCTTCGATGTGTCGTGACCGACTAATAGCCCAGGCCCCCGGCACAGCCAACTCAATGTCCATTAAGTAGTTTTGACCAGATTTCATGCCCTGCACATCACGAACAATCACTTCATGTCCATCCTCAATATCCTTCAAGGCTTTAGAAGCAGCATCCTCCACGGAGTGTCGGATTTCCTCATCAACTGTAGTATCCGCCAACTCCAAAAGAGATGTACATGTGTTGGCCCAACCGGCCTTGATGACCATCAAGGAAATCAGGACTCCGCCAACTGGATCCAGCCAGGTAGCGTCTTGGAAGATATAGCTTCCTCCAATTGTGAAAAGGGCGACGATACTCGTCAAGGAATCGATGCGGTGGTGAATGGCGTTGGATGCAAGCACGGACGACTTGCGCTCTTCGGCAACCTTCATAGCTGGAATAAAGTTAGTCACCTGATTGATATAAACCGCTCCAGGGTCTTTCTGCCCCTCTCTTTACTTACTAGCATGGTAAAGCCACTCCTTAACCACAATCGAGCCTGCTGCAATCCACGCTGCGTGAATGCTAGGACCTATTGGTCCATGGCTGTGTGAATGACCATGTCCCAAAATCCCCGAGTGTGCTACTGTTTCAGCCACGTCGGGGTAGAACTGAGCCAGCAGGACCTGTCCCGCGTTGAGACCCATAAACACTCCTCCGCAGAGCAGGAGCCCACTGACTCCAAGCGCACCGATGCTCTCGATTTTTCCATATCCGTTGGGGAATCTTTCGCTCGGGGGTTTTAGGGACCAAGCGACAGTCCCCAAAGTTAAAAAGTCGGAGACGAGATCGGTAAGCGCGTGGTAGGCATCAGCGATGAGAGCTTGAGAGTGAAAGACATAACCGCCAATAAACTTTCCAATTGCCATGCACAAATTAGCAACGAGGCCAATCCGTGTAATCCGAACACCAGCATCGCGTTTGTTTGTGGAGGTAAGATAGGTATTGTCGTGGTGGTGGTGGCGGTGGTGACCGTGGCCGTGACTATGGCCATGGTCCCTAGTTTGTGTCATAACGAAAGATGTTGCTGAACGTGGGATGGAACGAGGTCTGGAGTGAAAAAGGAATGAAGAAGCGTCTTTCAAAAAAGGTGCAGAAGTAAGTATACGCCGCTGGGCAGTAAGAGATCTGAAACTGGAGATCCTGAAGTGGAGAGGACGAAGCCTGCATAGGGGCTGCGTCAGCGGCATCACGTCGAGGGCACGCGAGCACAACAAAAGGATTGGACAGAGTGTTCTTTTCGGGTGTCTTTGTGCCAAAAAGACAGGTATTTTTAGGTTTAGTTACATCTAATCTCCCAAAAAGATGTGATGCCTTATGTTGTAAGGTGGGATGTTTTAGATGTTTTCGATCAGGTCATCCGGCAAGTCCCTTGATTTTCCGTTTCCAATCTGAACGCTTACATTTCTCCCTGACCATCTCCATGACTCCTATTGATCCTTTTGACTCGGACTACACCCCAGAGCCTATCATAGTCCTTCTTTATCAATCTCGTATATTACTTGGCTCTTAATCTTTGACGAATCTCGGATATTCTCTTACGCAGTTCCCGCCAAGCTTCCAACTACGCAATTGTTGGAGAACCTCCACTCCCCGTTCCGCCAAGACACGAATGATGGTGCGTCTTCAATGACGACGCCTGCTATCCGGATCCCCTTTACGGGACCATTACCGCCTGCTATTATAATCCCTCGCACTGCAACGACACTTGCAGGCGCAATTGAGGCTGTCAGCAATTTCTTAACTGCGCCACCGTCCCTAAATCTCCGGGGCGTCGATGTGGGAGGACATTCTCAGACGGTACTACTGACTGGCGCAGGTATCTCGGTCGCATCGGGTCTGTCAGATTATCGAGGCGATCAGGGTACCTATCGGCGAAACAAATCCTATCGTCCGATTTATTACCATGAGTTCGCCTCCCGCCATGAGTCGCGCAAGCGGTATTGGGCGCGCAGCTTCGTCGGCTGGCCCGGACTCGTGAATGCAAAGCCGAACTCGACTCATTGGGCAATTAAGGACCTCGGTGACAAAGGATACATCAGTTCGGTGGTGACGCAAAATGTTGACTCTTTCCATTCTCTCGCGCATCCAGAACTATCTACCCTCGAACTACATGGATACTTGCGATCTGTCGTCTGTACTAGCTGTCGAAACCAACTACCCCGCGCTGACTTTCAAGTGTCGCTGGAGAAACTCAATCCAGCTTGGGCGGAGTTTTTGGCTCGTATGGTTGCAGAGGGTGCACTCGATACCGATAATCCGGAGGAGCAACGGCGGAAAGGTTTGAAGCTGAACCCGGATGGAGATGTTGATCTTGCCGAAGCGCCATATTCTACTTTCCGTTATCCTTCATGTCCAACCTGCTTGGAAAATCCTCCCATGTTGAGTGATGGCACGAAGGCGAATGTAGAGGTAGAAAGTGATGGTGCATTATCGGCGACTTCAAACGCTGGCATTTTGAAACCGGCCGTGATCATGTTTGGTGAAAATATCGATCCACTGGTTAAGACAGCGGCTGAAGAGGCCATCGATGATGCTGGGCGGCTACTCATCTTGGGTAGCAGCCTGGCCACTTTCTCGGCGTGGCGCCTAGTGGAACGAGCACACAAACGAGGCATGCCTATTGGTGTTGTCAATGTTGGGGGCGTGAGGAACGAATCCCTGCTTTTTGGGAATCTTGGACACGAACCCACGGCTCATGTCCGGTGTAGCCATCCAGCCCAGTCAGTCCTCCCGACCGTTGTTTCCCAACTCCCAGTCAATCTATAGATAAAAAAAGAAATTTTAAGAAATAGGGAATTAAGATCATTGTGAAATAATGCGAGGTCATTTTAAACAAAAATGCACATTATAAAAATAGAAATAGAGAGAGCAAGAGAATAAGCGCCTGCTAACTCAGCCAAAAAAAAAAAAAAGGGCAAGTCGATAAGTCCCGGGCCGCTCAACGCGGGGCTCCTCCCTCACGTCTCAGCATGGAACACTTCAGGGATCCTACAGCCCACCCTTTAAAGATCGCCTCAAATCTGGTCTCTCCTGGTCACTTTCTCTTTCATTCTAAACCCAAACCATCGGGGCCACCGGCTTCCACACTTCCACCGAAAATGGACAAATCTCAGCAGCCCAGTTCCTTCCAGCAGCTAGAAAAGGTATTCATTTCTACTTGTCGAGTCTTAGATCTTTGCTAACTGGTATTTGTCTTATTTCTAGCTCGGTGAAGGCACTTATGCTACCGTACGTCCCAATCTCTCCTCTCTCCACCTGCTCCTAGGCTGATTGCCACTCCCCCCCCCCCCTCTCCTCCCCCGTTCACCGCTGATGCAGAATACTACAGGTCTTTAAAGGGCGCAATCGCCAGACCGGCGAAATGGTGGCGCTGAAGGAAATCCACTTGGATTCCGAGGAGGGAACACCATCGACTGCAATCCGTGAGATCTCGCTCATGAAGGAGCTGAAGCACGAGAGTATCGTTTCACTCTACGATGTCATCCACACAGAAAACAAACTCATGCTTGTTTTTGAATTCATGGACAGAGATTTGAAAAGATATATGGACACTCGCGGTGATCGTGGACAGCTGGATCCTGCCACAGTCAAATCCTTCATGCATCAGCTACTCAAGGGCATCGCCTTCTGTCATGACAACAGAGTCCTCCACCGAGATCTGAAGCCACAGAACCTCCTGATCAACAAGAAGGGCCAGCTTAAGCTAGGTGATTTTGGACTAGCTCGCGCATTCGGAATTCCAGTTAATACATTCTCCAACGAAGTCGTCACTCTGTGGTACCGCGCACCGGACGTCCTCCTCGGGAGTCGCACCTACAACACCAGCATTGACATCTGGTCCGCTGGCTGCATTATGGCAGAGATGTACACGGGTCGTCCGCTTTTCCCCGGCACAACCAACGAGGATCAACTGATCAAGATCTTCCGTTTGATGGGCACACCCTCCGAACGTACATGGCCTGGTATCTCACAGCTGCCAGAATATAAGTCCGACTTCCAGATCTACGCCACGCAGGATCTGTCCCTGATCATCCCTCAAATGGATGCTATCGGGATGGATTTGTTGAACCGTATGCTCCAACTCCGTCCGGAGATGCGTATCAGCGCCAATGAGGCCCTGCAGCACCCGTGGTTCCATGATCTACCTCAGATTCAGGCTAAATTACAGCAGCAACACCAGCAGCAACAGATGGCTGGATATGGAGGCATGATCCCCCCGCAGCCCGCTTATTAGCGGTCTAGACTGCGCATGACGAGATGACGAGCTCGATTAGACAATTGACATGGGAGAATTCGGCGTTATACCCGATGATGGATATTTTTGCTTCCTTTTTTCTTCTTTTTTTCAACTTGATATTGCGGGTTTGGGGCTAGGTTTTTTTTTTCAAAGATGAAGAGTATCTGGCGTACCTCGAGATGGATCGACTTCGGAACTCTGTTCTGTTGTCTTGACGATGCTCCGAAGCACTTCTCCGGATGTTATCAACCTTATGCTTGTTTGATAAATAGCTGTTCCTCGAGAAATGAATTCTGCCATCCACCCCAAGCTGTATTTATTGGCTCACAGTGCGAGACATGTGCAACAAGTGCTTGGATCTAGTTCAAATGTTCCCGTTTGAACTGCAACCCTCGGGGATATCTTGGCTTGACACTGCAACTAGTTCTTTGTACTCCTTACACCGGCCAAGGATTTTCGGGATGAACAAGCTCATGGCTGCTGTAATGCGCTTTATTAATCGGAAGTACATACCCGGGTGTAAGTACCTAGAGCATCCCTTTCAAGCAGGTATTACGTTAGCGTTTGAATATCTTCATGCTTATCTGTTCGGAATAATCTTTCAAACATGCAGTTACCCGTATTTCAATCTGGTCTTCAGCAACTAATGGGATGTGAAAACATCGGAGCAAAACAGTTGTGTTAGTGTCACACCGAACAGAGTGTATGTATTTCACAAGGCCCCTTCTTGTCACCGTTGTACTCTTAGCATATTCAGGTTACTTCACCCTTAGCTGTTATAACTCTAACAGCCATAGAGAACAAAGACTGCACGCCTAAATAACGACTTTGATCATTTGTGCAACCCAAGGGCTATACTTCCAGAGCTTGTTTACGCAAACTAGTATTGGTCCCTTATTCCCTGGCCACCTAGACACCTATTTCCTATTTTGAGAATCCTAGGATACTTACTGCACGTTGAGGTACCACCCACACTGGAATCTTTCGCATGTATTTCATTGGGAGTATTAGTTTGTGCCCTGGCCCATGAGGGGAAATTATTTGAAAGACACCCTGCTAGGTTCTTACTCGTATTCTTGGCACTTGTTTGAGCCTAATACTGTTGGGGCCATATCCTTTGTTATATGGGCATCAGGCTAGCATCTTCATAGCTATAAGCCGAGGGGAATATCAGCGATACTCTGATTGGGCTTGTCTTGCCTTATTTGTCATTCGGACTTTTTATTCTTTTCTTTGTTGCCCGTTACGGATAATAAGCAGGTGGTATTGTGCTTTGGCCATATCTACTCGAACTGTTTGCCTTCTGTTTCGAGGGTGAACCATAACCAAAAGAATAAGTCCCTGCTGGTAGATCTACGATCATCTGGTGTCCTTGATCTATCACAAGCAATCTTAGCTTTGTTGAACCACGAGGATCTTCTCGGTTCATATCTACCAGATATAACCTCCAGGCGCTGGAAGCCCCCTCCCTGCGAGGTCATTGATCATGATACCATGACGCTGTCAGAACGACAAATATTGGCCATCTCGGCCACAGAGCGTGTTTGCTCGACTATCTCACTGGTCGGCACTTTTGTTATAGTCGCTACTTTTATCTGGTCCCCCACGTTCCGTAAACCCATCAACCGCTTAGTGTTCTATGCATCATGGGGTAACATCATGGCCAATATAGCCACCATCATATCGGCAGACGGAATTCATTCTGGGGTTGATAGTTCTCTGTGCCAGTTCCAGGGGTTTTTGATTCAATGGTTTGTATCAAATTCGTAATTAAATGCCCTTAGCAGATGACCACTAATATGCAAGGATACATAGGTTCATGCCCGCCGATGCACTATGGACATTCGCAATGGCATGCAATGTCTACCTAACATTCTTCCACAAATACAACTCTGAGCAACTACGCCAGCTTGAATGGAAATATGTACTCTGCTGTTATGGTATTCCATTTGTCCCAGCTTTCGCATACTTCTTCATCAAGACCCAAGCTCGAGGCCGGATATATGGCTCTGCCATCGTAAGCAAAACCCCAATGCCCTGCCTTCTATCAGCCTATGCTAATCAAATCACCTTCCCAACAGCTCTGGTGCTGGGTATCTATACAGTGGGACTTCCTCCGCATCGCTGTCTTCTACGGACCAGTCTGGCTCATTATATCGTTAACCTTCGCCATCTACCTACGAGCAGGCACGGTAATTTACCAGAAGCGGCGCCAGCTTCGGAACATCGGCGGCGTGGACTCAGATCCTGTCCCAGAATCTCCCTTCGCTATGTTGACGGGCATTCAGGTTACCAGAGAGATCGCTTGTTCAACTCCAGAGCGCCGGTCCTTGTCGGAGAGCAACGCCCGCGGGCTGCCGTGTGCTGCGTTCAGAGCATACTCGGTCACTATTGAGGGTGGGAGCACTGCCAGCACACTTCAACCTTCCAGCTCAAAAATAGGCCCCAGTCCTCTTCAGCAGGAACAATCTGTCAAGCCCGTGCGGCCGGATGCAGTGGACTCACAGCGGAGGTCGACGTCCACGGAAACCAGTTCGGCTACTTGGGCGTATACGAAATACGCTATGCTGTTTTTCATTGCTTTGCTTGTTACATGGGTAGGTCTAGATGGAGTCCGTTATAGTCTGGAAACCGATGTCGGTTCTTTTTCGTGTGTTGATTGTTTGACATTGCAGGTCCCCTCGACGATAAACAGAGTCTATTCCCTGGCTCGTCCTAATGACTTTAATTTCAGTCTCAACTATGCATCTAGCTTCGTCTTGCCACTCCAGGGCTTTTGGAACAGCCTTATATATGTCTCTATCTCATGGCCTGCGTTCAAAATACTTTGGTCTGACCTGCATGGCCGCGTATGCTCATGGCGTATACCCCATTCGGTGACAAATCTACAATCCTTTCATCTACGGAAAGGCTCTCAAAGTCCAAGTCCTGTTCTTTTGGTCAAAGCTGAGAATGAGGATAACAGACGGAGGAGTTGGTTGGGCTTAGATCCATTAAGTTAGGGCTGGAAGTTTGGTTGATAGCCGAATGCCTCGTTTCTACTGCATGATACCATGTGCACTACTCTATGTAATTGACATAACCTTATTGGCACTTTATAGCATTTAACGAAGTATGAACATCGAAAACATTCAAATATCAATGTAATGTACGATTCAATTAATTCGATCTATAGAAACACGTGATCGGCGCGTCGCGTTGAATGAGGTCCGTCTAATAACCCCGAATCCAAATTCCTAAAGAACTACAACAGCCTCCTACACACCAATCCCGCTATACCCGCATGATCTTCGTTGCTTCCCACTCTCCGACTTTATCCTGACAGCAGAGAAATCCATCATGGCCGAACAAAACTCCCACCGATCGGCCGCCGCGTCGGCGTTCCCTCCCCCGCTAGCTCCAATCTCCCAATCCCCAGGCCCGCGCGCCTCACGTCTAAATCAAGTCTTCGAGCAGGCTCTGGCACGCACGCTCCGTGCAAACTCATATGCGAACTTTGCGGGCTGTTTCCCAACACCCGCGCGCCACGTTCCTGCTAGTTTGGAGGGTGTCTGGCGGCAGCTGAACGCGAAGCTGGAAGCGAATGCCAAGGCGGAGTTCGATGATATTGTCGCGGAAAGGGATGCCGTATCGCATTTAAATGAGCTTGATCGGCTGGTTGGGGATGCCAGAGCTAGGAGGGACCAGGAGGGGGAGAATGCCGAGGGACAAGAGAAAACAGTGTATGTTGGATAAATTTAGTCGGTTATTTGGACTATGTTTGTTTTCTGTGTTGGTTCTGACTTCTAACTTTGCTTACTATACAGTGCGCATACACTCGGCGCCGAAGATCTGTACAAGGCGCACCTTACGCCCTATTTGCAGGAAGCGCAGTCGACCCTTAATACCCGACTCGAGGCTACCCATGCAGAAAATGCGGAGCTTGCGCAGATTGTGCAGGCGCAGAGGCTGGAAATTGAGCGGCTATTGTCGCGCCTTGGATTGGTCGTTTCGGATATTGAGGGTGCTGCTACGGCGGCCACGCAATTCAGCAGACAACATCACATTCGCCAGGATGCCATCCAGATGGACGAGGAAGTAAACACCCGTCCTGGTCTCTGAGTGTGTGGCAGAAATTGTTTTTCTATCCGATTCATGATGAAATAAGGGCACTCAGTTCCCTACCGTCAACCATTCCGTCTTCCACCATATCCTGCGCCACGGTTATCACCTGTTGAAGGACCGTTGATTTGAGCTCCTCAAGCTTCGTGTTTTGGCCTTCAATCGCTGCAGCAATCGCCTCCTTGCAAGTTCCATCGCGTTCTTCCTCGACCGCTCCATCGCGACGGGCCAGAGCTGTTGCTCCGCGGTAGTACGTCTGAGCGTTGCGCAGGAGCATAGCTCCGTTCTGCTTCGCCATAGTGTGATTCCAGGGCGCTCGTCCAAGACGCCATCTATGCATCTCCGCGTCTCCGCGACCAAGGTGGATCTTGGGCAAGTTATCGACATCTGGGAGCTTGGTAGCAGCCGTCAATGCGTCCAGGGCGGTTGAAAGTGACTTCCAACGCAATGCTACCACGTTCTCAAACGCCTCGTCATCTTCCGGTGGAGGGATATCCGAAAGCGCCTGGTTTAACGACGTGAGTGCATCTGCCTTTCCACACAGTCCTTCAGGGTCCGCGGATACATCCAGCTCTGGACCAAAAACGTGTCCAACCTCTTGCTGGTAGGTCTGGATATCAGTATGTCCGCCTCGGTACAGCAAATCGTTCAAGGCACAGATGAACTTGGCTCGTGCCAAGGCCGCCTCATACTGTCTGTCTGAGCCTTCGGCATAAGCAGGCAGTCGTGACTGTACAAGCTCCGACGAGTACTCTTGCACCCAACCAACACCGCCCGCACCGGGGTTAGAAGTCAACAGGTTACACAGAGTAGTCAAAGTCTCCAGCTGCGCCACTGCCGTGTCCACGAGGGTATTCTTTGTGACAGGCTCTACAATCATCGCCCACTGTTCTTGCTCCTCGCCTGCAGACTCGGCTTTGGACTGGTCCGCGGCCTGTGGTACAGCCTCCGGCTCCGGCGGCACCTCCCCGGATTCCATCAGTTCGATCTCCTCTTGCATTTCCGTGTACTTCATCTCCTGTACCATCAGACACCGCTGGAACAGCTCAATCGCCTCTTGCAGATAGGTCCCCGCCTGCACCTGCTCCTCCTCGCCGGGATGCTTTAGGTTGGATATCAACTCCGCTAGACTGGTCAGCACCTGGCCTGAATTGAACAACACGTCAGCATTGTCTTGCTCCAGGGCCAGCGCATCCCGGTGCGACTGCAGCGCAACCTGCAAGAGATCCCCCTGTGGCGCTGGCAATTGGGCCGCTAGTTTGGGGTGCTGGGTGATTTCATATTGGACTCGTGCTCTGGGTGGGGTGTTAGTAGAGGTAAATTCAAAATAACACCTCTCAATATCGGATGAAATTGAAAGAATGCAAAAACAATGGCTTATTTTGATGTCGGTGCCAACTGTACATACTTGTTGTAAGCTAGATCAAATGTGCCGGGATGTTTTTGTAGTCCTTCGTCATAGTTGGTGATGGCCCGCATAAAGAAGCGCATGGACTTGGCCGCGTCTCCGGCCCGCCATTTCTCGCCAGCTTCTTCTAGCTCGACACCGGCTGGAGAGGGAGTTAGTCTTTGTTATTAGCTTATTGGGGTTCAAATACACACCTGCAAGAAAATCATCTGCGGTTACAGGTACCTATATTAAAATGTATGAGATCATTGACTATGCTGTTCTGTGCGGGGTGTATTACTACCGCATACCTGTTTTGAGGCAGCCTTCTTCTTCGTCTTTGTCTCTCTGAGAAAAGATTTTGGCTTCGCCATATTTGCGAGAATGATGTTGATTGAATTGAATGAAGGTCGACAGAGATGGATGTGCACCTTGGAAATTGAAGTAAATCCGGCAGAATCTGCGCGGTGTGGGAGTATAACTCTACCTAAGTAGTTTCTTTCACCTCGACGAGGTCTACATATAACAATGATAATGATAGTTATTGTTATAGCTTTGATGTTTCATACTTTTTAATGTACTAGCGTAAGACTTCTTTGAACTATCTATAGAATGTGTGACTGAAAGACTGTCAAGGCCTGATTCTTCGGATCTGCATAGATGCCAAGACTATATGACTGTAAGCGTAAGCGGTTTTGTTTCATGTTGTTTCGGTAGTAATGCTCGTACCTAGTGTTGCAAAAGGGGGTCTGTGTTGCCAGCTCTGTGTCTGTATACAAAAAGGTACAGAGTTAGGCTCTCCCTTACTGCTATACGGCCTTATTGCTATATGACCTTACTGCTATATGACCTTGCTGCTATACGATGGATGTTATAGATACTAGTACAATAATAACGGTAAATAATCTAGTTTCATTATCACCTTACTATAATATTCAATATAGCTATAGAGTTACTCAAATAAAGGATATAACTAGAAGTAATACATATATATAGTTCCCTATATAAACCTTCCAAGGTACCTAGATAAGTTACCTCTTACCGAGATTAATCGGCTCGCGTGGCAGACAGCACGTGGCAAAGATACCCCCGGTAAAACTTTCTAGAGAAGGGGAGTTTAGATCATCATTTGATCATTGGATTGTGATTTATATATATAATCATACCATAAATATCGTTGGAAGTTTCGTAGCAAAGACCTCCAGGGCTCTTATGCTCATCTTACGATTACGTCGATCTTTCCAAAAAAAAAACCCTTCCACCCCTTTCCCACTGTCTTTCCCCACCAATTTGACCCACCCCGTTTCGTCTTCTCCTTTCTGTCACTCTATTTCTACTCTGTGCACGGCATTGGTACTTTTGCGCCTGATACCAACACATATTTCCTTCTACCAGACTGAGTATGCATCCCTTGTGAATTCAAGATCGTCAGGCACTAGGCCTCAGTAATACCCGCTAATAGGTCAATTCTGCAGGCTGCATTCCATTTAAGGCCTTCCTATACCTACAATTTGAAACTGAGCCCCTCTTTCGGCACAAATTCTCCTCTTTATAACAACCATATCACTTCCCAGAAATGGCTCGTCAACCCTCCCTCGACTCTGAGCGTCCCATCATGGCTCAATCGGTAGGAGATTCCTCCCCCTTTCCCTCAACCTACTCGGCTCAACCCTAGGATCTTTACATTCATATCATTTGAGAGCCGCGCAAGTCTAACCTGCTATAGAACCGAAACTCAAAGCGATTCTCTACCGTCAGTGGAAGCCCCTCGCTGGCTTCCTCTGATTTACCCAGCGGCGATCCCAGAATCGCTGACATCTCCCACCTCCACGAAGGCTTTGAGCGCCTCGAGAACAAGCCTCTCAACAAACAGCGATTTATCCCCACGGAGGAGAAGTCAAACAACCTAAACAAACTCGCTCTTGGGGCTAAGGTCGAGCGCGCTCTGGGTCGGAGGATGACTAGCCAAGACGCTGTCATGCGCAAGCCTCTTTCTGAGAAGACTGAGGCGCGTGCTGACTAGCCCTGATTGCGACGATACGTGTAGAAGATAAATGACCTGCCGTGTGCTTTGCTCGCTGCGTGTTTGACCGTCTCTGATCGTTTGCTTGCTTCTTATTCCTTCTACTTTTTTTTCCATCCCAGCATCCGAGCCTCTATCATGATGGCTATTATGGTTGCCATCTTTTTTTTTACACTCACCCTTTCATGTCCTATCATACCCCTCTTTCTTTTTTTCGGATCAGTTTGTGGCGTTTTGACTTGATGAGATTCGCATTATTTCCTTAGTATGAACTTCCGGATCTGGTTTCTTCTTCTCTTTCCTCTGACTATCCCGTATCTTGAATAATCATGAAACCTTTTTTCAACTTTATAAATATGCATTCTTTATAGAACGATAATATCGTAGAAAGTATACCAAGTATAAATTCTGCCGGGCGGTATCCACCCGCCAAGCCCACGCGAAACCCGCACGGAGTCAAAGAGAGAAGGGAAGTTCTTTTCTTCGAAGGCGAATTCCCACAGCTTCATTCCATCTCTTTTTTTTTTGTTTCCCATTTTTCTATCTCCCCCACCACGCCTCTGTCCATCTTCCAGACCCACATTTTCTCGATCTTTCTCATCTTTCTCTCCAAATCCTCCATCTCCCTTTTTGCGCTAAAAGAACTCTTTCTCACTTCCACCTATACTTCCCGCTTTCCCGCAATCTCAAAGCGTCATCAGTTCTATTCTTTTGATTTCCTTCTATCCTCTTGAATTGCTTGCATTGGTGCTTGGTCCATTTCGCATCGTGAGTTCCAATCTATCATGTCCAACTCGACATGGTACAGATCTCGAAAACTAATGAGCATCCAGTGAAGCGAGGGAAAAACGAAGAATTTCATTTTTAGATCGTTCATCGCTTGCTTCTACCTTTTGAAAAAAAGCCTTTCGGCCGTTATAATCTCGGCCATCATTTTCGCTGCGCTCGGTTACTTTTAATCTCATTTTCTACCCGAAACCGAAGATAAACCCCTCAATCCTACGCCATGGCCGACATGACTCAGGTTCCCATCAATGGCAACTACCCTGCCCAGCACGGCTACCCCGAATCCTACAACCACGCATCTGTTACCATGAACACTGCTGCCAGCTTCCAACCTGCGCAGTCCTCCACCCCGACTACTGTCACTCCCACCGACCAGCAGAAGAATGAGATCTCCAAGGATGAGGTCGGCTGGTATTTCGTCGAGCAGTACTACACCACCATGAGCCGCAACCCCGACAAGCTTCACCTCTTCTACTCCCGCCGGTCTCAGCTGGTTTTCGGCACTGAGGCTGAGTCGGTTCCCGTCACCGTTGGTACCAAGGTGAGTTTGATTCGATATCTCATAATTTGAATGTTGTCTAACCCCACTTTTATAGGCGATCAACGAGAAGCTTAACTCCTTGAAGTTCCAGGATTGCAAGGTGCGCGTCCTGAATGTGGATTCTCAGGCGTCTTTCGACAACATCCTGGTCTCAGTCATTGGTGAGATCTCCAACAACTCCGAGCCATCCCGCAAGTTCGTGCAGACTTTCGTTCTCGCCGAGCAGCCTAATGGCTACTATGTTCTCAACGATATCTTCCGATACATGGCCGAAGAGCCAGAGGAAGAACTTGAGCAGCCCACCCCAGCTGCGCCTGTTGCCGAAGCCCCCGAGGCCGTTGCCGAGGTTCCTGCTGAGGAGGCTCCGGTGGCTGACGAAGTCCCCGTCTCCAATGTGGATGAGAAGGTCGAGGCGGTCGAGGCCAACGTTCAGGTTGAGGAGCCCAAGGAGGTCGCTCCCCAGACCAACGGTGCCCCCGTTGAGGAGGAGACCCCCGCTCCGGTTGCTGCCGTCGAGGCTGAAATCGTGAATGACGAGGAGCCTCCCACCCCTGAGCCCTCTCCCGTTCCCGTTGCTGAAAAGGAAGAAGTTCCCGAGAAGGAGACCTCAACCACTCCCGCTGCCCCTAAGACCTGGGCTAGCATTGCGACTACCTCTTTTGCAGCTAAGGCTGCTGCTGCCGCCAAGGCTTCGGCTGCTCAGGCTGCTCCTGCTGCACCCGCTGCTCCTAAGACTGATGCTCCTAAGACTGATGCTCCTAAGACTGATGCTCCTAAGGCTGCTGCTCCCGCTGCTCAGGCTGCCCCTGCCGCTCAGCCCGCTGCTACCCCCGCCCCCGCAGAGGCCCCTTCTACCGAAGCTGGATGGCAGACCGCCGGCCACGACCACAAGAAGTCGCAACCCCGTGCTGAGGAGACTGTCCTTGCTTATATCAAGAACGTCAACGAGAAAGTCGATGCCAGTCTGCTTAAGCAGACCCTGGCTCGTTTCGGCAAGCTGAAGTACTTCGATGTCAGCCGCCCCAAGAACTGTGCCTTTGTTGAATTCAACGAGCCCTCCGGTTATACCGCTGCCGTTGCCGCCAACCCCCACCAGATCGGCAGCGAGCAGATCCTCGTTGAGGAGCGCCGCCCCCGTGGTAACGCATACGGCAGCAACGGCTTCCCTGCTGGCCGTGGCGGTGGTGCCGGTCGTGGTCGCGGTGACCGCGCCGGCAGCCAAGGTCGTGGTGGCTTCCAGCGCGAGGGCCGTGGCAGCTTCACTCCCCGTGGCCGCGGTGGCAACGTTGCCGCTAAGGGCCGCCCCAGCCAGCCCCAAGCTGCTTAAACACTTTACGTGATTTTGATGATCCTCTACGTTCTTCCTCCCCGTCGGTGTCACATCTCTCGCAGTTCCCGTGCCCATTCCTCCGACGGTTGATCTCAGGATCTGTATTACTCCGATTTTGATTCTCTTTTTTCTTTTGCCCCGTCTCTTCCTAATGACATGTGTTACGTGACTATTGCCTCCCCCTTTTTTCCCGTGACAGTGCATATTAGCGGTTGGTCCGGGTTGGCTGGAAAAGTTGCGTCTCTTTCCTCCCCTCTGGGCACTTGTGTTTTAACCCGACCTTTTTTTTTTGATTCTGCTCTTTATCTTGCTGGGATCGGGTCTCGTCTTCGACATTCACGATTCTCTTTTTTTTGCACCATATTCCTTTCTTTCAGTGTCTACCTGCCATGATCTATTCCTTGCACCTTTTTTTTTGCAAGACGTTATATCGCATTTTTTTTAACTAGCATAGCAAACTCCAGGGTTTTACGGTGGTGCGCCATCCCGGTCTTTCTTGTATTTTGCTTTTTCTTGTATGTTCCTCTTTTTTCTATTTTCTTGAGGATTCATTCTCTTTGTGATGTGTAAATGAGATATTCTCAGGGGGAATTACAATTGTATCATGGGTTAAGGCTATCGAATATGGATTAGAGAATAATGAATCTTAAACTTGCTATATATCTATCTACTGTGTCCATCACCTGATTGATACTCGACCTCCAATGCTTACCTAATAGCCAGAGTCGACGAGTCATCCATCTGGGGAAGATTCTAGAGTTTTAATGCCTAAGGCATCTTTATATTGGCCACTGTTCAATACATATAAAGAGGTAAAGAGGTAAAGAGCCGAAAGACTGGGGAAATTAAAGAAAAAATAATAATTTGAGCGGCAAAAAGCAGAAGAGTCTAGAATAACAAGAAAGACTGCAAGGTTGCCTGAACGACGAGTGGAAGTTGCTGGATCATCGTAGAAACTCTCCACCAGAAATTTTTGGAAACACAAAAGGAACTGGCCCGCTCACCTTCACTCTTTCTCTTCATCTCTTCCATTTGCTTTGGTTTCTCCCCCCCAGAGCTTCTTTTTTTTAATTACTTTGCTTTCTTGTAAGAGATCCCCTTTCCTTGTTCTCCTCCCACCGCTTCCCCCAACTTTAAAAAAAAAAACCCCCCCCGCCTCCCACCGCTTGATCAGACTTTGCATCTCCATCTCTCTACATATCTCTCAATTGCTAGAAATCCATCGTTTTCTAACTTGTCTCTCAGAATCACAATCCGCCATCATGTCTGAGACCTTCGAGTTCCAGGCTGAGATCTCTCAGCTTCTCTCGCTGATCATTAACACTGTCTACTCCAACAAGGAAATTTTCCTTCGTGAGTTGATCTCCAACGCCTCCGATGCTCTCGACAAGATCCGCTATGAGGCTCTCTCCGACCCCTCTAAGCTCGATTCCAACAAGGATCTGCGCATTGACATCATCCCCGACTTGGTGAACAAGACCCTCACCATCCGCGATACCGGTATTGGTATGACCAAGGCTGTAAGTTTCTGCCCTCTGAGATAAATCTCTTCCACTATATATCTATTGAGCCATGAAAACTAATATTCATCTTTTATAGGACCTGATCAACAACCTTGGAACAATTGCCCGCTCCGGTACCAAGCAGTTCATGGAGGCTCTGTCCGCCGGTGCTGATATCTCCATGATTGGCCAGTTCGGTGTCGGTTTCTACTCTGCCTACCTGGTCGCTGACCGTGTCACCTTTGTGTCCAAGCACAACGATGACGAGCAGTACATCTGGGAGTCCGCCGCCGGTGGCACTTTCACCCTGAAGGAGGACACCGAGGGCGAGCAACTCGGCCGTGGTTCCAAGATTATCCTTCACTTGAAGGATGAGCAGATGGACTACCTCAACGAGGCCCGCATCAAGGAGGTTGTCCGCAAGCACTCCGAGTTCATCTCCTACCCCATCTACCTTCACGTCCTGAAGGAGACCGAGACCGAGGTCCCCGATGAGGAGGCTGAGGAGGCCGAGGAGGATGATGAGAAGAAGCCGAAGGTCGAGGAGGTCGACGATGAGGAGGAGAAGAAGGAGAAGAAGACCAAGACCGTCAAGGAGTCTAAGATCGAGGAGGAGGAGCTTAACAAGACCAAGCCCATCTGGACTCGCAACCCCGCCGACATCACCACTGAGGAGTACGCCTCCTTCTACAAGTCCCTCTCCAACGACTGGGAGGACCACCTCGGTGTCAAGCACTTCTCCGTTGAGGGTCAGCTTGAGTTCCGCGCTATTCTCTTCGTTCCCAAGCGCGCTCCCTTCGACCTGTTCGAGACCAAGAAGACCAAGAACAACATCAAGCTCTACGTTCGCCGTGTCTTCATCACTGACGATGCTACCGACCTCATCCCCGAGTGGCTCAGCTTCGTCAAGGGTGTTGTCGACTCCGAGGACCTTCCCCTCAACCTGTCCCGTGAGACTCTCCAGCAGAACAAGATCATGAAGGTTATCAAGAAGAACATTGTCAAGAAGACCCTTGAGCTCTTTGTTGAAATCTCCGAGGACCGTGAGCAGTTCGACAAGTTCTACCAGGCCTTCAGCAAGAACATCAAGCTCGGTATCCACGAGGACGCCCAGAACCGCCCCACTCTGGCCAAGCTCCTCCGCTACCAGTCCACCAAGTCCGGCGATGAGCAGACCTCGCTCGCTGACTACATCACTCGCATGCCCGAGCACCAGAAGAACATGTACTACATCACCGGCGAGTCCATCAAGGCTGTTGCCAACTCTCCCTTCTTGGATACCCTCAAGCAGAAGAACTTCGAGGTTCTGTTCCTGGTTGACCCCATTGATGAGTACGCCTTCACTCAGCTGAAGGAGTACGACGGTAAGAAGCTCGTCGATATCACCAAGGACTTCGAGCTCGAGGAGACCGAGGAGGAGAAGACCGAGCGTGAGACCGAGGAGAAGGAGTTCGAGGACCTTGCCAAGGCCCTCAAGAACGTTCTCGGTGACAAGGTCGAGAAGGTTGTTGTCTCCTCCAAGCTGGTCGGCTCCCCCTGCGCCATCCGTACCGGCCAGTTCGGTTGGTCCGCCAACATGGAGCGTATCATGAAGGCTCAGGCCCTCCGTGACACCTCCATGTCCTCTTACATGTCTTCCAAGAAGACTTTCGAGATCTCCCCCAAGTCTCCCATCATTAAGGAGCTTAAGAAGAAGGTTGAGGCCGATGGCGAGAACGACCGTACCGTCAAGTCCATCACCCAGCTGCTCTTCGAGACCTCCCTGCTGGTCTCTGGCTTCACCATTGAGGAGCCCGCCAGCTTCTCCGAGCGCATCCACAAGCTCGTCTCCCTTGGCCTGAACATTGACGAGGACGAGACCGCCCCCGTCACTGAGGCTGCTGCTCCCGCCGAGGCTACCGGCGAGAGCACCATGGAGGAGGTTGATTAGATAAATTCTTTCAACTCTTTCGATATTGCTAATTTTTTTTTTAAGTCTTACGGGAAATGGGAAACGGGATACGACCCTTTGTTGATGTTTTTTTATCTTTTCATTTTATGTGTTCTACAATAAGAACCAATACCTTTTCATATTTAAATTCAGAACTGAGTACGTAGACTGTAATATCTTGCTGTAGTTTGTCCATCTGAGGCCATTGTAGACTTTCATCGTGCCTCGGAAACAGTAACCACAGATGAGCCTCTCAACTCACAGCACCTTTCAAGTTACAAACTTCAATTCATTAGTTACCACCCTGTTCTCTCTACAGCCCCTTACGTATGTAGCTATCCATTTTAGTGGACTACGCCTTTACTACGCGCAATATAACGACACCACCCCATCCCCTTGCTTGACTGTTTAAATAATAAAGTACATAGTCAAGTAAAGCAATTTCCAACTTTAACTCAATACTCATCTACCACCTCTTACATGATATCATTGTGTACTCGTCACCAACCAAACTAACCCACGGAGTACTCCTACAGATGAACCCTATGCAGCTTTTCATGCTGTACGCTATATTCCTAAATGTACCCTTATATAGTATCAATTGGGCGCGTAACTCAGTTGGTAGAGTGTTCGCTTTGCATGCGAAAAGTCCAGCGTTCGAATCGCTGCCCGTCCATTTCTTTTTTTTCTTTGGAACCTTATTCCAGACGCCTTCCCAATCTTGCCTAAAACTACTTACTATTTTTATGTAAGTTTTGGGAATTATATTCGAAGGTTGTTTCTGCTATGTAAATTATGAGCACTACAATGTAAATAATTTCGACTGGTTTGTAAAAATCTGGGATTCGAGATTCGTAGCAGCAGAAGACACAGTACCCCCGTTAACGAACGCGGATATAACGAATACTCGATTTAAACGAATTAAAACGGCGCTTTTTTTAGTCCACCATAGTTAACGAATTTTTCTCGTTTCTACGAATTTCGTTCATTCATTATTCCTCCTATACAAAATTCGTTGTATTGAGGTTTTGTTACGTCATTTTCAACCAACTTTACCCAATTCAATGCCTCGCGCTTTGGTCCCTTATTACGGGCCTCAACCACTGAAATTGCTTCACCGATCAATCCTAACCTCCTAGAAATTGGCTGTAGGAGAGTGTGTGGTTAATTAGTTCGCTTGATAGACATGAAGGGTTAATAGAAGCGATAAAATTAGGGGAGTAGATTTGAAGCGATATTAGTGCTTTTTTGGGAGTTTTGGAGTACAATATGTATGTGAACCAGAAATATATATATATTATATGACCCCTGGATTTTGCGAACACCCGGATGTAACGAATATTTCGCCGTGTCTCAATTGATTCGTTATAACGGGGGTTTACTGTATATATATATAACGGAGGAACGAACCACAGTCCCAAGAATGATATGACAGATTTGTCTAAGAAATGTGAAATATCTTCTCTTATTAAGCTGATAGCTACCTACCTGGGCTGTCCACGGGTACTTTCAAGTATATTACAACTAGTTATCAATGTCCACAAGTGTGAAAAACCCGGATGTTGTCATATTTAGTTAGAGTTATGCATATTCATTGATGCTACCATACCCTGTGCAATCACACTGATTCCTGTCATACAATCAACATGTTTGTCCAACCTTGGAAAGTAGTTATGACCCAATTTGATACAAGCAAGTGCTACTTGCGTCGCCGTGAAGAATGAGTGCCAATTCTGAATCATGCGAACTTGGTGATTATGGCGATCTCGATGTGACCAGGCCCGATGTAATTTCCCCGCTCCAATGAGATAGTCAAGACCTGGTGGTTGATACTGACTTTTACCGAAGGTACTCTTCCCCTAAAGTCTCCAAGATTTGGTACGCGATCTATGTTGTACTCCGTAGAGCTATCCAAAGTCCCATCACCGGTATATGGAGATACCCAGAATAGACTACTAGGCTAGATATAACGAAACCAATCATTGTATTGATACATTATGTGACTATATATGTTTCGACTACTACCTACATACACATATCTACCTCCTGGAGCTATGAGGCATATGTGTTTCTCGGGTTAAGCACAAACGCCAAGCTTTATTTTCTCTAATGATTCTCGTCAATCCTGAGTTTAGTTTGTCGTTCAGGTTTGAACCATAGTTTTGGTTATTTTCTGAGCAGAACTATGCTGATCCAATCAGGTACTACGTATAATAATTTCATAGGGTCATCCTCAACGTGTTAGAATATACGATGTACAGGTCCTTGGCCCATCCGGATATTTTAAAGATGAGATTCTCCGAGAGTCTCCAGTCTGCAACCTTGATATTTCTGGGTAGATGAGTCTCACTTGCCTTATATCACACCCGGCCTTCCTCGTTATCTCTCCTCTGCCCCATTCATTCATCCTTTATAAGCCTCTCCAGCTTATATCAAGCACATACGACCATAGGGTGTGGAAAACAGGGCTTCCCGTCCGCTCAGCCGTACTTAAGCCACACGCCGGTGAGTTAGTAGTTGGGTGGGTGACCACCAGCGAATCCTCACTGTTGTATGTTTTTGTTCCTTTAGATATTTTTGGACTTTTTTGATCTGGTAATAAATATAAAGTGGTCGACAATTGCCCTCAGTATGTAGCTGTGATTGTACGATGTTCCGCCACCTATGGTCCCGCTGCCCATCCTATCCTATTGGTACACATACACCGATACGCAGACAAGTCGGACTAATGGTTATAGCTATAGCCCGAAGCGTCGCTTCTGAGCTCAGGTATCTCAAGGCCATTTCAGCGCTGAAATTATGTATTGTTGCGTGGATGAAGAAGGGCAGGAAAGAATCCAGAGATCTTAGAGCACCCAAATCGAAATGCAGAACCTTTTCATAGAGTGACCCAGCGACCCTGGAACATTGGTCAATGAACAAATCCAGGTGATCTGCCTGAGACAAATCCCCGAGAAGGTCAAACATGCATGACTTTGGCTAATTCAAACCATACAATGACCTTCCAGTGTGAAGGTTTCCCTTCAACTTTCCAGCCGCGACTAGTTTGTCTATCACATTAAACAGCATCCCCTCACACCCTTTACCTCCCATTATATCAACAGCAACAGGCAGGACTTCAGTTCGATCTGTGATCCTTGAGTGATATTCAATTTCTCCAACTGGCAGAAATTAGACACAATACATTTACAAAGCTCTTGTATTTCGAGAAGACTTACTTGGCAATGCAAAATCAGGTGAACCTACGAACGAGGGAACACGATCGATTGCAAAACCCGACGGGATTCCTGGTGAATAAATTGGGTATGGGCCATCCCGATATATAGTATCTCCGGTCGACTGAGGATAGACAAATAAAGAATCTGAGCATGAATCTGGGCCGCCTGCCTGCCCATGAGAGTACCACCAACTGGCAAAGATACTCATATTGTGAAAGGCCTCATCCATAGATGTCTCTGCTTGTTCTGTTCCCCAATTCCACCGGATCGAGGGACTTGGATCGAGGAAAGGCAGCCGGCCTTCGTTCTTTTCTTTAAATTGAGTGTATAGTTTGGTTCCCACCAGCTGAAGCTGCTCCTTTGCAGTCAACAGCGGGAAAACATCACCCAGGAGATCAGCAAGTCCGGCACCATTTGCCTCTTTCGGGGCAGTAGAATTCCATATCTTTTCTATGTGAAAGACTTCGGCAGTCATGTTGAGAGTATCTGCAAGTGATTCAGTGAAGTCTAAAAGAATCTTATCGCTTTGGCTCGATCGGTTAGTGGGAAAGTCAACTAGGTATAGTTTTCGTGGCAGACTAGCGTCAGCTCCGAGACCGCCGTATAGTACTTTTGCAGCTTCTTTCCATAGCGTTGTGTTTCGGGTCAGCATTCCTAGAGCTCGTAGTTAGAGGATATTTAGCAACATCATATAGACTTGTGGGTATTATATACCAACTGTATCCATCTCGGGCGAGAGAGGTATGATCCCCTTCAGTAAAGCTGAATCATGGGACGGTCTGATTCCGTACACACCATTCACCCCAGCAGGAACACGTATGGAACCTCCAGTGTCTGTTCCTACAGTTAGATCAAGCCAGTCGTATGACGCCACTCCAGCTGCCGGGCCACTGCTTGAACTTCCTGGGTCTTGATAGCCATCTCCTCGTGGGTTGAATGGAGCATGGTAATCAACCCTATTTGTTTGATCAGCAAGGAAACAAATTGATGAAATCTCGTAATAGTACCAATCAGCTCTATGTTATGCCAGCTGCAATTAGACTCCATCTTGTGCCTTGGTGCTTGAGATCAAACTCACGTAGCCCACTAACGCGGATGATCAGCACACCCGAGCACCAAGGTGTAAGTTTCTGACTTACCTCTCCATTCGCGAATTGACTGGTCTTCATTTTTCCGATCAAAACAGCACCAGCATCAATTAGCTTCTGGATAGCTGGGGATGTCTCATTTGCGGGAGGAGACAGTTTATAATAAGCCCTATTTCCGCCACTGGACTTGATGCCAGCAATATCGAAGATGTCTTTCACTCCAAGACGGACCTAGGCCATAGTTACTCAGCCAATATGAAATAGGTAGATCATTTTGGTAACGAGGATGTTACGGGAGTTATGCACTAACTCCTGCTAGTGGCTTCGCTGGGCCCTTTGTGGAATACAGCCTTGATGGTACCCCAATGGTCATCGACCCGGCTCCCTGGTACACAATTAGATTGAGTCGGTGTGTTTTTGATTGATTCGAATGACGATACTGGTACAGCGGCAGGGATCACACCGTAAGAGCCATTTCCCCAGGGTATTAGGCCTTGCGTGAAGGCTCCTTGTTCGTCCGAATAGAGTCGATACGCGGCGTTTATTATTCCTGATGCTGGAGACCAGAAATATGGCCCAGGGGGAAGGAAAAGCTTAGAGGCATTGACCGGGCGTGGAAATATGGCTTCGACTCCATATTTTGACTTGGTTGTCTGTAAGTCCCGAATAACGTTATTTGAGTGCCCATTGTGGAAAATGACTTGACAACTGGTCAGTTCAGGCGCTGGCAAGTTATAAGTAATGATGGACTGCACCTTTCAAAAATCCAATATTGAAAACATCATCCAATGATTGATAAGCTGCAATAATTGCATCCAGAGAACAGTTATCGCTAGCGATGTCTATTAAAGTGATAGGATACAGAGATTCCATTAAATTCGCGACAGCTGGACTGGTGTCGAAGCCAAATGTACCAAGGGTCTTTGGCGGGAGGTAAAACAAAATTCCATTCAATTTGACTGTTTGACCCCTTAGCGAAATACAATATGTCATATGAGTCAAAGCTAGGAGTATCAGTTGGATAATGGAACGGAGAAGCATGGTAATTGCCAATGGATTGGGTAGGAGAAGATGGGAACAAGACGCATGAGCAAAAAGAGGAAGATGAAGATAGATTTGAAAGTATGTAGTAAAATCATTTGCTTGGGGCAAGAATGTAATGCTGTTGCCATACATGTAAGGGCTGTCCATCTTGCATAGGCTGACTCAATCACAACATCTACCAAATTAAAAACCAGGAAACCAGCAGCAGTTGGCTTTTCTGGTATGTCTTTGTATGTAATCGGAACGTAAGAGACAGGAAATATGGTGTTGTTACCATATCTCCAAGAAAAAAGGACTTCGTTAGTAGGGCTGCCTCTCGATGGTAATTTTGTATGGCGACCTGCACTAATTCCATCAACCCCAGGTGATCTGCATCGCGCATCCCGGGGCTCCCTCTATTGCCTCGCATTTTGACTCGTTTACTAGCTGGAAAATGGAAAGGCTACAAAACTCGTATTGGCTTAGATTTTATATTGCGTCGTCAGCCGACCCAACTCAGAACTTGGTAGATTGACCGTTCCCACGAATTCTCGCCAAGTAAGACCCGGGGATAAGTTGGACATTAGATTGAGAATTCCCAAATATTTATTTCACATGTCTCATGAGTCAAATGTGTCATTAGAACCCCAGTACTCTTTTTTCTTTTCTTGTTTTGCGTTGTCACCATCACAAAGACAGGTTTCACCATTACCAAAACATGTCTTCCAAATTGGTAAGCTCCTAAAATGGCGAATAGTCATTAGAAATACTGACTGAAGATTGATCAAGGGCAAATATGAGCCTATTAAGGGGCGGCCTGAAGATATCACCGCCTCGAGATACCCTATTATACAGCCAACTCCCAAGCTCATCTGGGTTGTGTTTGCCGCATCTATCGCCCTCTGTGCCGCAGCCATTACATTTTTAGTAGTCGAAATACGATGGAACTCAGCAACACCCTATAAGCAGTCGCTCTATCCTCAATTTGAGTCTCAAAAGTACACATGCGGCAATTCGACCGAGGAAGCAAAACGGAGAGGGTGTACCTTTGATGTCTTATCTATGAACTGGCTTCCAGAACAGTGTGCTCGCGACGAGGCACTGGAGTTTATCGATTATGCTGTAAACGAGACCTGGGTTTACTATCGGGATAGACATGCAGAACATCCAATTGAGGGTACGGATGAGTTGTCGGAGTTGGGGGATAAATTTTGGTGGTCAACACAGAGAGAGCACATGGTACATTGTGCATTCATGATATTGAGGCTCCACAAAGTCCTCGAGAGAGGTGGAAAAATTGATCATTTAACGGGAAGCTTTGGTCATACGAAGCATTGTGTTATGATGTTGTTGGATGCCAGCAAGGCGGATCCCGAGAATGACAGAGTAAACACGCCGGGAAATATTGCTCTTGGGTCATGCTAAATAGGCTTTTCCTGTGAATTTACGTTTGAAACTATAACATTGAGATAATCTACGACTAGAATTCATATAATCACTCATGTGGATGATAGAACTTCCCTTTCAACCTACGCCTCCGCCTCCGTCCCCTGGTCGCAAGATATTTGATCTTTCCCCGTCGCTAGACGTCTATAAACGTTCCATAATAGGCCAATTAATCCAATATATTGACATATTGCCCATTGGTGAACTGAGTATGTGAGAATGTCTGTCTCCATACTGACTTTACTCAACGTGGGTGGCCTTACATTGAACCCAGGCCTTGTTATAGGTTGTTTGGGCCCATGGAATGATTGTTCAAGAATCCCACATAAATTAGATCTTGTCTTGATTTGTATAATTTTTGCCACCTGAAATGTTACTTTGCACGCTGCACGCCCCATGTTGTCCAGCGTCAAGATGCAGCCGTGCGAGATAATTGGCCAAAATGAATGATCGTGGTGATTGTCGGTGTACACTAATGTTTTTCATTTCCTAGATGGGCAGTGAAGCATTGGGCCGTTCACATTAGGCAAATGCTGACATGATATCGGGAACTTAGCAGCCTTGCGGGAGGGGATTGTGGTCTCGCTGCTGGCGGTGACTACCGGATTCAATATCTTGATATCAGTATCTAGATGAATCTTTGGTATAAATACGATGACCCTCTCATCGTCAGCTACTTTTCCTTCCAACCGACCTAGCTGAACTGATATTTCGAGTCAGAACCTTCCAGTTTTAGTTTCCTTCATCAATCGATATCAAAATGAAGTATTTCAACCAAGCAATTTGCGTGGCCATTTTCGCCGCCGCATCTCTTGTGGGAGCTGCTCCTGTACCTGCCGGTAAGACTTCAAGCCAATCTGCTAACTTGAGTATTGATAAATTGTGCTCATAATATTCTAGAGGAGAAACGCGATCAGTACGATGTGACTATGAAGTGCCAGGCTGCCTACGCGGACCTTCTCGAGAAGCGCGATCAGTACGATGTCACCATGAAATGCCAGGCTGCATATGCCGACTTGCTCGAGAAGCGTGATCAGTACGATGTCACTATGAAGTGCCAGGCTGCATATGCCGACTTGCTTGAGAAGCGTGACCAGTATGATGTTACCATGAAATGCCAAGCTGCCTACGCCGATCTAGTCGAGAAGCGCGACCAATATGACACCACCATGAAATGTCAGGCTGCATATGCCGATTTGCTTAAGAAGCGGGATCAATATGATGTTACCATGAAATGCCAGGCCGCCTACGCGGACCTACTTGAAGAGAAATAGGTCTGAGTTGAAGAGTCTAGTATCTGTAGATAGTTTATATCCAATACTAAGCCTATCATACTCGATATGCATCTTTGATCGTACGAAGTCCCTAAGGACTTTTGATTGGCGTCTGTTATAGGATAGTTGGGGGATATAAGTATGAAGTCCACATATAAAAGCTCGTGCACAGAGGTCTTGATATACTACTAGCTTGCTAATCCCTACTGTCTTCCATTCGAATTCAAATTCCCCCTTTCCTTCTTTCTCACCCTCACCACCTCTTACGCCTTCAAATTCAACCTGACGGACCCTACCTTAAATCTTGCTTGAGCTGATGCCCCATCCGACACTGCGTGCTGCCCCTCCAGCCACCTTTCACCGCGGCACAAATGTGCCATAATTTCGGACCTATTTTATTTCTCAGAAAAATGCCGGATCATTCTTTCTACGAGGAAAGGGTTATCGTACTCGGCCGGCTCTTTGGGACTTGATATGCAACGAGACTATGCAACTTCTGACCGACTCTACTTTGCCGCTCATAGAGCCTGAAGATTGCCCCACCTGTCGCTCCTTGCCTGGGTTTGCTGCAATGCTCGATGCTGTGACGACCCGTGGGCCCTTGTCAAACCTTCAGAGCTCGATATGTCTGGTCGATCTATTCGCGCTGCGGCGCTCCTTCAGACGAGCCAATGGCCAAAATCCCGCAGCTGCTCTGGACGGTAGACCTTGAAGTAGGAGAAAGGAAGGTTGGCTAGATTGGGGCAAGTCTATGACGAAATCATATTGATTGGCTATGTGATGGAAACTACCCAGGTAGCTCGCTTTGGCGTGTTATACAAATGTGCTTTTAGGGGAAGCGTGGGCCTCTTATGCCCTGCGGGTGAAGATCTACGTTGGCGAATGACTTGCGGAGTGTGTATTACATTGTTTTTCAATACGAATTTTTTATTCTGTATTCATACTCAACCAGGTGCATCTGCATTAAGAGATAATTGCTCAAACATATTCCGAGGCCAGTATTCTGCAAAAGCCTATGATTTTTCTACAGTGACAAAAGACAACATCCGAGAACAAGAGACATACAAGGCATTGCCATCTCACACTGAAAATGTCTGAAGAGGGCCGACCTTTCACTGCACATGGATCAAGGTCGCTGGCAGAGAAATCGGAGGATGAGTCGTCAGAGAACTTCGTGATTGAACTCCACCAACGCAAGTCTCTACGGGTTTTACGCATTGCTTGTGTTCTAGAATCAATTGCTCTCATTTTACTGGCAGTTGGGCTCGTCCTTGCTTTTCAAGCGAGATCCTCAGAGTCAGATTCAGATCTTGAATGCGCCCGAAAAGTATCAGCTTATTGTAAGTTATTTCGCCGACGTCTTATGAGCCAAGAAAAATGGACAAGACAACAGAACTAATGAACATAGCACCTCTTCTTGGGGAACCTGACTTGATCAAGTATTCTGAGTATGATCTTCCACTGTACTTCAACGAGAAGACAGATTACCGTGGTCCACCAACCCCAGAGAGGGAGATAATGTGGGAGAAACTTTGGCACCGTACGTGATCTGATTTGAATAAACTTTTGAGTGAGACCTAAAAGCTGATTACATCAAACAATGGAGCAGAGGGTGCATTTGAGGTTCCTGAAGACAAGTTGGATATCATGAACAAATCACATTCAGGCAGAACATACAAACATGTTCCACTGGAGGTGGGAACCGGTTATGCGGCTCAGCTGGAAGTGCTTCATCAGTTGCATTGTGTGGTATGCTTACTTCGAACAAACAGTCTACTATAGGAACATCTACTAATCAGTTTTCACTTCCACTGCTCTAGCACATGCTCCGACAATGGTCCTACAAAGAGTACTGGCTTGACCAAGGACTTGACTTACCCGGAAGTCTTTATGGAGACCCAAAGCTCACGAGGATGCATCTAGGTACGTTTAGAAAAATATAGAAATATGTGCTGACATCGTTGGTAGATCATTGCATCGAGGTTTTACGAGCAAACATTATGTGTAAGTATGCAGTCGGCGATCATATATACCATGATAACTAACAATTTCTAGGTACGTCCGATGTGACGCCGATCCTCATAGAATTAGATCCAAAAGTAAGCACCAAGTCCTTCAGCATCTTATCGCCTTCGATTTCTGATTTTCAGAGCAGGCACCGTTCGGCGAGCGTGCTGATTTCCGGTCAAACCATAAATGCCGCAATTTCTGGGAGATCCGTCAATGGGTCATTGACCATACTGCTATCCCTTGATATTCAGTCTGAAGTCTGATTCAGATCCAGTGTATAAAATTCTGTTTGGTTACAATTAAGAGGTTCATATAAGAGTCTTTGTCATGAGAGAATCAAGCGCCATTTTGAACAACTACCAACTGTTGGAATTGATATTCGTTCAATTGACAGCAAATCTACATCTTCATAGAGCTTCTAGATCAAGAAAATTGTATCATCCAATCGCGGAGACTTACCTTCAAGTGACTAATAACTATTTAAAAGCAAACGTGCGCCGTGGTGGTAAGGGTAAGGCTCGTTCACTATAATAGTACCGAGTAGTCCCATTGGGGGCAAAAAGTAGGTTTTAGCGTTGGATTCAATATTGCGGTTAGGTAATCTCGAGGCAGATTAACTAACTAACTAGTGGACTGCATAAATATCCACTTGGTTCTAATTGATTGATTAATTGTGATTCTTATACCCGTTGCAGCCTTGTCATAACGTTGACAAGCTATACAGCCCCATCTGGCATCATCGAACCTATCCGACGCCGTTCCTGAAATAATGACTGGCTAGGCTTAGTGCCTTAAAACGACTAGGCGCCCCCTATAGCCCAGATTGTTCTTGTTGGCCATAATCAATACCCATAGTTATATAGTAGTCCGAGCTGTGCTACTAAAGCTAAACCGAGGATAGGTTTACGGGAGTCTCTAAACTCCTGAATCACCGCCAGTTTTTCATTAGTTATTTACTTATCAAGAATTTGACGAGGATAAAAATATGATTTTGGGATTGGTGTGATATTGGTGTATTTAAAATATATTGTAGGTAAAAATGAGCTATGGTGCACAGGAGATTGTCGTAGATAAGTTTTCCCTCCCTTTTATTGCGTCCATAGTAGGATCTACCATCTAGGTCCTAACCAAGTTAACCGAGGCATAGAAGTTCGTCGGTGGGTGTCTCAAAGTAAAGAATATACCAGTTACGGAATTCGAACTCGTATCCTCTACATTTCCATAAACGAGCAATTCGTGTAGAGTCTTGCCTGGTAGCTTACTATTACACCGGCCACTTCGTTTTCATGCAATCCATCTATCACGCGATCAAAATCAATCAATTAAAGCATGAAATCCTGCTGATCCTCCGATTTCAGCTAAGCGGGCTTACGTCGTTTTTCTTTTCTTTTCCTATTTCTTTCAATGGGCCTTTTCCACCAGTGACCAATTCTCCATATTCTTACTCAACTTTCCCCCGTGAATCTAAGCCGCCTTACCATCTCAAGAATGTCTTCGTTTTATGCCGCGGAAACCCCCGAACGGGTGAAAAAAGCCCAAGTAAGTATTTTATGATCCGATACTGATTTTCTACCATAGCAACGAATCAACCCTACCCCTCCTCTACCATGGACCCCGCGAAAACGGGCTATAGCTAACTTCCAATAAAGGGCCTACACCTCATAACTTCTTTAACCCCAAACGGACGAAAGGTCCACATTCTTCTCGAAGAACTCAAGGACGCCTATGGCCTTGAATGGACGACAAGCCTGATCGACCTCGATAAAAACGAACAGAAAAAAGACTGGTTTCTCAGACTAAATCCTAATGGTATCTCTTTTTACTTTTAATAGATGTACATTTTATTTCCCAGAATCAAGACTAATAAAAATAATTCAGGGCGTATCCCAATTTTGATCGATAACAACACAAGTCCACCCCACGTAGTCATGGAATCATCAGCTGAACTTTTTTACCTCGTCAATTTGGCAGACCGAAACAATCTTTTCTGGTTCTCGGATCCGATTGAACAAAGTGAGGCGTTCCAATGGCTAATATTCTGGCATGCTTCGGGGCAACCCAATCAAGGGCAATATAATTTTTTTCGAAACAATGCAGACCGAAACCCTCGTGAGTTTTATCCCTGGACCTTCTATATGTGCTTGCTGAGGAAATCTAGACGTAGTGGATCGTTTCAAGCGGGAAGTGCTGCGGGCTTACGATGTACTTGAAATCCGTCTTTCAGGGAGATATGGTGGTGGCACACGGAAATATTTGGCTGGGAAGGACAAGGGAAAATACAGCATCGCTGATGTCAACTCCTGGGCTTGGATACGAAACATTCGACGCATTGGATTCTCAGAGGATGAATTGGCCCAGTTACCTCATTTGCAACAGTGGGTGGATCGCATTGCGGTGCGACCGGCTGTCGAGCGAGGTTTGGGGGAGTGGTATGATGAGGATGTGCATCCAGAGTATTTGCTCGAGACTTCATGACTCTATAATGAAATAAAATCGACAGATCATGATGTCAATTCTCTAGAAAGAGTGCTTCAGACACTGTATATATCGATATTTCTGACTGATCACAACTCTCGTATACTTGTCCGTCGCATAAATTACACGCACGTTTTCCTAGAGCTGTGCCTCCAGATTGCTTCTTCTGGTCCTCGCCCCCCTATTCTCTAAGTGCTGCTTCTTATTCTCTATGTCCATCACGTCCAAACCCGCTCTAAATTTTAGTCCATTACCAGTTCTCATGGCTGTTACTCAAGGACCCACCCAGCCTAAAATTTGTCACTTACTGCCAGAATAGCCTCATGGAAGACGGGGATATCACACGTTCCGCAGCGTCCTAAAGTCTCTCTTACATATCGATAATCGCTATCACTGTCATACACAAGCCATATACATGGTAGTAGGAACATGAAAAAAATAAACATACAACAGTGAGGATTCGCTGGTGGTCACCCACCCAACTACTAACTCACCGGCGTGTGGCTTAAGTACGGCTGAGCGGACGGGAAGCCCTGTTTTCCACACCCTATGGTCGTATGTGGTTGGTATAAAGCTGGAGAGGGCCATAACTGAGAAGTATGAGGTGGTATCGAATTAGATTTTAGTCCCACGTTTCTCCAAGTCTCGACGACCCAGTTTTGGTAAAACCTACTTATTTCAAGCATAGTGTGACTGTATACACGTTGAATAATCCGATTCAACAAGTGAATTGAGAGTTGCTTCTATATCGCGCTTTATATTTTGGTGATTAAAAGAGTAGGAGGAAGTGAGATCCCGAGATAAGGAAAGGGGAGTGGGGTTGGGAATGTATATCGGGCCTAAGAGTTGGCTTCGTTGGCTCTGTTGTAATTTTGGTGGCTTCTCTGCATCGCTTCCTCCGCTTTGGATCTCTTGGTCTCGTGGCTTGCTTGATTCATCTGGCTCTTCATGCCTGGCTGGATCCTTACTGCTCTCTTGTGTGTTTGCGCAGGGAAACTAGGCATTGCATCTCTGAATGGTGATTTATCAGCGAAGGGCAAGTTATCGACCCCTAGATCACCTCATTAGGCTGCAATCACTACGGTCAGAGCCGGACCAAGCATCGGACAATTATCTAATATACTAATTAGTATGAGCTAGGATTATAATCCCTATCCGCACTCATGCGCAATAATCATGCTAATATGTCTATCCGTGTATCTAATACCAATCTGCAGCCTAGGGTGCATTTGATGAGAAAAGATGGTAATGTATAGTGTAAAGTCTCCTATACTGGTTTAATGGTCGCCTACAGAAGCAGCCAGTTTAAGAGATATGTATAATCGGGCACCGTTCTCGGCTTCTTATAGAGTCTCAAGTACATAAATACTAGTAGCTACTTTGTATGGTAACTATTGAATCTCCCGGAAATCAAAAGACTGTCTTCCGGTGTTTAAGCTTTTCGCTTGCGTCGAAAGCGGTCTTTGGAACTACCACACTGCTCTTTCAAAGAAGCGATCACTATTTATGGGGAAGACTAGCGTAATATTTAGGCTGCTCTAGCTTCAGCCAAAAGGTCACCCAAGCCTAGACACTAGTTGTGGATCTCCTCGTAGCAGGGGAGTTTGAAGGGCCTCTACTCAACAACAGTATTTTCTCTATGGTGCTAGGTTATAACCAGGGCCTATATAGGAGGTTGGTCTCTGGCTGGTGGGCTATCATGGATGGACTCGGCTTTTATCTTGGATCACTCTATAGGCATCAAAAGTGCTGTGATGGCAGACGGACTCTCATCTGCATTTGCGGAGGTATCTACTGTTACTGGAGAACTCGTCTCCACCAGACCATCTATTAATGACATACAAATCTTTTTAAGGGGGGCGATTACGCATACTTACGCCAGAAGAGATGTTCACCCTGTCTCCTCTCGGCCGTGTATGGTTATACTGGAAGATCTCGCTCGGTTTACTCGCTATAAGTTAGCAGATGGCGCGGAACAGATGGCTGCCATGGCCGGCCTAGGACGCGTTGTGCCTGACCGGACTGATCCTGGGGCCAATGGAGCGTATGCAGAATTCAGCAACATCATCCATATTTTGATGTAGGACTCTTTAGGAAAGAACCCCTTAGTCCAGGCCTCCTCACAGATTTTTTGTTCTTTAATATGGTATCGGGATAACAATCCATACAACTAACCCAGCAGCCCTCTTTACGCACTAGTGGCAGCTCGTCAACTGCGGATACTAACCTGTCGCACTCCTCGGCAGAACCGACATTAAATGGGGTGCAGGAATTGTCGGTACAATACCAGAAGGGAGGCCAGAGTTAGAGAATTTTCGAGCAAGTGGCACTAAGGTCGAGCGCGGAGGCGCCCCCTCGCCAACGCCGAAGCACGACTCCAAGATGTTCTTTCCTCTGGCTCATTGACCGAAACTCGTGCTATCATTAATATATCTCATTAATTAGAGATTGAATACTACTACTACTACTACTACTACTAATATCTTCTAGATCTAGATTACCAATCGGTATTGAGAGCCCTTTTCGAAAGTAGTTCTTAATTGTAAGAGCTGACATATCAAGGTCTCAAGCTTGAATACCCCATTGAATAGTTCTTAATACATTCATTAAAAGGATAGGACCTCGACCACTGTCAAACTCATAAAGCATGAATTTGACCCATTGGCGCTTCCAATAACTAGTTGGTTATGCTGATGTATTAATAATACCCTGGTCAAGTGGTTGAAAACAGGAGGTTGAGTTTGGCGGAAGCCATATAACCAGGGTATTTCGAAGTGGTGGAATACTATTATTAATAGCTTTCACTGTAGATTCGTGCGCTGAGAAATTATCCATAAGAAGCACTACCTTCCTATGAGTCATCATAGCATCAAACCACTGAGGCCATTCTTCAAAGATCTCTCTATTAATCTAGGCCTTACTATTCAACTTCCAGCCTATATTAAGATTATTAATATAACGTGGGAGTTAGTTAGTAAAAGGCGTGGGGCTTCTTAGCTGTGACTATATAGTATTTCTTAGTATAGGAAGTAGCCTGCATATCCTGCATATCCTGCATATCCTGCATAGCCTGCATAGCCTGCATAGCCTGCATAGCCTGCATAGCCTGCATAGCCTGCATAGCCTGCATAGCCTGCATAGCCTGCATAGCCTGCATAGCCTGCATAGCCTGCATAGCCTGCATAGCCTGCATAGCCTGCATAGCCTGCATAGCCTGCATAGCCTGCATAGCCTGCATAGCCTGCATAGCCTGCCATAGCCTCCCATAGCCTGCCATAGCCTGCCATAGCCTGCCATAGTGCTACAACCTGCCCCTGGACTGGCAAGTTACACACTAGGCCAAAAAGACCACCATGTCTGAGCATTACGCTCAGATATTCCAGGCTCCGATATATACAGTGCGACATGACACGTAGCCTGCATAGCTTGCATAGCCTGCATAGCTAACTATAGTATAGGGGCCATAGATATATACCAATAGACCAAGCTTTTAGCTTATCAGAGCCATCTGAATTGTAACAAAAAAAAGCTGTAATTCTAGTCTTCTCCTTCTTTCAAGGCCTCGGCAAGGATACGCTTCCAAAAAAAAGGCTAGTTTCATCACAATTAAATATATCCCATAGCTTCAGAAGCAAGCTCTAGGGTGCTTCTGGCTTCACTATAGTATAAACGACTTTGTATTGATTCACAGTGCTGAAATCCAGCTAGCGAGCCATTGCTAAATACAGGTATTCAATACCAATATAGATAGGTAGCTGACCCCCAAAAAAAGCGCGGCTTTTATGTACAACCTCTTGGAATATGACTTTCAGAGAGTTTTATCCAATGGATAAGGGCCCTTTTAAGGTCTAGCCACCGCGCTATTCGAGTACGCTTTGCATTAAATTGGTGCTTTCAGAGCTCCGTATCAAGGTGAAGGTATCTGGAGGAAAGGACTTCAGGATTTCAGAGATTCTAGATTGAGAGATACGATGATCGTACGTCTTCTAGAACCAATTTGCTAAATGGTTATGCGTAAGGGGTTGGTTCGGTGGTACTCTCAAAGAGCGAACATTTGGAAGGCTGCGATAGACCGGCGAGGCATTTTATATTGGTTGAAATAGCTGAAAAATGACGTATGAATCCCTAAGACTTTTTTGCACAGGAGAGGGTGTATATTGACGACATTCGTAGAAAGGAAGTTTTAGGGATTTTTGGTCAAAATTGACTGCCGTACACCGGTCCGGGTTATATATCCGGTCCAGTCACTCCGCAAAAGTCTCCGTCAAATTAGATAAGCGCCCCACTTATTTATAGTTAAGTATCCAAATCCCATTTAGTGATTGACCTCGAAGGTATGGAGAGAACTCGTTTCCGCTCGGTATATTAGGATGAATAGGTCCAAGAGAGGCTCTTGGAACCATTGATTTTTTAAAAAGGCATATGTTATGTTAAAACGCGGTAACTAGGTTAAAAAATAAAAAAAATACCTAGAAAAATGCGCATGTGGAGCTAGTTTAGACGGAGACATTTGCGGTAGAACTGTATATGGATACATCCAGATATTGATATGCAGAATGTAGTGTTACGTATTGGGGAGACAGTCGAGGTTAGCAATTATGCCTGTCGATCGGCATGTCTACCCAGAAATTCAAAAGATTGGAGTGACATAAAAACATGTCGCAGATGGGAATTCCTCCAATTGCAAAAAGCTCAGACGTCGGCCATTCAAGTCATTCGTTTTGCTTTTGAAAATTAGTTCAGCAATATCACTAGAAGCATCCTCAGGCACTGGCATGTTATATATCACTATAAAGCAACAGCCATGGGTTTCAACAGTTTCGACAGTCTGGTTCATCAAATCGCTTGGACGCCCGCCGCACTATCAGAGACGCCACTGAGATTTCAAAAGGTGGTCTTTTTGGCAAGTGACAGAGAGAAAAATATCAATTTGTCTTCCTACATGCAGCAAGTTGCCGACGAGGGTCTTGAATCAGCCATTATTTGTGAAATCTCGGAGCTGGGTCCATCACTGATACCTGGTACCATCATTGTTCAGATCCCGGATTTGGCAAGAGTTAGGGATGGTGTCTATGACGCCGCGACCAGATCATGCGCGAATTTGGTTGCAGCAGCTCAGATGCTGCTCAAGCTCAGCAAAATCAAGGGCCAGGCAAGTATGAACACGGCTTGCAAGCTATTTTCTATTATCAGCCTGGACTCTAGTGTCAACGACCTAGGATTCGCCCCGCTTCGTGGCCTAGCCCGTGTGTTGCAGATGGAAATCCCAGAGATCTTCGGTGGACTATTCGAAGAAAGTCGAAAGTGTTTCCCATTTTCTGCTATCAGATATGCCCGGGGTTATGACGTGGTCAGGATTTTTGAAGGTGTGGCACAGACGGGTTCACTCCAGTCTCTTGTCAAGCAACCAAACCAGAAAGCGCTAATATTCAGCTCTGATGGTACATACCTGATTACAGGCGGAACACGAGGCGTGGGCCTTGAGGTTGCAACTTGGATGTGCGAACGGGGTGCTAGAAACCTTTTACTGGTGTCCCGCCGTGGTCTCTCGTCATATCATGGACCGGAGAATGCAGACCAACATTCAGATTTTGAAAGGCTCATCTCAAGAATTGCCCAGCTAGAAGCCCAAGGTGTCCGTATCGAAGTTCTTGGAATTGATGTCGCCCAGCCTAGGGCAGACTCGGCTTTGGGCCAAGCTATCAAAGATCTAAAAATGCCCACGGTGAAGGGAGTCTTCCATGGGGCCGGTATTTCTGGCTACCATACACTTCAGCGTTGCACAGCATCTGATATTGGCGAAGTATTATCACCAAAGGTGGTCGGAGCGTTGAACATTACTGCCTTGTTCCCACCGGGGCAGCTAGACTTTTTATTTCTCGCCTCTTCAATTGGCCAGCTGATTGGTTTTCCTGGCCAGTTAGCGTACGCCGCAGCGAATTCATTCCTGGACGAATTGGCGTTGCATAGAAGAAGCCAAGGAGACCGTTGCACGTCAGTTCAATGGGGGGGTTGGCGCGACGTTGGACTGATGGCACAAAGCAAGTCGGTAACGCGTATGCTTAATAAGGGAATGCAAGCTGCGGGAATTGCAACCGTTACAAAAGAAGAGGCATTCAAAGCCTGGGAGCAAATTGCACACCTTGACACAGGCAATGTTGCTGTCGTTCGTGTGTTAGAGCCTGAGCCCGGCGAACTGCCAAGGCATCCCATGCTCAAGAACTTCATAGCGCGTCCACAGCAAGAGAGGAACACCGATTTTTCCAAATACCCTGAGCATGCCGTTGCAGTGGTTGGGATGGCATGCCGAACAGCAGCGGGAGATACGTTGGAAGACTTCTGGGAGGTGATAGAAGAGGGACGCAGCATGGCGCGGGAGATGGATGCCAAGCGATTTCCCGATGTACCCCAAGGCAGATTGTGGGGAAATTTCCTATCCGACATCGATTCTTTTGATCATCAGTTTTTCAAAAAGTCAAAACGCGAGGCGTCGGCGCTAGATCCGCATCAACGCCTACTGCTCCAAACTACATACCATGCGCTCGAATCAGCGGGATGCTTCGGTTATGGGAAGCAACAGAAACCGGAGAGCTATGACAAGGAAAAGAATGAAGATACTACAGGCTGCTTTATTGGCATGAATGCGCCTGATTATCCGCTCAACCTATCCTGCCACCCACCCTCGCCGTACACGGCCCTTGGAATGCTTCGGTCATTTGTTTCCGGGCGATTAAGCCATCATTTTGGCTGGACTGGTCCATCACACGTCATCGATACTGCTTGCTCCTCGGCCATGGTGGCCATTCACCAAGCATGCCAAGCTATCCAGGCGGGTGAATGCACACGAGCCGTTGCTGGTGGTGTTAATCTGATTACAAACACGGCATTATCCGAAGCCCTAAGGGCAGGTGGATTTACCAATCAGACTGGTGGCTGTAAGACATTTGATGCATCAGCCGATGGATACTGCCGGGGCGAGGCCGTAGGTGTGGTGGTCCTCAAATCCCTAGCCAAGGCGCTCAAAGATGGGGATGACATACAAGGTGTTCTGCTAGCTACTGCAAATAATCAGAATGTCAATTATACTAGCATCACGAACCCTGTCTTGGAGAGCCAGGTTGCACTGTATAAAGAAGTGTTAGCTCGTGCTGGGATTAGCCCAAAGGATATATCCTATGTCGAGGCCCATGGCACGGGAACACGCAGCGGCGATCCAGTCGAGGTCAGTGCGATCCGCCAGGCTCTAGGAGGTGTGAAAGAAAGGTCTCACCCTTTGCATATCGGTGCGGTGAAGCCTAATGTCGGCCATGCTGAGGGTGCTTCCGGTGTGGTGTCATTGATCAAAGTTTTGCTCATGTTGAAACACGGCAAAATCCCCCCGCAAGCTGGATTTCGAAATTTGAATCCAAATATCGCTCCTCTTGAGCCAGATGGACTGGCTATCTCAAAATCATTACATGCCTGGGATGACAAGTGGAGATTGGCACTGGTTAATAATGCTGGTGCTTCAGGAAATAATGCATTCGCGGTTCTTGCGCCTGCACCTGTGTGCCAACATATCTCGAATTCGGCTGTGGAGTCAGCTGCGCCTGATTTGGTCAAGGCAGCTTGGCCTATTTTCATTTCTGCGGCCTCCAAAGAGAGCCTCTTGGCTTATTGTGCGACATTCATGGACCGAATCCGCAATGGCAGGTTTGCTTATCAGCCATTGTCCCATGTTTCTTATGCTTTAGCAACGAAGCAAAACCGCCAACTTCAGCACACATTCTGCACCACAGCAACATCTAGTATGTACTTGCGAGCGTGTTCCGTCTTTTGACACCAGGATCTTGAAACGAAGAGCAGCTTACTCTATGATCCCACACAGTTGATAACTTGCAAACCCAGTTGTCTGAGCTCGAAAGACATATCACGGCATCCCCAAATCCAAAGCCTATCGTTCTTATGTTCAGCGGACAGAACGGGAACATTGTACCAGGGGCTAAGTTGATGTACAGTGGTTCCTTACTCTTTAGGAAATATCTCCATAAGTGCGAGGAAGTGATGCAGTCCCTCGGCCTGCCTAGTCTATTGACAGCTGCATTAGAGGGAATTCAAGGTGATGCCGATCTCGTCATCAGACACGCCGCTATGATTGCAATTCAGTACTCCTGTGGAATGGCGTGGATTGACTCAGGTATAATTCCACAGGCAGTTTGTGGCCACTCGTTGGGAGAATGGACAGCGATGGCAATTTCAGGCGCCATCCCGCTAGAGGAATGTATGAGGCTTGTGACTGGGTAAGTTGGACGTCTCCATTTGAAAATTTATTGCTAGCGAGAAGATCTGATAAGTCTCTAGTGAGTGAGCCCCAATGTTACTCAAAAGTTCCCAAGGTAAAGGAATGGAATGATAACGTGGGAGCTTGAAATTAGGACGCGCCGAACTTATCCAAAAGCTTTGGGGGGCAGACAAAGGAGCAATGATTGCTATAGACACCGACTTACTTGCAGCAGACATGACCCCAACAAGGCATTTGAGCTTCTTTCGAGAGGAGTACCCTGAGACCAAGCTTGATATTTCATGTTACAATGGACCCAACAACTATGTTGTTGCAGGCGCCACTGCTGACATCGAAACACTCGAATCATATTTGAAAAGCAGCAAGGCAAATGGTGAAAGGATACGGTATAAAGTCATGAGAGGGATGCACGCTTATCATTGCGCCTTGGTTGACTCGATACTAAGCCACAGTGCAGAGCTATGCGCTCCAGTAGATTACAGGGTTAGTGCAGAAAACATTTCCAATAAACTAGCAGCAAATCTCTGACTTGAAGCAGGAGACAACATTTGCGTTTGAAACATGCCACGAAGGTCCCTGGGATATTCCAGGGGGGGATATAATCGCTCGGAATACGCGTGGGGCTGTCTACTTCACCCAAGCCATTTCGCGAATTGTGAATCGCCTCGGGTCCTGTACGTTCCTGGAAGCTGGGATCGGAGGTCCTATCATATCGATGGCGCGGAACGCGCTTCTGCAATCCCAGTCCCAGCACATATTCATTTCAATCGGTGCGAAGGACCCAGTGCAATCCCTAGCAGATGCCACAGTCTCACTGTGGAAGGCTGGGCAATCCGATTTGCAGTTTTGGCCATTCCACAGAGAGGAGCGGTCAGGCTATGTACCCACCGCGCTACCGTCTTACCAGTTCGAGAAAAATGGGCATTGGATTGAATATACCGGAATCCCCAACCATACAGAAAACAGAAATGTGCAACCGCCGCAACAATCGCAACAACCTAGAACATGCCCCCACTGCTTGAAGGATACAAGTGACTTTTCCTATATCTCACGGGATGATTCAAAGGGTCAGAGTGGAAATCAGTACAATTTCACTATCGATATACGCAGTCGCCGTTATCAAGATCTCGTCAAAGGTCATGCCGTGGTAGGATCCCCGATATGTCCAGCTGGGATGTACCTGGAGCTAGCTTCGCATGCTATCACCTTATTGCCAGATGCAGTTTATATCAGCGCCCCTTGGGAGATTGTGAGCCAGGGCTTAGATATCAAAGCGCCTTTGGGCTTAGACGCAAAACGAGCAGTCACACTGTCATTGACAAACCAGGCGAAGAACTTGTGGGAGTTCGAGCTCTCATCCACGAGAAACCAAAGCACACAAACTTCGCATGCCACCGGCGTTATCTGCTTGCAGCAGGGGAATAGAAGGAATTCTTCCGAGGGCGGCAGTGATAGAGCCAAATGGGATCGCATCTCTAACTTGCTAGATGAAGATGAGGACACAGAATCCTTGCGTGGCACGATGGTGTATAAGGTCTTTGGTAAAATGGCCAAGTATTCGCCGCCCTACAAGGGTATCAAATATCTAGTTGGTAAAGGAGTAGAGGGCGCAGGCGACATCAAAATGCCGGGACAAGACTTGGATGCCATCGCTAAATCACCAAACTCTAAAATTGCTGACCCATTGCTTATGGACAACTTCTTGCAAGTAGCAGGTGCATTCGTGCACTCACTTCGCGAGAGTGAAAGGGAATTGGACGATGAAATATCCTGTGTCTGCACAGGGATGGGTTTGGTTGGACCTTTGAGTGAGCTGCATGGTAGTGGTGTATACCGAGTCTACACGAAGATTCTCCAGGAGGACAAAAAGCAGATTTTGCTGGATGTTTTCGCTTTCGATAAAAAAACCAAATTGATGATTTGGTCTGCCAAGGGCCTCAAATTTGCCAGAATCCCCAGAAATTTGCTGAGCAGGATCGTGGCGGTGGCCAGCCCAGAATGGAATCTCGAGGAACAGGCAATTAAGCTGCCAAAACCTATTGCTCCAGGTGCCTTGCCGGTACCTGAGCCCTCACAGCAAACAACGTTCCCTGTGACATCGGAAGATACTAGCAAGAATTATACGTCGATCGACGTATTTAGCGACGTTCAAGATATTCTCAGCGAGTCGCTAAATGTCGATATACAGGAAATCATCATGGAGGCGTGGATGGAGGATCTTGGCGCTAACCCGCTGATTGGATCTGAGATCCTAGCGCTTGTGACCACAAAATATGACATCGACATCGCAACCGATGCTTTCGCGATGGTGACGACCGTGAAATCTCTGTGCGAACTGATTTCAGATCACCTGAGTATTGGAGCTGCTCAGATCAAAAAGGATGAAGACATTGGTGACAAAAAGCCAGATTTGAGCGTTGAAGTAGCCAATCAGACGCCTCCAGATTGGCAAAAGACGATTTTTGAGATCCTAAGTCGGTCTCTCGAGCTGAATATTGTAGAAATCAAAATGGAGTCAAAGATGGAAGATTTGGGCGCCGACTCCCTCGTCGCCGCAGAGATCGTTAGTCACCTGAATGATGCATTCAAGCTGAGTGCCTCACCCACGGATTTTGCCACGGTTGAAGACGTCAAATCGCTCTGTGACTTCATTTCCACGGCCTTGGGTATAGCTCCATTAAAGAGACGAATCTCAAGTTCGGCCAGTGATTCTTCCGAAACTCCGTATTCAACGCTAATTACATCGGAGACAAAAGACCTGGAGTTGGTCAGCCCAACAAGCGATGAGAAGCAAGCCTCTATCCAAGATAATGCAAGGTCACTGTGGGAAAGCTTTCGAAGAATCCGTCGTCGCTTTGATCACCACGCCATAGAGAACAAGCTCGCCGGATTTTGGGATCATGTATACCCACAGCAGCTGAGCGCAGTTGCTTCCTTTATTGTGGAAGCTTTCGAGAAGCTTGGCTGTCCTATCAAGACATTCACTCAGGGAGAAAAACTACCTGAGCTCCAAAACACACTGCCTCGGTGGCATAGAGAAGTGCCGCGATTATGGGAGATCTTGGAAGAAGCTGGCATCGTCGAAAGGGCTGGAGAAAGCTTCGTGCGCGGTTCAGCGCGCATTCAGAATGATGGTGATAATCTTACTGTGAGGTTGATTTCGGACTTCCCTCAGTATACATCGTCGCACGGCCTATTCCAGCTCATTGGACCACACCTAGCCGATTGTTTGACAGGAAAAATTGATCCCGTTTCCATTCTTTTCGGCAGCAAAATGGGACGAAATCTCCTGGCGGACTATTATGCCAACGCACCTGATCTTAATACCGCGACTAAGGTCCTCTGTGAATTCTTCTCCGCCGCAATTCAGGACCGAAGCCCCAACCCTGATCACGAGCCCTTCCGTATCTTGGAAATAGGAGCTGGTACAGGTGGTACAACCAAACATCTCGTCCCGGTGCTACAGGCCACCGGGCTCCCGTTCACCTATACCTTCACAGATATCTCGGCATCGCTCCTCACGCATGCGAAGAGAACAACATTCAAGGGCATCGCAGGGGTGGAATTTCGGAAACTGAATATTGAGGAAGATCCCAGTGAGGATTTGCTGGGGCGTTACCACATTGTTCTTTCGACAAACTGCATACATGCAACACACAAGCTTCGGGGAAGTCTGGCTAATATCCGCAAGCTCGTACGACCAGATGGCTGTGTTGCGTTAGTCGAAGTAGGACAAAAGCGTGCATGGTATGAGCTGGTATGGGGGCTTTTGGATGGGTGGTGGTTTTTCAATGACGATCGCACTTACCCACTCCAAAGTCCGTGGGAGTGGGAGCGAGCAATGCATGACACTGGATTTGCAGACGTCGATTGGTCCGAGAGCGCGAGTCGCGAGTCAAGAGATGTTCGGGTGATTTGTGGAATGGCGAACGAGGTAAAGAACTCATTTTCGACCAAGGCAACCTCGATGCTGTTGCACCGCGGTTCAACTTCTGCTGACCGCAACCTATTCCTAATTCCTGATGGTTTTGGCTCTGGTGCGGTGTTTGGCGCACTTACACCGCTACTGCAACGTATCACAGATCTCTCTGTTTACGCACTCAATAGCCCGTTTCTCAGAAATATTCCGAATTTGGAAAGCCAGACCTCTCTCGAGGAGCTTGCCGGCATTTACGTTACAGAGATTAAGCGTCGACAGCCAAGAGGTCCTTACCTGATCGGAGGATATTCCATCGGCGGTGTGATAGCCTATGAAGCAGTGCGACAGCTTCTTGAGGCTCAGAATGAGGTTGAAAAATTGTTCCTGTTTGACACAATATGTCCGACTCTCGGGAACTGCCTCCCAGACAATTTGGCCGAATTTTTAGACTCCATTCGTACCATCGGAATGACCAATGGGAATGCAATTCGACGTCTCATAATGAGTGATCATTTTGCCTTTTCCCGGCAGCTGCTGATGAGGTATCAAGTAAGCAAATTACCGGGAAAGAAGACCCCACCAGTTGTGCTGGTCTCGGCCAAGGAGGGCGTGGATAAGCAGGATGAGATCCCGAGGCCAAAGGTGAGGCCAGAGGAGCAGAACATTGCAGACTGGTTTTTGGATGATCGCACTGGCGATGAATCCTTCGGGTGGAATGGACTTCTAGGAAGCGGAAACGTGAGCGTTATTCGCGCTGATGGCAGTCACTTCTCCTTGATGTTGTCTTCCAAGGTCAGTCATTACCAACACATATTGCTGAGCATATACTGATATATAATACAGATTCATGGATGGGGCTCAAACTTTGTAGATCTTCTTGTTTAGGCGCCGAGCACGCGTCGTGATTATATTTTTGGCCTCAGGCTACATAGTAGAGAGCCTTAGGCAAAAGTACAAGCACCAGAACAAATATCCAGAATACATATCTCGTTTGACCTCTTGAATTGTAACTCTCTGTATTCTATTTTTCAAGAATAAAAAATGAGCGAAAAAATAGCCATGGTGTAGGTAGATTGTATTACTCCTATGAGCACGCATCTTTTCTCAAAAGCAAACTACATCACATTGTTGGTTCAAAAAATATATATAGTCCCGAACTGAATAAAAGTTCGAATTTCCGACCTTTTTGTGCGTGGCACATCAATTCGAAAATTTATATCCAACACATATAAATAACAGACTGGGATGCACCCCCCACCCCCCCAATATCCCACTTCTCTCTCTTCATCATCTTCTCAATAACCTACTCCGAAATGACTTCTCTTGATCTTTGTCAACTAATGAATGGTGGCGCAAATTTTGGTAATATGCTCCAGGCTCTCCATGCGTAACGAACGCAGCAGTAGGCTTCCGCAGAACCCAACCAGACCCGGACCCAACCCAAACCCGGGTTGGGTCCGGGTCCAAAATCTCAACCCAGCGCCGGGTTCTAGGTTACTACCCTCAACCCGGACCTATACTGGGGCCCCAATTGGGTTACAAATATAACAAACTTACCAAGTATCACAATACAGTCTATTTAACGCTCGTTTTATCACCTTATATATATAAAATTCACTTTTTTTATATTTTCTCTACTTTATCTAGTTAAATTTAAATTAAATTAAGAGTATAAGTATATTAGATCTAGATCTATACTGGTGCCTCGAGATACCATATGTTGCGAGATGCGCCATAGCCAGAGTTTGCGGCTGCTTGAACTGACAAACAACTCAAAGTAACAGCAGCAATAGTCTGAAGATTGTTATAATGCATGATAGGCTTGATCTGAATGGCCTGAGTGACTGATCAGTTATAAAGAGAGTTTTCTTAGGAGGAACTAACCTTCTTTAATACATCGACTTTAGGAGCACTTTAGAACGCCACGCAAACAAAATGTAAAAAATACATAGCACCCCGCACAGATTTTCTTACCCATACTATTTTAGTATCGCGTGTCTTTATGGTCTTACTAAGACCCCACGGGGGTTTCAACCTTGGAAAGTGGTTGAGCTACATAGTTCGTTGGCTGGGGGATTTCGCTGCGTTTCTTCTCATTTCCTGTCACTCATTCTTTCTTTCTCTCTCTATAGGAGTTTTTTAATTGAGCACTTATCTCGTTTATTTGATCTGACTCGTTACAGGCTCTTCGGGTTATTCTGCAGGTTTCTGCAGGCTTCGCGGGTTATCATAGCGACCAACACGGGTTTGTATGGGTTTCTGCAGGCTTTACCTACTAAAGCTGAATCAAATTAGCCAACTATTATTGTGCAGAGCTTTAGTACTACAATGCATCAACCCGGTATGCTGTGTCTGGATAGCCGACTGACTTCTCGTAGCGAATGCTCCCGTTCCGCCACGGGTCTATTGGAAAGAGCACGAGCGTGAATTCTAGTGATGCCACGACTTGCACGCGATCTGCTCTCAGTCCCGGCTACAGGTGCAGGAGTCGACATACTTTTCAGTAGTGCGCAAGACATCTGCCATTACCGCCGAGGGTCTCTACATGAAGCAACTATCCAAGACCTGATGATGTATATGTGCTCAGAAAAATTCACCTTATCTAGCCAGCAATTGAGCGACATTGAGAAGCCGATCGAGAGCCAAGAGGCACTTGAAGAACATCTTGCGCCGATCAGCGATGATGAAGAGGTTAAGCAAAGTGAAGATGTCGAAGGGAATATTGCAACCGCGAAGACATATCATGTAGAATAGGTCGAACAAGGAGAACTGGTATTAACTAATACCGAAAGCTTACTAGTGCAGAGCAAAGGGTAAAAACGAGTGTTACTTAGATTGGAACCTCTCCATCCTTTCTTCTTATGTTATCTTTTGCTTTACGGGGGTTTGTGGTATGATTGGTAAATGTATTAATGTATCTGATCGTCCTTGACTCACTTATTGAGAGGGTCGAGCGATGAATTTAGAAAAACAAACCAACAGGCAATAATACAGGACTATGTCAGATGAGTGATGATGATCTTATGTTCTGCTTGTCGACTATGTGTGATTTCAGCTAGATAGAGAATGTCTTCAGTGAATCAGCTTCGGCCGATAAAGAGGAGTCTTCAACGCTGACTAGGCTAGGGAGTACTAGGCACTGAGTTTTGATCTTAAGATATATATTAAGGATTCTATACACTGTCGTTAAATTTGCAGATAAATTGTTGAACAAACTGTTAATCAATCAAGTTGGCTGGTTGGGACGCAAACCATATACTAGAGCACTATTATATCTTTAGGATCAAGAGCTATGATCCCAGGTTTCTAAACTATTTCCATTATCTAGGCCTCTCATTATGCTGTCAAAGAAAGCCATATCGACACCCTGAAATGCCCAGTCGTCCACCCCGGCAGTTAGCCCTGGATCCTGATAGTTCTGCAGGGGGGTATCAGAAACGGTATCCTGATATCGCGATGTGAGCTGCGCAGGCAGACCATGCACACTATCGACAGAGCTGTAACCCGCTTCGGCCATTGACCTAGGAAATGCATTTCCATCGAAGCAACCAGAGCCAAGATCACGCACTGCAGCTTCCGAGATCTCGGTGTTATGCATACCAACCACCGGAGCGTAGTGTTGGCTATTACTCGAGGGAGGTTGTGCGTTGGTAATTTCCCTGGAAACAACGCCCTGACTCGCAATCCTAACGATGCCAAAGTAAGGTATTTGCACCCGAACAACGCCGTTGTCGTTTTTGCTTGACTGCAACACTGCACTTTCTGGGGTCTGAACGCTGACACTCTCCGTGCTGATGCCATCTGCTGTTTTGGAATCGATGGCCAGCAACTTATGCAATAAGTCCGCACTTTGGGCACTTAAAGTATCCCCGTTAAGACGACTAATTTGCTCCATGTTCACCTGCGCCTGCTCTATCATGGCACGATCACCAAGATATTGGTGCGCTAAGAGGTTGCTGGTCTTTGAAAAACGGTGGCTGTCGAGATGCGCCAAAAGTAGTGTAATGGCAGCCATGAGTGCAAAAAAGTCAACTGTCCGACAGCAGAAATTATTCCTGTTGTAACCACGAAACATGATAAATCGCAAGAGAATCTCCCTTGAGGAATTCACGCAGGTCATTTTGGAATATTCGTACTTCCGTTCAGGTGATGAACGAAGCATGTAAGGCAGATGAAGCTGATTGAGCAAGTTATAATGATACAACTGATTGAAAAGCCGTCCCATATCAAAAAAGAGAGCTTTTGGGTCATCTGCGACACTGTCTAGGTTTGGCATAAGCCACCATTTGCTAGGCATACTTCTACCCGCTTTCTGTAGCTCCAAGTCGAGGCTTTGTGTCAGAGAAAAGTCACTAGCGCACGAGTCAGACTCGTTGCGCTCCAATATGCGAGACGCGAGAGTACAGTGCATCCGCTCGAGGCGGCCCATAGGGATGTCATCTCTGAATCCTGTGCCAGTAGCCATGCTCTGATCAAGAGAGCCTTGCGTAAGACCCAGCATGAGACATAGATTACGGTCGAGCGAGACAATTCGAAACCACATGAACTGTGGATGAGGTTTTGTTTTCTGGTCGAGGACCTTGTACTTTGCTCGGCTTTGACTTTGGTGGAGACTCATCATTTGCGCAATAGCCATAGCCCTCCGGTTCGCTATCCAGCTTCGTCGTAGATTTCCACCATTATGGTAGTACATGCTTTCCATCATAACACACTCCAGTCCTTCAATGCTGCCAGAAAACTCGTCGTTTGTTGTGACCAAATTAATAACAGTTCCTGCTAATCGTTCCACCAGAGCGGGAAGTGATTCCGGCAAACCGTTTATCACCCCAAGAAAATTAGGGTGGAGGTGCTGCAGGAAAGTAGCAATGCAAAGCATATGTCTTGCGATCAGCACTGGATGCGAACTCGGACTAGGTATTTCCAGTAAACTGTCTGGCGAATTGAGGCCTTTCTGCTTGAGAACAGCATATGGAGTGTTTAGCATCTCATAAAAAAGTATGGACTTTTTACTACGGGCATTGTATATCATCTCGATAACTTGTCGTGATGGGAAGCACGCGAGCAATCTTTGAGATAGCTTTTCATATCTCCCTTCAGCTTCAGCCAGGCCATGATCCTAATAAAATAAGTGACAGTTCATTATATGCTGGACTTCAAACAATGTATACGTACATCCGAAAGCTTGCATAAAGATAAGAAACGTGGAGATTCTTGGTCTGTTGATGCAATATCTAGAGTAGGGATTCCATGGCTAGGTGTCGGAATTTCGCTAGTTTCGGGTATTCCTACTCCCCTATGACGGTCCAATTTCCTAATCAGTTGCTCAAGCAATTCTTCGACCCTTGCAACACGATTGTTATCTTTGCCGCTCGCGTGATGTCGTCCCTTCCTCTCGAGATGTCCTGCGTTCTCTCTTCCATCAACAAATTCAAACTCTTGGCTCACGCATTTGGACTCTCGCCGCTGGCAGCCAATGCAGATGGCTTCGGTGTCGACTGGAGAGCTGGGGTCTGCATACACACATTTCATCTTGCGCTTTTTGCACTCCCAGCAACTCTTGGTCCCTTTGCGGATCTTCCTCCGCTTCGCCTCTGATTCGGCAATGATCTCGTAGTCCATACCCTTGTTCATACAGAGATTCAGTCAGTCAGTCCGTCACGGGGGGGGGGGTTTTTTTGCTGCGGAGGCCGTAAAATATGATGGAAGGTGAACAGAGCGATCGGACCGCCGGCGGGGGAAATTCTTGGGGACTACGAAGGTGTATAACGGCCAAAGTCTAGATGCCTGATTCTTCAGGCTTGATACCTTAAAGTGCCTAAGGATGCCTTATTTAAAACTGGCAGAAAACTAAGATACCTGAATTACTATGATTGGTGCCTTACTAAGCAAAATATCTTTCCAGGTGCCTAAGTTCAATAAAATAAAGCTATTCCTATCACACAAAACAGCACAGCATCCTCCCCCCCTCCCTTAGTCCTGGCGATGAATGAAGACTGTTGAATAAACTAGCACGACTTAGACAAATCTGAATTTATTTAAGGCACAGCCCGAATAGCCGTATTTGTAGTGTTTTGGGAGAGAAGTTGAAGGACCTCTGCTTTGTGAGGTTCAAGATCGATGTAAGTAGGCATTTGTGCGGTTGCGGTCGGTATCACGGCGATGGATAGATATAGGAATAGCTTTGGGGCGATGACGATAATGACGATGATGATAGCGATGATGGAAATAATGATAGGAATAGCTTCAGTTTTATTCAAATGCGACACGCTACAAGAATTCCGCGCTCTTATTGGCTGAGTCAGAGTGGTGCAAACATCCATAGATGGCTTCATTTACAATACAGCGTATAGAGCGGTGTCTAAAAGCGGTCTAAAATAAGGCATCTTCAGGCACCTTCAGGCATTTCCAGGTATCAACCCTGAAAAATCAGGCATTTAGACATTGGCCGTTATACACCTTCGTAGGGGACAGCTGACTTAGCGTATGTCATTCGACCGCCGCGAAATGTAACATGCGGCGGAGAAAAGCCCCTCTATATTTACATTAATATTACATCTTACATTTAGTGTGAGATATGAAACGGATAAGGATTACCATTTGGACATGTGCAAAGAATGACTGGCAACTTATAGATAGCATCGGCGGTTCGGACGATTCGGGGCCAAGGTCGATGATCTCGGGATATTGTCTAACAGTTAAACTACAAATAGCCATTTAGCACGTAGCTAATATAGTAATCTAACTGTACTAATCTTTCCCAACGCTAGTAAAATCTAAGGGGGTGTGAGCATTTTACTTGCCACTAGGGACATCCGTATCCCGAGCCTCACTGTACGGTCGAAAAGTGCTGCGACGGGCCATGACTGTTTACCTACTCGTTCCTCCGTCCGGACAAACGTCTGGAAGAAGCTCCGCCGAGGACAGGCTCAAAGTCGGCCGACATTTTTGATATCTGTTTTTCAAAACTATTAAACGAGCTCTAAAAAGCCTCGTCTCCATGTGAACCTATTATTATTCACTTCAATTTGGCCTGTCGTGTCGAGGACATTATTCCTCTACAGTTATCGACCGGTAACATTCCAACCATTACTATTAGCGGAAATGATTTCAACATTCGACGTGGAAAAAGAGCGGCGGAACACGAAATTGAGCGTACAGACATCAATAACCAACGCTCCTTCTGCGGTCGGTTTAGAGAGCGAGAATCACAATGCTTCAAATGACCAAGAGACTTCTTACCTATCGGGAAATGTAGATACTGAAGAACTTGACCTGGACGAAAAAGCACAGTATCCTCATGGTCTCAAGCTACTCATCATTGTCGTTGCTCTTGGTATGAGCATCTTTTTGGTTGCCCTCGACATGGTATGTATCATAATCCATCAGTGAGGAGCGGAGGCACTCTTCAAAGTGCCATCATCTAATGTTAATGTGAAATAAACAGACGATTGTAGCTACGGCTATTCCAAAAATCACCGATCAATTCCACAGCCTCGATGATGCCAGTTGGTATGGTTCGGCTTTCTTTATGACTACTGGAGGCTTCCAATCAACCTGGGGAAAGGTATACAAATTTTTCCCGCTGAAAACATCGTTCCTGCTTGCGGTTTTCATTTTCGAGCTTGGAAGCTTGATTTGTGGTGTGGCTCCAAATTCTGTGGCACTGATTGTCGGTCGTGCAATTGCTGGAATCGGTGCAGCTGGTATTGGGAGTGGAGTCTTCATTATCATCGCTTTCATTGCTAGTCCAAAAAGGCGTCCACTCTTCACCGGTATTATTGGCATGTCTTACGGTATAGCGTCGGTTGTTGGCCCCCTTGTTGGTGGTGCATTCGCTGATAAAGTAACTTGGAGGTGGTGTGAGTACTTCTGCTACTCAATTGATTAAATAAAACAGTTGTTCTTCACTGGACACTGGGCTTCGCTGACCTTTTTTTTCATTTAGGCTTTTACATCAATTTGCCCGTTGGAGGCGTCGCAGCCACTTCCATTATTTTCTTCTTTCATACACCTGACAGAGCTTCGACAACTAAGGCTACATTCAAGGAGAAGCTCCTGCAGATAGATCCTATCGGGACGATCCTTCTAATCTGTACCATAACTTCATATATCTTGCCACTGCAGTTCGGTGGACAGACGAAGGCATGGAACTCCAGTAATGTGATCGGTCTTCTTGTCGGCTTCCCTCTCATGATTATTGCCTTTATGGTGTGGGAATGGTTCCAAGGCGAGCGTGCTGCCTTCCCGCCGCGTTTGATGTCGAACCGCCTCATCCTTGTGAATTCAATCTACGCGTTTCTTTTCGCAGGTTCGTACTTTATCATAGTCTATTACCTTCCTTACTACTTCCAGAGCGTTCAAAATGTCAGTCCTACTATGTCTGGTGTACAAAACCTTCCTTTGATTGTCTCGATGTCGTTAGCTATCATTGTCTCTGGTGGCAGCATCACCAAAACTGGTCATACTGCTCCTCTTATGGTTGTTGGTGGGGTCCTGGCAGCCATCGGTTCGGGGTTGTTGTATTCGCTGGAAATTGGTACAAGCACAGGCAAGTGGATTGGATACCAAATCGTCGGCGGAGTTGGATGGGGATTGGCCTACCAGGTTCCCATCAATGCGGTGCATGGTACGGTGGTTCCCAGTGATATTGCAACCGTGACGGGTGTTATCGTCTGTGAGTAGTTTGCCTACCACTTCTTGATTATCCGGTAAAAATCTACTAACACACCTCATGTCTCAGTCTTCCAAACTGTTGGGGGTGCAGTTTTTGTGGCTGCAGCACAAGCTGCCTTCGTCAACCAGATTATTATCAAACTTGCCGCAACTGCACCGAGCATCAACTCAGCCTTAGTGATCTCAACTGGTGCGAGCGAGCTGCGAGACGTCTTTACAGCTGATCAGATGACTGCTATTTTGCCTGCTTACATGACCGGTCTCAAGGTCGCTTACGCCATTTCGATCGCTGCGGCGGGAATCGCTTTCTGTCTCAGCCTCTTCAACAGATTCAAGAAAATTGACGCCCATGCAGCAGCACAAGGCTCTGAGAGTGCCCCCATCAGTGCGACTGTGTAATGGCCTTGCTCTTATCATGGTCTTTCTACTTTGTGTGCCTTTATATCTGTACTTTGAGGTGCCTCAAGTTTGTGTCTGAGGATGGGCTTAGTTGTAGACTTCATATCTTTTTGTTCTTTTTTTTTGGACTTAACAGTGTTTAATATAGGGTAGAAATTTTTCTCATGGTTTGTGTGGGCACTCTTTTTTTTCTAATATCAGCTTCTTAACATCAATTAATCAGTATAATTTCCCCAAAGCCCTTCCGGTGGAATGAAAATATTACTAGCACAATATACCGCCGGCCCCTTGTTGGGAAGGAGTAAACGATACTCCATCGGAGTCACCAACGTTCCAAATGATGAGTTTAAACAAGTTTAAAAAATAAAAATAAAGAAGTGAGATTGGGACTTATATTCAAAATGTAGAGTGTTAGTAATACTTAATTTATTAATGGACTAAGTATCGCATAATCTTTTGAAATATCTCAGAGCTACAACTCAAGTCATCATACCGAAATGCCTTGATAATGGAAGCTAAACTCATTGAATTGAATGGTCCAATATGGCGGGCGACAGCGGCGTCAGTCCCGGACGAACTACCAATGCGAGGGTGTGAGGGTGGAAGGGAGAGGAAATTGACCGGAAATCGAGAGCATGGTGGAGATGTGGGATGATAATTTAATGGAGGGATATGTGAGGTGTCGGTTTCGAAGACGGCACGTATATATCTCTCTACCTCTAGCTTGACATGATTTATGATTCCTTTCTGCGTCTTTGGCCTTGTTAGAATCTACGAGAGTAGATAGATTACGGGACTAATGTAATGTATTAGATAAAGCTATGTAAAGCTACCTATGTAAGGGAGAGCATCTAGGAATACACTCTGAGAGTCTAATACTATGGGAGTGATCATGTGACTACTGGGAGAATCTCAATAGGCCATTGTTTGTCACTGTGACACAGATGAATAATTGCCCTGAGTGACGCAGTCCTGGGCTATTGGTCGGCGACATCGGACAAGGGATGGCCAGTATCACGACCTGCATGTCTAGAATAACGGCATGTAGTGGGGATAGGCGACTTTCCCGACAATAATTTAACGACAATATCTTGAGTTCGAAACTTCTAGGTAACGCGTTTTCTTTTCCTCCCCTTCTCTATATCGTAGTTTTTCTCATAAGCAATGAAAGTTGCTAGGTGATGAATTTTATCTCAAATATTTCACTATGTACTGACCATCACCTACCGGCTAACCTAAACGGGGAGATGATGGTTATAGACCGGTGGAAGATATACCAAAACCAGTCTATAGAGTTGTGACCGAAACAAGGCAAGTATAAGGAAAAGTCGGCAAAGGAAGAAGGCCACATTAGTGCCTCGGCGCCATACAGGAAATTCAGGTGCAAAATAGTGGTGTTCATTCAGCGCGTTCAGGTGAAGGGGCTGAATGGCTGAACTGAAGTAGGGCGGCGGTATGTGTGACTGACTTTCTAACGAACTAAAAAGAAAAAAACATACAACAGTGAGGATTCGCTGGTGGTCACCCACCCAACTACTAACTCACCGGCGTGTGGCTTAAGTACGGCTGAGCGGACGGGAAGCCCTGTTTTCCACACCCTATGGTCGTATGTATTATAATATTTGTGGGGGGGGACTACAATGTAGAAGAAATGGTTAGGATAGAGGGAGCAACACGAATGCATGGTATTGAGATATCCGAGATATGGGGAAAGAAGACCCAGAGAGAAAGGAAGATGATCGACTACCTACCTGGTACTTGGCAATGCTATGTAAGCAACCAATCCTAACAATGCCCACCTATGTTGGCAAGGATATCAATTAAACATAACTACTCCGTACTCCATGCAGTTTGCGCTAAAAGAAAAGGCTCGTGACTGAAATCTAGCCGCTGCTCGATGGGCCCAATAGCAACTCAACCGAATCCCCAATAATCAGTACTGATCTTAGTAAAAGGGTAAAATTGAAAGAAGGAAAACAAATACCAAACACAGAATCTCATCACAAGTAACATGATATATATACATGACACCAAAAATAAAACAAGAACGTCATTAGCAGTGTGTCATATCGTATTACTGAGAGGATTTCTTGACCTCGCATGGTTTCTCTCATTCAATACCGTGAATAAATCTTTTCGTTGGATCGGTTTTGCTAAAAAGAGGTCCATTCCTGACCCGTAAGCTTCGTGTCGGTCACTAGCACTTGCAAGGCCGGTCAGGGCGACAATAGTTGCAGGTCTAAATGATTCCTTCTCTGAAATATCGAGCGTGCTCTGATATTCACGCTCAGCCTTGCGAATAAGCCGAGTAGATTCAAACCCGTTCATGATAGGCATGGAGATATCTGTGCTTGTTAGAATAGTGCTTCATATACAAGAAGCAAAGCACTTACCCATCAGAATGACTCCAAACTTTCTGGGATAAGCTCTGAAAATATTCAACGCCTCCAAACCATTGCGGGCTGTCGTATAGCCGTATCCTTCTTTCTTCATATGTGCAACCAATATCTGCAGATTGATATCATTGTCTTCAACCAACAGTACTGCCAGAGTCGGCTCCTGTTCTATTTTGGTCAATCCCTCACGAATGGGTAATGCGACAGCGTCACTTTCATTTCGAGGAAGATGAGTGTTCTCGGCTTGCTGTGAGTCTTCCGTTTTGTCCAACTTGCGGTATGCATCATCCATCGCCTCTTTTCCTGCTTGATGGTTTTGGAAATCTATCTCATCTTCTGCACGCTGTGCTTCGATATCTTCCCTAGAAACTGGAGATGACTCTGTCAACTGGAGTGCTTTCTTCTGAGATTGATCTATATTAGAGTCATCCCCAGTCAGAGGTTCCTGGCCTTGTTGTCGCTTGATGCAAATGTTAAAAGCCTTGGCTAACTTGCGCGGGCCACAGGGCTGACTGATAAATTCGACAATAGTCTCGTGCTTCGATTGGCTTGCTGCAATAAACATGAGATGTGCTGCCTCAGGTGACCGGCAAATTACCACAATCGGAGATCTTCGATTCCCGACATTACCATCGGAATGGTTCTGGGTTTTCGACAACCACGATTCCCAAGTGTTCACTGATTCGGTGTCTGTCTGCACAGCAACGTAAAAATCGCACGAGGGGAAAGAAGGCTCTAATGGATTCAAAATATGGACATCCATCTGGAACCAGTTCTTGCACAATTTCTCCAAAGAAGTACAGAGAATTGCATCTCGATCGGAGATATCAGGTGATCCCAGCTCCAGGAGTCCCAGCCTCATGCCACGTGTAATGGGTCTCATTTTCAAAAGGGGCTCGGATTCGGTGGGACTGGGGTTGGTAATTTGAGTGGGTACGTGGGTGAGAATCACCTCAATCGAAACTTCAGTACCACGGCCCCGGAGTGAACTGACTTCGATGTGACCACCCATGGATAAAACCGCATGATGAACAATGCTAAACCCTAGTCCGTTTCCAGGGGCAAGCGAGTCTTCTTGTGTGAATGGAGTAAACAAGCTATTCTGCAGATACTCCATGCTCATCCCGATGCCCGTGTCCTTGACCGTGAGAGTCACCTTAAAGTCACAAGGTCCTCCGGGAAAGGCATCTTTGACAGGAGTGACAGGCGATGCTGTTAACTTTACTAAGATAAAGCCACTCTTGGTGTACTTCAGGGCGTTACCAAAAATGTTCATCATAATGCGGCGCCAGGCGCCTATTTGGGTGGAGAATCTCCATTCCGTAGCTTCATCGATATCCAGAATGATGCTAACCTCACTCGCTTGCTGGGAGGGCCCCAATAGGTCGAGTGCCATGTGGTTCGGGCGGTCGATCACCATTGATCTTTGTGGGCTGTGGTAAAAACTGTATCCTGCAAAAACACTTTCCATTACCTCTTCCAGAACGGCATCCAGTTGAATATCAGACTTCAGGCTAATCATCCCGGTATGTCGTGTCCGCCGTGAAGGCTTACTATGAGGTGATGGGTCTGTGTTTTTGTGTCGTCTTGAAGGGCTTTTCCGTTTATGGATAGCTTTGTTGCCTTCCTTCCGGAAATTGTTTATTTTCGAAAAATCCAGCAAATGGTTGATCGTATCCAACAACGTTCGCCCACAAGATTCAATGGTGTGTACCAATCCGTGCTGAAGTGCGTTCATCGCCGTATCCCGAAGTATTTCTGAGGTGCCAAGAATACCATGGAGAGGACTTCGTAATTCGTGCGAGATGCTGCTGACCAGATTTGTTTTCGCCTTCTCCGACATCTCGACATCTAGACGATGCACCTCCGCCATAATACTATTTCCGAAAGCCGACAGATACGTGAGCTCAGTCTCAGACGTGAAGACGCGCCTCGGTGTGTTTGTCCATACCAGAGCGCCAGAGAACCATCGAGCTCGATGGGAATCCCAAATTGGCAGGAGAGCGATGCTGCGAGCTCCCGGGAAGAGGCGAATAAGAATATTTCCGTCTTCTTTGAGCATGACACTACGCGTCTTTTTCCGGCTTCCCCTTTCTCTTCTACCAATAAGGTCGGCGTTAGGGTCTGAACCACCACGGTCCAACGAGCTCTTGCAGGGTGCATCGCTACTTTCATCTGAGGACATCGATCCCTCTTCGCTGAAATTGAAAATCTTGCCATGTGGGTAACGCCGCAGAAGCGTTTTCAACAATACTTCCCGGAGGGCAAGTCTTCCTTTTGATTCATCGTTGATACTGGATGTAGTCGAAGTCGAAAAGCCTAGGATTTCACATACGGTCGTATTCTCTGGGGTAGAATTCTCTGGAATAGTGTCCTTCCCAGCTGATGCGGTAGAGTTTTTCTGAGAATCAGATCCGGTGCTATCGTCGCTGCTGCCCATGGAGCTTTCCAAAGTACCGCTATCCGAGCCTGGCCCCTTTCGTTTCGTATCGCTAACGAGGCCACCATAAGACCCAATGCTCGCGTCGAAGAAAGCGACGCCTTCGACTTCTATCGACTCCCGGATGATGTTAGCTGCTCGCGAGAAGACTTGTCGAACCCCGATGGACAGCATGTCATCCTGTAGATTTTCGGTCGACGCCGTGCTTCGGACGGAAAAACTGGTTTGCGACTCAATTTTGTTGAGCCTTGATATCTGGTCGATACTGGCGTCTGAGCCCTTGTCGGACTGGGTCGTTGACGACGAGGAGCATGGTCCTGGGGAGAGGCTCGGTGATGGTACACTAGACAAGTCGGAGGATATGAATTGCTCCGGGCGATTTCGTGGAGATGCTTGTGACTGTAGCGGTGAGGAGGATGGGCGAGTGTGGACAGTGGTGAGCAGACCAGATTTGATTTGTGCATTTTGCTGTAGTATATTTAGGTGACCTTCTTCATGCTCCTGTTCATTCAGGCGTAGTCCAATTTCTTGGACCCACTCCTTGCGGAGCGTCGTCCTACCTTCCACAAAACTTCCAAACCCCACAATCATTCTCTCTGCACGATGATGCTCCGCTTTGCATCGAGCCATGTCCAAGTGAGTCATAACAGTCGATGCCATATTTTGCAGGAACTTTACCAACGGCGCGTCCAGTCCGGATCGTGGCTCGTCATCGATAATGCAGTAGGATCCGATTGTGATCCCTTTGGAACTAATGATGGGGGCACCTGCGTAGAACCTTGCTTTCGGAGCGCCAGTGACCATCTTCAATTGGTTAAACCGATCGTCCTCACACAAATCAGGTACCACGAATATACCCCCCTTGATCGCATGTTTTTCATCCTCTGTTTTGATTTGCGGTAGGGAGGCGACTTGTTGACATATCCCATCCTCTTTGGGGACAACGCAGCAACCTAACCATAACGCATCGCGATCATTCTCCACTGTATGATCTTGAAGACTGAGTGTTCGAGTGGCCTCTGCAAGGACATACTGTTGGTTCCGACCGAAGAGCGAAATCAAGGCACGTTGAGCCTTCAATCTCAAAACTCCTAGCTGGGCAAAGGCTGTCAAAGCGGTATCTGGTGATGATCGAGGGACATAGGCAGGATATTGATCTTGTGAATTCTCAGGTGTTGCGAGAACGTTCGGACCAGATTGAAAAACTTCGTTGAGTTTAAGATATCTTTTTTTTATGAATGTAAGGTTTTAGTTCGCATTCTGGTAACGGGGATGAGGATAGTGGAACCCTGTCCACATACTTGTATAGTTCCCTTTCCTGTGCTAGCTTGAACTTCGGTGGTCCATCTTGCGCTGGCTCTGGCGATGACATGAGATATATGTAGCGAATTCTTTTTGATAATTTTCATGACCAGACAGACTAGGAGACAGACTTGGGTATGGCAGAGATCTTATGACCTAAATTTTGAATCTTGGAATCTTGGAAGTGGACCCGTTTGCATTACATAAGACAACCATTGGTCCATAACTACCTAAATACTAGTATTTAAGTACTCCGTAGGGGCATAAAATATGAATGGGCCGATCCGTCAATCATATTGTTCCCAGCTGGTTCGATCGTCAATTGTATTATTTTGTGGCTTGCCGTTTTGATTTGAACAGGGAATTCAGAAACTGTGGAGAGTGGCAATAATGCCCACACCGCCTTTGGGTCTGTTGCACGTGAGTTTGAACTATTCTCATATGTAATCACATAGATAAATCAGGCTGCTAACTAGTTAACTACATCCATGGATAATTAGTTAACTATGTAATTACTCCTAATTGATTAAATAAGATTGTTTAGCTGCTAGGTGATCATAAGGACAAGCAGAACGTCTGTTTAGTCATTGCAGTGGTAGTTAACTACCTAACTTAGGTAGGCCCTAATATTCAATGGCCCATGGGGATCACACATACATAGATCTTCTAGACTACGTACTTTGTACAAGGACTACAAGAACTATATGAGAGACAAAAAAGCTGTCCATTTATTCTAAAATTATCAATAATCTATATGACTTTTTTTTAGCCCCAGCTAATTAGATAATGCCTTCTCATTGCTGTATCATTTTCACCCGTGTCACTGGACCCTTGTAGACTCTCCGGGCATAGATAACATAATAACCGAGTGAAATCACAACGACACCTCCAAAGATAGCCGCACTCCAATTCATTGTAGTCGGATCCACCTCCTTGGTCAAGGGGAAGAAACTAAAGATCCATATCACCAGCAAAACCATGATGGAAATCGTGTCACAGACGGGAGTGAACTTCCCCATACTCCAACGTGCCGGTGGTAGCGGTTGATTGCGCCAACGTCGAATACGGACGCAGGTAATAGAAATAATGTAGGAGGACAAAAGGGCGGCTGTACCCAGGGACATGATGGCGTTGAAAGCCACAGAAGACCCAATGTTGATTAAGGAGAGGAGAGAGACAATAACGAGACTGACGCAAAGGGCATTTAATGGGACCGTGAAGGTTGGATTAATCTGTTTTTTCCCGCCCATTTTAGTGAAGGTGATGGATGGGGGCATGTCAAACAACTTACCTTTGCCAAGAAATTGGAAAAGGGAAGACCCTTGTCTCGGGCAAACGAGTAGATCTGACGAGAGGTAGTGGCAACATTACTGATTGCCGCGCAAAATTGCATGATCATAATCACCACTGTCATCCCTGTTGTGGCGCTGACTGATCCTGTAGCATTGAGGAAGACCTGTATGAAGGGGAAGCCTGTTTCAGACTGGAGCACTTTATCAATGTCTCCCACACAGAACGCAAATGTGACTATCATGACAAAGCCAGTGGACCCGTTAAGGATCAGCGTCCAGACCATGCCCATGGGGAGCACCCGAGATGCATCTCGAATTTCCTCCGCTGTACCACGATATTAGTTAATTTCCCCTACATAGATCGGGTAATAGCAGGATACATACCCATATGAACTGCTGAGTCAGGGCCTTTCCCAGATATATCGTTAGTAACAGCCAAAATAGGATCTATCGATGTGAAGACACACCAATTAATGCATAGATGGGTCCAACCAATCCTGCCATACACGAGAGTCCATTATTACCCCATCCACCCCGATCTTCGATTGAACCAAAGACTTCGGAAGCAGGAATCTTCGGGGACAAAACCCAAAGTGGGATCAAAATTCCAAAGAAACCGAAGCAGTGCACAATCAAGATGATACCTTCGATCAAGGGGAGCTTCTGGGCCAGGAATGTATTAAACATCAAGGCTACCAGGGCCACCGCAATGACGAGCAGTGTGACATGCCATGGCTCATAGTTATACGTATCAGGATAGTTTATGGCAATCACGCCGACCATCATGTTAGCGACTGTATAACAGCATCCTGCGATACCGGTATGCCAACCCAACACGCAAATCCAGCCAGTGATGTAGCTCAACAGGGCCTGGGAACTGGCAGGTGCAAACTCCGACACCCAATGATACTGGCCACCGGACAATGGTGCCCTAGAAAGATCGAAAAGAAGGGTTAGAATCTCAGCCCGCCAAGGATTGACAAGGCGTCCGAACTATACATACATTGAAGCCATCTCAGCCATTGAGAGGATCACAAAGCTGAACCCTGCCAGGCCTCCCAGGTAAGTATAGATCATACCTCCTTTACCACCATTAGTTAATCCATAAGATGAACCGCTAATGTTATTAATAGGTCAGCACATGATTCAATATATTATAATAGAGTTCATTATTCTAGTAGAGATATCGATCAATATACTTAGAGAGACTTACAATAGAACTGCTTCCCACGTGCACATCAACACCGCCGTAAACCCTAAAACTGAAAGAAATCGGAAGTTTCTCTATAGGACCTGTCATTTTTTGCTTCTTCTCTCTAGCTTTGATGATTTGGAAACGGGGATTCAGCAAAGTTGAGTAGAGTTGCATACGTTCAGTTCTTGATCTCGCCCGGCACGCCACATGTCTTGCTTGTCTTGCGCCGTACCAGCCTTTTGGGAGGATGAGTGGTCCATGGAGGGGGTCTTCTCGGCCGTGGATTGTTGGACGTCCAACATGATTCCGTCCTCACGCCCCATGGTAAATGATTATCACTTCAATTCTGGTGATGGGGAAAGGAGTTAATTGAAGGATGTCTAAAGGGCAAAAACAGTAAAGGGGGAAAACAGTAAAAGGGAAAAAAAGAAAGAGCAACCGGAAAGTAGATAAGGGAATCAAAAATATTAACTTGACGATGGTACAACTAGGGCGAGAATATAGCCGTGCTTTCGGCAAGAAAATTACAAGGTAGGGGCAGATACTGTGACATTAAAAAACTAGAGTAGTAATAATAATTTATATATATTGTGAACCCTGGTCAGCAACCAAAGCTTTTGGTAGGTTGCGGCTAAAGTACGATGCATTAGGGCACCACTAGGAGGACGCCGGTCGTATGAAGTAAACACTATCATCCTGGCTCCACGAGTTGGGTGTTTTTCGCATTACGGAGTACACTAGGCTATTATGCGTGATTAATTTGTTCCAGCCTTCCTTTTGGCTTAAGTGGGGGGGTTACATGCACAGCTACCACCCCGAGGTCTGCCTTTAGCTATCTGGCCCCATTCAGGATCACAATCCTAGCTGACTATTCATGTAGACACTTTGTCAGAATCATCTGATTGGGTGAATTATATATTGATTCACAATTCCTCCGAAATTAGCTCTAGCGATGATTTACGGAGTACGTGCTCTGTGCTCCGTATTCCGTACGGAGTACTAAGATGCGAACAATGGCCTAGGCCGACAACTCTGGAGATCCCGCCCCCACGGTTCGCTACCACCTACAAAATTGTCCGTATTTCAAGGCTTGTACTCTGTATTGTATATAAAGAAAAAGTTTCTATATAGATCTGCTAAGCCTATGTTAGTTTTCGCACCTGCACAACCCCCGGGATATATTGGCACAGTTAAAATCTTTATAGCTACTCCGCGCTACGGAGTAAATAAATCATTGCTATTAATTTAAGTTTTTATCCTTGTTTTGGCTGAAGATAGGCCAGCCCAGTTATAAATATGTCATTTTGGCTAATAATTATTGAAGGGTCAGACCTTCCTATTTGTAAGGTCGACCTCGCCTGATGGAGAGCGGTTTATAGAGGTTAATTTATTCTAATCAACTTTTTAATTGCAGTAAAATGCTACTCCGTACTGTAAAATGATCTGCATGACCCACGTACATCGCGCCCAAACCTCCGAAGATAACATTGTATGTTCGAACAGTTAAATCTACCAGGACCCCTGTCGTTCATTTGATCCTTCGATTCATTCATCCGCCACAAATATGGCCCTAGTATTGCTCAAAAATTATAACAATGGCTGATCGCAAAATCTCTGATTTCTATTCCCCGTCACATCTTGCTTGTTTCAGCCCCTCTCATGGAGTCTGTCTCTCCCTATGCGGTCTCGGCGACGAATCGAAGTGGTTTGATTGTCATCGTTGAAACACTGTTTATGTCATGGATGATCATAGTGACCCTGATTCGACTCTATATGCGTCTTGAAATCAATGGACCGGTCAAGATTGATGATCTGGTTGTGTTTGCCGGGAGTGTAAGCTCTATTCGTTATTATCCCCATCCCCTGACCTTTCTTTTTTTCCCCTGGCCTCATCGCCCCTTGAATTTGATCAATGCATCTCTAATATTGATGCGCTTGAATTTTCTAGGTAATAGCCATCGCTCATGTAGGAACAATCATGGATGCAATCTCCCATGGTCTAGGCCGACCGGAGGACGAAAGCTCGCTGTCGAACTTAACACGCGCTGGAAAGGTTAACTTCCCTCCCAAATCCACTTGCTAATTGGGGGAAAAGGAACTGACGAAAGTTAGTTCAGAGCGTCTATGCAGCGAATCTCCTATTCCTGGCTGGGCATGGCGCGGCCAAGATTTCCGTATGTCTGCTTCTCAAACAACTAGGCCGACAAAAACGCTACTTGCTCTATTCCAATGTCCTTTTGGGCATGGCGACAGCGTGGACACCTGCTTCAATTCTTGCGGTTGGCCTCACTTGCTTCCCACAATACCAATTTACCATGGCGCAACATTGTAGTAAAATTGTGTGTTATACTTACTCAAATGAAGTGACGCAGCTAACAAGTGGGAGCAGGGTATTGCCTGGAAAGTTATCACTGCATTTGACGTGATTACAGATGTCCTCACCTTCGGACTGTGTGTTTTACTGGTATGGGGGATTCAGATGCGGTGGAAGCAAAAATGGGCGGTGGTTTTTGCATTTGGGACGAGGACCCCGTGAGTGTCTCATATCCCTAAGAAAAAGGTAACGAAGAAGTGTAATGGCTAATCATTATTCTTTGATATTTAGGGTTATCATCTTAATTATCCTCCGTCAAACTTATCTCGACCGCTCACTTTTCCATCCCGACGCGCCTCTACATCTATCGGATGCAATAATTATGACCGCCGTTCTTCTTCACTGCAGCATTATGGTATCCACAGTGCCATGTCTAAAGCCGTTTGTTATTGCATTCAACACAGGATGGGGACAGGGCGTCACAAACGGCAACGGTCAACATTCGTATTTCACACCCACTGGGAAAAGCGCATCGAGCAACCAATCTCAAGTCTACTCAATGAACCGAGGAGATGAAGGCGATGTCAATCTGACTACTTCCCGGAAATCACAGGATAGTCAGCACTCGCAACGTCTGATTATCCGTCAGACACGGGAATGGATGGTGGAGGAAGAGGAATATGAGATGCACTCGATAGCCTCTAACCCCCATTGAATTTGTCAGATTTCATAGCTCGTAGAACTTAGCTTCTACAACTCTACTCAATCAAGCTACTCACATTCCACCATACATTTCGACGTAGCCCTCTCCTGACAGAATTGAATTTATGTAAAATATCATATTTTATTCACGGGGAATAATATTTCAACATCCTGTCAAACCACACAGAATCTTTGACTCGGATTTTCAATTAACATATATATCCGTCCATTCCATTTGGTTAGCAGATATGCTGCGCTCATCGCAACTCGAGCTCTTCATAAATCAACTGGCGTGTCACTGCCGCCTCATCCTCTGCATGTAACCATCTTTCTAGCGCCTTCGTACCCAAGCGAAAACTTTTCTATGAGATAGCGCATCTCCTTATTTACGCTTGATAACCAGCTTTGTTAACGCTATAGGTTCATAGCAAGGGGGTCCATAGATATGTACATATTTCTGAAGCGAAGGTTTCCCGAGTATACAGCTGATGAGTGTCATATCGCGCTATATATATATTGGAGCCTGGAATATCTGAGCGTAATGCTCAGATATATTTGTCTTTTTGGTGTGTAACTCGCCAGTCCAGGGGCAGGTTGTAACAGAATTCTACCTAGGATATCCCTTACTCTTTAGGATATATTTGAATATTTTTAACGCCTTGGGTAGCGAAAAACAAAGACATGTGGAAAGAGCTTATTTTGAGGTCTATATAACAGATGGATAGCACCAGTAAATACAAAGTCCCAACTAAATACCATCAGTAGGCAGCTCTTGGAAAGCCAAATATAGCTTCCGTAATTCCGAATCTCTCTGTAGCAACACTTCAGCTCTATCGCACTCCACAAGTTCCCCATACTTGAGCAACATCACCCGATCGAACCAATGAATATAACGAAGCCGATGCACCACCGCAATGATAGTTTGTTGAGAAAATTCCTTCTCGATGATATCCTGCATGATTGCCTCCGTTTCCCAATCGACACTAATACAAGAAAATTATTAGCACCTATCTCGATGAAAATCTAGAAAATTCGGGGATGGATAAAACAATTATCTCATTAGTCATTACCTGCTTGTAGCCTCATCCAAGATCAACAAGGCACTCTTCTTTACAAGGGCTCGAGACAAGGCAAGCAATTGCCGCTGCCCGACCGACCAGTCCGCAGCAGAGAACTCCATATCCAAACCCCCTTTGGCACGAACTCGATCCCAGAGGCCCACCTTTTCGACGGCACGGATCAGTTCCGCATCTACCACGGACTGGCAAGGATCAAGGTTGAACCGGAGGGTGCCTGGCATAAAAAATGGATCTTGGGGGACAACGTTGATACGCGATCGGACTGTGCTTCTCGAGATCTCAGCGAGGTCTTCACCGTCTATGCTGATACGCCCAGACTGAAGGTCAAGCATCTGCAGTATCGCCATGATAAGTGATGTCTTTCCACTTCCGGATGGTCCGCAAACTGCAATTTTCTCCCCAGGCTTGATACTTATCGTAAGGCTTTTGAGGACCGCCGGAGTGGTTGAATGGCTGTTTCTGACTTAGCTTTGACTATTTATAAAAAAAAAGAACTTCCACTAAGGCGAGATAATACGTACTCATATCCAGCAGTCACGTCCGTGAGCTCCACCGCACCACTGCAAGGCCAGACATGCGGCAATTGAGGAGCAATTAGAGATCCCACGCGGCTTTCTTCCGAGGGAGTGTCTTCTATGAAGCGTTTCACGCGCGATACAGCCCCGACAGAGATTTCAGTCATGGTCCACATCTTGAGAGCATTCGCCAAAGTTTGATTGAGTGTCAGTAGAATGTTAAGTGCAACCCCAATGGATGCTCCATTGAATTGATCTCTCAGGGATGTGATCATGGCAATCAAAATGACTGCGATGGCCCCTACGACCAAATCCAAAACCAGAATCAGCCATTGCTGGATACTGTAAAGCATGTAGACAGGTCGCTGCGATCGGTTTAGAAGGCTGTGGCTTTTCTCTCGCATCTGGGGGCCCCAGTTAAAGGCTTGAATGCTTGATATGCCCTGGATTGTCTCGAGAAATTGTGTGTAGAGAGGCGCCTTAGCTTCAATATCCAGCAATCGGACCTGTCTGGATGTGCGCAGGTAATATGACTGAAGGAAGAATAGAACCACCCCTAAAAATGGGATTGAGGCTGCCAGATATCTGCCCATCGCACAGATAATAATAATCTTGATAAAAACATCAACAAAATCTACCGAGTGAGTTAGTTAGCCCTAGCTGTATATTGAAGAATATCTCGCACTAGTCACGCAATTGACGGCATATATGGGTAGCATCATATCAATAAGTTCCAAATCTTGACTGAACCTATTTCAGATATATTAGAAACAGACAACAGCCCAGGCTAAAAATTTTAAAACCAATAATACCTATTCGTTATCGAACCGGTGTCTACACTTTGGTAGAGGCTGATCGGTGCCCTACGATAGAAAATATTAGTATACCGAAATATGGATGTTAGACTATGATTGCCCACCTAAACGCTGTTTGGAGAAGATCGGAATGCAAATTCAACGAAGTGTTATTGAGAGCTCGAACGAAGAGCAACCTAGGATCTCTAGTCAGCTCTGAAAAAAAAGAAATCGCTTCTACCAACGCGTACCAGCAGCCAGCAACGAGACTCAAAAATGTCAATCCAAGTATCAAGCCGTAAACACCGAGATACATCCCTAGTTGCTTGTTAGGTTGCTCTTCATTTGCCTCGACCCACCATTGAATCCATAGCGCTGGAAGAAGTTAGATTTCCTTCTTGTCAATAGGGATCGAACAGAACAGACCTTGAAAGCTGGTACAGAAAGCCTCAACAACAGTGAATGCCAAAAACGAAACCAGAAGACCGTATCCTGCGCTCCGAAAGTAGTATTTGTACACGGGCCAATTCCCTTGACGCTTAACATGGATGATATTTTTATCGTCGGTTGTTTCCACAGAAATTCTGGTGTGAGCTTTTTTTGGCACAACAGCGAGGCCAGAATTTGATATCTCTGCCGTTGCAAGAAGAGGATCAGACGTTGGCTTCTGAAGTTTTGAGACAATGTTCGGTTCCTTAGAAAGCATCTCATTGTATGACCCCGATGCTGTAACCTTTCCTTCGTCCATCATCAGGATTTGATCCGCATGCACAAGCAACTGATCTATGTATTTCTTTTTAGCAGTGATCCTTGATCGTGATTTAATAGGCATTATTTGCCCTCAGTGGATCTCAAAACATACAGGTACTCATGACGAGAATAACCGATATCCCCCGTTTTTTAAAGTGGCCGTCTTTGCCAAAAAGCTGGTCCGTGATAAGAGCAATTCTCGTCGAGTCTAGCCCGCTGAACACATTGTCTAAAATAATCACGTCAAGTCTAGAGTAGACTGCTCGGGCGAGCGCCTACCGATAGAAAGAGAGGATTTGTTAGTACATACAAAGATAGTTGCATGTTATGCACAATGACTCACAATTCGCTGCTTTTGGCCTCCACTAAGTGAGATTCCGCTGCTTCCAGCCAGATGCATGTCACCATCTGAAAGAGTGTCGAGGTCGTCTTGCAGGCCACACGCTGCGCATGTAAAATCATACCATGTCTGATCAAATTCCATGAATCCGATGATATTGTTCCGAATTGTGTCGTTCCTGATCCATGGGATCTGTGGACAATAGGCCGCTCTTGAGAATGAGGCTGTTCTGGAACCATTTGTCACCATGTGCTGGTTAAGAATGCTCTCCAGCAGAGTTGACTTCCCGCATCCGACAGGACCGATGAGCATAGTAATGCCCTGGGGGATATCAACAGTGAGATTGCAAAGCACAGGTTCTTTTTCTGGGGACCAGGCTATGTTTGCATTTTGGAATGAGATCAAGAATGGATAGTATTTTTCGGGCGTCAGTAATGGCTGAACCTCCTCTTCATATTTTGTAGATAAAGAGCTCCCCTTCCCACAATATGCTTCAATCCTGTCAAAGCAAGCGACAGCCTGCCAGAGTGAGGGCATGGCTTGGCAAAATATGAGTAGGGGATTTGTGAGAAGAGAAATCAAAGCGAGGGATGTGAATGCCTGAGCAGAAAGGATTGACCCATCGTGTCGTACAACGGATATTATCGCGTAAATTGTAAATGTAGCAAAGGGAGCGAGGACAACAGGCAAGTTGGCTGGATTCAACGTCAGTTTATGTCCTAGTAGATATCTCATCCATCTCGGGTACTTACAGAGCGCAACCTGCCATATCAGCAACTTTCGGAAAGTAAGAGAAGTTTTCACTTCGATTTCACGCAGATGTGACACCAACGGTAAGATAACATTGCCCAACCCGAGCATTTGTACAGCCTTCATATTTCCTAACGTGTTTGCTGTCACTGCAAGCCGCTTTTGTACTCGCTCAATCCATTGTTTTTGCGCCTGTCCAGATCTTTTTGACACTGGGACCATTGCTAACACAGAACCTAGTGGCAAAGTTTCTCAGTGGTTGCTCTCGGAATATATCTCTGAAAATGAGTTGAGGAAACTCTTACCTAGTGAGATGACGAGAGGTACAAAGCAGGCGATCGCGATCTCGCGCTCTAACAACCAAATCCCAATGCCTAACTCTATGATGGATGCCCATGCCTCATGCAAGTTCTTCAAATTAGCCACTATTCGTTCCACATCAGTGCCCATTAATGTGATAGCTGCGGAGTCAGTCAAATCAGCCGCAGTCAGGTCGATAGTCTGGTCATAGATCATCGATATAAGGCCAGACCGCATCATGGTGAGTAGACGGTATGTTTGACGCCAATATATGGCGTTTGAAACCTTTTTTTTACCATCAGAGACATCATGCATTAGAAACAATGGATATAGACCTACCGCCAACCCCAGATACACCAGAACGTACGCGCCTATGAGTCCATTTCCGTAAATTCTAGGCTCTGATGACAATGACCCTCCAACATAATTCACGGTTGCTGTAATCAGAAAGGGCTGCGCGAAGGTAAAGCAACTTAAGGCCAGGCGTGGGAGGATTGCAGAGACGCAGGCCCATCCGTATGCACGAAATACAGCTTTGATTAAGCGATGAGAGCCGTTTGTGCTTGTGGAATCCCAGAACTTTCCAAGCTTGCTCCCCGAGGCTTGCCCTTGAAGATTCTTGTCGACCTCTGGAAAATCCTCGACCTCGAGAGCTTCCCGATACCCTGTCTGTAGGAATGGCAGTATCCAGATAAAGAAGCTTCGGCTCCAAACCCCGAGTTTCTCTTCGTCAGTACCACCACAGTATTTAGAGTGCAGAATCTTGGTTTTTGGAACCGACTCGAGAACTATAATTCCCACCGTCAAAAGCAAGCTAGCTAGTGAGAGATATCGACAAACTCCCACGGATGGGATTAACCATAGTGAGCGCAACTGCGGCAGTCTGCAAATGCTAGAGGCCGAGGAATAGAGGATAAGAAGATCCGATGGTTTCACAGATCGCTGGTCTTCTAAAAAGGAGGCGTATGTCGCCGCAAAAGTTGCCATGATGTTGAGTATAACTGCAGGCAAAAAAGCCCGCGTATGAAGGACGGATTCTCGGACTTGAAATGCTGCAAACAGAACTTGGAGAACAAATAACACGGCGAGAAGGCACTGCTTGAGCTTAGACAAAGTCAGGTAAGGTAGAAGCCATGACTTTTACCAGTTTGTAGACCGCGAATTTGTATGAAATGACTTTGACCGACTCGCGCCGGAGAAAACAAAGTCTTATAGGTAAGATCAATAAGAAAACTGCGGCTGGCAAAGATGTGAAAAATATGTCCTCAAATAAGAGGGTAAAGTCAAATGCACGACAATCGATGCTGATGCGAGGGCCAAAGCGATTGTCGGCTTCCAATGACGAGCACAAGCTGGTTGACATTGGTATTTTGCGACGTATATTAAGTGTCCAGATAAGTTCGGTTGCATTCGAGAAATTTATCTGATTCCATGGGATAAAGCACTAAGTTATACTGAGGTTAGATGCGTATTTATGTGGGTATCGCTAACTCCATGGCCAACTCGGAACAACCACAATCAATTACCTATTTAGGAAATATCAGCTGTTGAACTCCGAGGATGGATAATCTCTTCATTCCGATGGAATACTTGTTTCGATGTAATATTCTTGTCTCAGACCGTCTTCTAGGTCTAGACCTTGCCGACGGATCGCAGGTGTGTTATAGCACTTCTAACCTGTTCCCGGGAGCGAGGCCTGTACGTGAATCTCTATATATTCTCTGAGATGTTACTTATGCACGTAAATCCGTGGATTTCAAAGCTTGACTGTTCTAGAGAACCTGGCAGTTTTGCTAGTAGCGGCCCTTCTACCATATACAACTACTTACATCATTCTCAAGCAGTTTCAATGTTTGAGAGAGGGCACGCGTTATATACAGGAGTATTCCCCTACGAAATCTGCACGAGTAGCAACACCCCCTGAGTAGCAAAAGAGACCATGGAAAACTTCAAGCTTCTCATCCCTGCGGGGTTTGGCCTTGCTCATGGTGATGTGTGTGCTCATATCCACCTTCGAATTCATTGGTTCCTGAGCTCATCATCACGGGTACCTCCAAAAGCTGCTTGTGAAACATCTTCGGGTTCATAACCAGCCGCCTACAATGCCGCGCATGAGCGACACTATCAAACCTCCGTTCCATCACTATCCCCGTTTCCCTTATTCGTATATATTTTTCCCAATAGAACATGGACTGTGCATTATGCCAGTCTCTCAGGCCCCAGAAGCTTCCTTTGCTGTCTCCGAGAAGTGTAACCTGTGTCTTTCCAATCTGGATGATCGCATTTGCATCCGCATAGTATGGCCACGATCTATCAGGTGACGGACCCGATTTCTCGAACTCTGCCCTCAGTTCGTCGTCTCGGCAGTGAGGGGGTAGCCAAGCTGTAACCAGTGAATCGTATATACAACGCTTAGAAATGGCCTCCTCGATGCTGTGCCCACAGTCGCACAGGTTCATCTTTGGTTCCAGAGTTTCGGGTCTGTATATATCGGGTTTGGCAGAACGCAATCTGTCGAAGTGAGATAATTGGAGGCAGATGGATATAAATCCCCAAGGCGCCAGGAGAACTGTTATAATTCGGATTGCCACATTCAACCATCGGCTGTAGCGTCGGTCGGAATGGTATAGAGGTAGTCGATCGGTAGATTTGATACATTCTTCATCACGAACGATGTCTGCACAGTGAGGTCTACTTTTGGTATGGTAATTAGTACATCAATGGCACTTATTTGAAGCTCTATACTGTTTTAGCGAATAAGGAAAAAGAAAGTAGGTAAAGATAGAAGCACAGAGAGTATATACGTAATGCTGTAAAATGCACCAAATCTCAGTGTCTAGATCGAGTCCACGGCAAGGTAGAGCCTGGCGCGAGATACTAGACATCTGACACCATGAAAATCTTGTCGTCATCTGTGTTTCCCTGATACTCATTATTTCAATCAAAATACAGGGCTGATATAGAAGTCCAGAGACAGGAATATAAAAGCTAGCAATGTTACCCATTTGTTGAAGCCACACATCAGCTTTGTGAACATCTCAACTCAATATATCAGCTTCAGATCCTTCCAGTACCTAATTTTGAATTAGAATCACTCCCTAAGATGCATCTTACCAGGACTCTCTACATCGCCTGTGCTTGGGCTATTGGAGCACAAGCGCTCGTTGCACGCACTGCTTGAGAGGCCGACGAGGCCTGGAAGATCAGTCCGTATATCCACTCAGCAAATTGATCCGGGAACATACTAACCTTGAAATCTAGGTAAATAACTGGATATTCAAACAGGGTATCCGTGGGGCAGAATTTGATTGTGACATGATTCCGCCGAGCATGTATGATGATCAAGCTTTTGGAAGGGTTGTGAAGTATAATTGTTCATACATGAGGACAGGAAAGCAGATTTGAAGTCAATGTTCCGTATATCTGTAGTTCTATTGAAGAATTTCGATGGCTTTATGAATATATATTGAACTGAGGATTCATCGATGGCTTTATTTAGCGAACGCGATGTGCGATGTGTCGTTCCTCATTCGTCTTCATTTGATCCTTTAGTCGGAAAGGATGGTTTATCGATGAATATGAATTTATTAAATAGAAAGATGAAACTTGAAAGTGATAGAAGGTAGTGTTCCGTAAACAATGCCTTTACTGTTGTGTTACGGAAAACAAATTCTGATGTGCGTTCCAACATCTATCTTTCTGAACAAGATTGGGCCTTTGTATTGCCTCTTAACAATATATGTTAAAATAAAGGAGGTTGTTGTAATAAAGTCAAGTGAAGTTTAGCAATGGGTCCTGAGGCCAGTGGATGTTATCAAACCACGCCACAAAATCAAGATTGCCGTCCAAATCACAGACGTCAAGCCAATTTTCAGATACTTCAATATCTGGAACCAAAGGGTCCGGTTGGAGACACGCAGGAGAAATAATTCGATCGAGCACCCGACGAATAAATTTCGCCCCTTGTTGGGCAATCTCATAACTCCCTTCGTGCGGCGACACCAGGAAGGTCAGATGAGAGACGAAAATATTAAGCTTTTGGATAGTAAGCCAGCGAACATTGGTAGCTAGCGGCGTGGATAATGGATTCGATATCTGAGAGGTATGCTCCGAGAGCAGTTTCGAAGTCAGGATGCCTGCAGCAGGAAGACCCATGTAGCATAACTAAAATAGTATATAAGCTTATAAGGTCCCATGGCAGTATGAAGGCCCAGAGCAGTCTTACATCCCACGACATTTTCGCCATCAAGTGAGCAGGTTGGGTCTGCATGGAAATAGTGTGTAACAGCGTGGTAACTAGTTCTAATGAGCTTTCAAAGAGGCCTTGCGAGCTTATTCCAACGCGCTTTAGCAAGATTCGATGTAGCAGAAACTCCTGATACGTAAATTCTATGTGAGCGAAGGCGCGGCCCTCGTCTCGTGTAAATCTGTAAGCACCCGCTGCAGCTTCCTCGGGGAACCAGTGTAAAAATGAGGGAAGTTCTTGTTGCGTCTGACGAGATTCCTGGATCAACTTTCTGTGCGGTTTCTTCCGGTCAGTCCCTGAAATCAGCATGATATGAAGTCTATAATGGGATACGAACTCAACTTTAGGTAGAATATCCTGAGTCGTAGGACTCAAAGACAATTCTAGGATATTTTCTCGCAACAAACTCGTTAGTAGCACGATGCGAAGTCTGACCCCAATGGTCAGATTCCCTTCGGTGTTCCAACCATTCGCGTCGAGATTCTGCACTGCCTCCTCTCCTTCACTACGGGAGAGGATCATCTTCTCATAGCTTATATCCAAGGGAAGCGGAATAACACAATATCGAGAGCAGATCCGTGGAGGACGCCCCAAAGAGGTCGCTAACTCCTTATCAATTGCGTAGGCGCACACCATGACTCGCTTTCTTATCTCCACCAAGAAGAACGGCAATTTTTCTTCAATATCTTCATCGGATTGATGCAAGCCGAATGCGTAAACGATGGTAGATAGATCTCCAAGTTTTTGCCACACCCTATAGTCTATCGGAATGTCAGTATTTTTTTTTCTTTTCCAGTGGGTAAAATTGAAAAGTGATGGCGTACCGCTGTCGCCATACATCGAAGTCAAAAGAACTATTTGCTGGGTCATGAGCCAGCAAAATGAATCGCTAGTCGTCCCAGCACCATTACAAAATTGGCAGCAAATCTCTCCAATGGCGGTGGCGATATTCCTGAGCTGGCGTTTTTCAAGCTTCCACGGGTTGCGATGTGTGAATATCGGGTCATCATCAGGTGTATGGAATAATGCTGTCCCTAACAGGGCGAAGACAAGTCCAATTGTCTCCCATCTCGGGGTTATTGAATCAAAATACTCAGACACATTCATTGTCGGATGTGTTCGGACATCTTTAGATGTGTTGACAAATATTCGACGGGACAAAAGGGCCAGCGATGCATGAGTATCCTGAGAGTTACGGACTGCACAATCATACATTTGCTCCATAGAGTCACACAAGGCCCGAGTCAATGGAGGACCAAGAAACCATCCTAGGGAAATCTTGTTCTTTAATTCAATGATCTCATAGAACCAACGGATCTTCTGCAGATGTGATAGAATCTGAATTCCTAGCAACACCTGATTTGGGTCATTCAGTGGATATGTAGTTGTTGGTACTGTGGCTGGTAGGCTGCCTGGTTCTTCGACACGTAGGATATCTTCATACTCCCTAAAAATATCTTTAGGGGAGACCAACCCTAGAACTCCCGGTCCCAGGGTCTGCTTCTCTTCAGGAGTCCATTTCGCGATATGCTGGTCGGGTAACGTATCCCCCTCATCGGTAAGCGGTGGCAAACGCAAACCTGACGGCTGGCCTGGCGCGGCTGTTCCAGAAATCGTTTGATCCAAACGAAAGACCGACTGATTGTCCGGGCGCGGCTGCCTCTTTGGTCTCCGGGAGACTACCCTGGGGGCTCGTGCGCTCGGCTGAGTCAGCGGAGCAGGGTGATAGAAGCAACGATCGGCCTGGCCGTGACAGAGACATCGACCGCAGATGGGACTTTGGTGGTCGCATCGTAGTTTGGACTTCCGGCAAGGCTCGCACGATGACAGCCGTCCATTTCGACGAGGCGTTGCCATTTTTACCGAATTTATTTTTCAATGGTGAATAAGAAATTTTCAATCAAGCCTGAGAGAGAGAGGAGGTAAAGTCTCGGCATCGGACATCGGCATCGGACCTCATTAGATTTCCTATTCGGGGAATTCCGCCTCCAACTCCGAATGAAGTGTGAAACAGCCATATAAATGATCATAGATATATAGCTTGTAAGACTTTTGCTGAATCTTGCAACACTGCAATCTTAAAAGGAACAACCTACAAACATCATCACTTCATGAATCAAAGGCCACTACGGTAGCCTTGACAACTATGTACTCACCTTGTGGATTATCTTAAATCAAATTTCTAGTGCCTTTTTATTCTTACCACAAGCTTGGTAATAAGTTGCATGTCTTGTTCGCTGCCATATCACCATCGGGGTTTCGAAAAGCAATTCAGCACAAGGGGATTCGTCGACGATTGCTTATCAAACACACGGGTTAGGCCCCAGGAACAGCGGCCTCAGACCCTTCCAAGGTTGTTGGGAGCTAGTGCTAGCTATCTGCCTATCTGCCTCCTGGTCATAGTTACATCGTACCCCTCTGTGGCGCTTTGATCAGACCCAACGGCGGACCGTTCCTTCCGGGGGTCTCTATGCGACTACACATACGTCCAATGATCAACCTTAGAATGAAGTCGAATAGATCAATTTCGATGTGGCATATCTAGAGCCGTTACAGACTTGATATGGAAAAGTCAAGTTTACCGGTATTGGTCTCCTGCATCTCCCTATGCCCAGAAAAAAACACTCGTAGACCATAACAATGTCAATTTTACATGCAACCTCTTCTTTCGAACCATACAATGACCCATTATAATTCCAATCACGGATTATCACACTCGAAGAAGACTGCAAAATCGCGTTTCGCAATAAAAATTTCGTATGTAATATGCATGCTGTAATTGGCTTGGAAACTGACTGGGTGAATGAATAAGGAGAGAGGAGTAAAAAACAGAACCATTCCAAGTCAATTCAACACCAGGGTGGCAGCTCTTCTCGCATATTGAACTGTTCCCAGGGTGATCAAATGGGCTTTCATAGCGGGATTTCTAGCACGGAAGCATGGGCACAAACTGCCGTACCGTCCTTGAGTTCAGTCCCTACGAATTCTCATTTCCTTTCACACCAAAATCCGACGCTCGATACTATTTCAGAGGAGTATTGTAAATCCCAATAATGTTTAAAAGTCTTAGGGGACTTGAAGGATGACGAGGCACACATCCTCTCCAATGCTCCTCTGCCTGAAATGACATTTTATTCGGAAACCCAGGTTCGCTCGTCTTTGATGTCCACCTGCACATTGCTTCTTAGAAAAGATAACTAATATTGGTATTTTCAGGACACGAATGGATTGTTGGGGCTCGAATTTAACCTTGCAGAACTAGGGAGTGGTTTTGGACAAAGACGGGAATTTTCATATGAACAAGGAACACCAAACATAGTGTCAAAGGGGTTATTACTTGCTCTTGAATGTCAACCACCACGACAGCATTCCTTTCCAGCTTAATGATGAGGAATCGGTAAATCTCACTTTTTCTGTTTCACAAGGTCACATTTGCCTCGAATATTGGCTGATATATTTCGCAACAGATTCCTGAGGAGAGGATAAAAGATAAGGCTTTCTTGGTACTGCAAGAACAGAAGGTTCACCTCAGGAAACAAGCACAGGAGCTGATGTATAGGCTGATTTCAATATACATCACCTTCTATATGTTCTTACCCACTCCACTTTTTATGGCTTCCTCACCAAATATATATATCTACTATATACTACACTACACCACCATTTTTTGGTTCAATTAATTCAATTAAAAAATATAAGTGAGCTGAATATCCGCACAATAAATTCCTCGCTTAATATTTTGTATAATAACCCTTAGCTCTCCGTACTGCCTTTAAACGTCTTCCTATACTCAATATCAATATATCTATCTTAGATTAATCTAATATATCCTATACTTCGCCTAGGTATTTTTTAAAATAAAGCCAATTAGTCTCACTTCTTCCTATACTAATAAGCTCTAGAAAAAGTGTAAAAAGCTTCACTTTTAACCAGCGCTATACTAGTTCAATCGGGTTTAAATCAGGTAAGTGTACGGGCCAGTCCTCGATATATATCCCGTAGGATTTAAACCACTCTCGCGTCACTAATACTGTATAAATCCTTACGTTATCTTACTGAAATACTAAACCGGGTATATAGACTAGTAATAGACCTTTTTTAAGCGCTTTGATATATAAATTTGCAGTATAACCTCGACTAGAAGGTAAGTCCTTGTCCTATTCTATAATAACTAATTTTATTCGACCACTAAGCTAGATTCCAGCCTAAACTATTTATAAAATATCTTTAACGTAAACCTTTGTATTTATAAGATCCTTTTTAAGGCCCTCCGAGGTTATACAGAAGCACTATTGTAGTCTAAAGTTCGAGGTTTATTACACTGAACACTTATCCGAAAAGATCTACAATTAAAAGCTCTCCCAGCGCTATTTCCTTACGAATCTAAGCCTCTTTATTATAAGAGAGGGCTTAATTAGTATCTTCTGTCTCGATCGGTGTTTTCTGAATCTGTATCGCTTTAAAATTCGATATATAGTAGAGGGTAATAGATACTAAACTATAGTAGTACTTAGCTGTTTATAGGTCTAAAATAGATACCGGCGGGCCTATAAAAGAATTTGATAATAAGCTCGTTCAGTAAGTATAGGGGTACAGCTAGTTTTCTTACGATTCTCCAATTTTCTATCCTCTGTATAGCGTTTAATTATATTAAAAATAGTCTTACGGGTACAGCCAAAATTATTGGCTAATTAAACCTACGTAGCACTATTGCTGTATATATATACAATAGCCGCTCTTTGCTCAGTAGAGAGATGTGCCGATTTGCTATTTTTTGATCCTATTTTCATTAGATTTGAAGCAGTATAGGTGGTGTAGGAGGAGAAAAAAAAACATGGGTTGGTTGCTGGGTCAAATTGTAAGTGGGGCAGTGGGTAAGAACATATGACTAGTATGTGTATGACCTAGGGGTATCTCTAGAGATATTTCCCTGCGATCCGTATCTCAAGCACCTGCTTGAGACCGCTAATACTGCATTCTCTTCCAAATGGAAGTATATTGGTATTTTCATCGGCTTGATTAGCCGTCGTGCACTAGAATATGTCACGGAAGTTACGAGACATCGAGACGAATATCAGGCCCAACGGACAGTCCAGGCCATAGCACCATAGGGGACTACTATATACACATAACGTACCACACGATATAATCGATTGCTTCGTGGATGTTGCATTTTGTATCTAGCAAGTAAGAGTATTAGATGATTCCTAACCGCTCTATCAGCCCCATCCGTGTCTTTTTATTGAGTTAGATTTCTTATATCTAGATTTTTAGGCCTAAAAGTTTTACGAAATATTGGAATAGGCTGACCCCACACTATTTATAATCAGCCTCTGTATAACAATCTCTGGGAGGGATCCTAGCTCGGCATTTGGCGTCGAGTTTTTTTTTTTGCTTTGGTTGGATGAAGTGCCTGCATATTCATACGTACCTAGTTAGGCTGCAACAGGTTAATTGAATTTTGATTAGTTGATCGGACCGCGACGACAAAACTTAGGCTCTTAGTCAAGAGTATTAACATCTCATGATGGCAATCTAGCACCTAATATATGTCTCAAAATAGTACAACTGCTGCGTCCCGACACTAGAAGGCTCTAGTTAACACCAGACAATTTCTTTATATCCATTAGCCGAAACGGGCTCAGGATAGTCAGCGCTAGACGGGCATAGAAGGCCCCTCCAAACTTGAACATTGGCCCCTATAACCCCACAACTTCACCTCGATCGATTGATAGGTGAACCTAGTTCGTTATAGCAGAGTCGGCAAGCTCTAGTATAACCTTGGAACTGGATAAAAGACAAGACACGGTGACTTGCTCTAAGACTATGCCAGTTCTAAAACTTGAATACCTCTTCCGCTGACACAACCAAACTGGGCACATTGGGGGGGGCCAACATACTTGGTTATTGTCGCTTTCAATAGATCATAGGTAAAATCGGGGACTGACTTTATGAGCTTTTTATCAATCACTGGGGTCATTCCTTCCCGAAGCTTGGGTAAGTTGCTCATTACCATATCGATCGCCAGTTTCCCCAGCTTTCGGTACTTTTCCTGTGTCGAGTAAAGTTCCTCGATTTTCATTGCAAAGGACTGTCTTTCAGGACAATCCTTAAAAGAGTCGCAGAATTTTATTCTTGCTTCGGTTCTCAACTGGCTGGTATTGAAGAACATCCCTTCGCCATACATGCGCATGTGAAAGTAGCTTGAGTGACAGTCAGTCAATTTAGTGAAGGAGGACTCCGCTACATTCCCTTGCTAGATTAGGTCTTTTCCGGGGGCTTCTTCAATCGGAGCTGGGCCCACTTCCGTTGATGATCCATCCGCCAGTTCCTCTGCAACATTTTCTTCTGTCGCAGGCCAATCAGACTCATTGAAGGAATATTCTATCCCTGCCGCAGGCTCATCCAAGAAATATTCCTCTGGTGTATAATCTTTCGGATTCCATGAAGGCTCTGGGTCCATCCTTGGGTCCTCTTTGCCATTGCACGGCGTTCAAAGGTATAGTCTCCAGTGTACAGAAATTCTAACACCTCTTCAACTAGGACCAGTGTTTTGTCCTTCACATAAATCGGCTCGTTGGTTGTCTAAAATTTAACGCCACTTGTTAATCTTGATTCAAATAACCGGTAACTATTTACTTTACTTTACTTACTTTTTCTTTTACCTTAAACTCGCTGTAACAAGCGTTTTGAAAATACCTCGATTTGGAGCAAACAACGAGATTATGAGCCGAGAACTTCTAGTCCTCGCCAATGATGGTCAAGTCGCTATATTTCGGGTTGAGATGCAAACTTAGTTGAAGTCAGTGATAGGCCTCACAAGTCTTTGAGACGAGCAATTATCACCTGGAGATGAGAGAAACAATAGTTGGTTCTTGGGCTCTCACATATAACAGTTCCACGTTAACCCTAATTCGGACTTCGCAAATGACACAAGCTGCACGAAAAGGATCCGGACTTACAGTGATGCAATTCACAATTCATTTGTGAAATCTGCATCTTCGAGGAAAGTGTGCTTGTTCGGGTATGAATTCTAATTTTGTCTTCTTCCTATGCAATCAAACGAAAATAAACGGCTAGAAAGCACCTATGCCGATGAATATGAAAGTTTTTCAATTTTCAAAGATTGGGCGATTTGAAAGTTGCATTTCAATTAATGCTCCGAGGGTTCAATTACGTTCCAGGCATTATTAGCTGTTGAACATTTCATCCGTTCATGTAATCATATTCTCGTGTGTCTTTCATCCAATGGTAAGATGGCCGAGTTGGTCTAAGGCGCCAGGTTAAGGTATACCTTGACTCCACAACTAGCGATAGTTTCCTGGTCTCGCAAGAGGCGTGGGTTCAAATCCCACTCTTATCATAACTTTTTGTTTTTGCTCATTACATCTCAATAGAAGCTTCTCTTTACTCAATTGGGGTATTTTTGGGGAGGTTGTGCGTTTTGCAGATCTTTCTAGTTCCAAGGTACTTATGGCAAAAGTTTTATGGAATATCGTTTCACTTAACAACTTTATATTTATTTATCTTTTTTTTTCTAGTTACCATAGGTCTGTCGTGTAACCAACAAGCTGTGACCATTGAACTAAGACAGGGGGGAAAGCCTTGAGGCTACGATTTAGTTTATTAAAAATAAATAAAAAGTAACAAAAAGACATGATAAGAGTGGGATTTGAACCCACGCCCCTTTCGAGACACGGAGACAGTTGTATACCATCGGGATCAGGTTAACCTGAACCGTGCGCCTTAGACCAACTCGGCCATCTTACCAATTTGGATGGAGGATGAGTGCACTTTTGAATTAATGAAGGAAGTTATCAAATTCAGGCTTTCAGTGAACCAGATCACGCAGGTATTCATCCTACTACTTTGTTTTACTTGTCGATTTCTTGGACAGTATAGGATATTACTGGAATTACATCATGTTTTATTACTTCGAGTATTGTCTGTCCCCTTCAGTCTGGGGTTGGAGGGTTTTATTGAACATATATATGCCCCGAGACTGCCAGCGGACCAGAATATATATAACCAAGCCAAGAAGTGTGGCATTATTTGACCAACATTATACGGCTTTGTTATATCACTCTATTTTATTGAATGATCATCTAACCTGCCAATAATCTCCAGAAAGTCGCCTGTCTCGTGATTCTAGCTGATCAGTTCTTCTTCTCCATGCACGGCAGACATGCCCCACAAATGCCCCCATGGCCAAGGTACCTGATTACCCTCTGAAGCACCCCTTCATCAACCAACCTAGCAGACCGAAAGGATCAGGCAATGAAGAGCACAGTATAGTTTGGCCGGGCACCAAGCACAAACGGCCTGTCCGCCCTGTGCGTCCGTATCAGCAACACCAGCACCCACAACGTCTCTAACCTCGCCCCAGACCCGCTCCTCCCTCCCCACACCAAGGAGATACTCAAGGAGGTGGCCGAGGGAGGCTTCTTGTGTGCGCCGGAAATACTCCTGCGAGCGCAGTGACAAGATGCGGACCTCACGCGATATCACCGACGAGTAAATGGCCTTGCCGACCACACCGCGTGCATTTGTTCCGATCTCGTGACCAAGTACTGATGTCAGTGATACGGGCGGGGTTGAGTAGGTTAACTCTAGGAACTGCGCGATCGGGAGTGAGTCCATAATGTATGTGTTGGTTGTCACATGTTGGATTGTATACTTGAACTCCAACGCGGACTCTCCAGGAACCAGGCCACTGGGTTATTTAAGGTTAGATGGGAAGGTTCCCCATGTGCGATATAAGGAGCTTGTATTATGTGATAGCGCTTGAAAACGAAGAAAAGGGAAGCGAAGGCGAATGGGGGTAAAAAATGAAAAGAAAAAAAATGAAAATAGCCCACACGCCTTTAGCGTAGACCTGATGTCTGGAAACTCGAGGAAGGCAGCCTTGGAAGTAATATTCTTATAGTTGAGCATGAGACGAATGCTCGGGAGAGAAGCTGACGATCTTAGTGCAGGCTAAGTCGTACAAAATGAAATCGGGTTCGGATTGGGTGACCATACGTGCTGTATTGTAATCAAAACCCAGAAAGGTAGAAATATAAAGTAAAAGATCGAGCAACGCGCGTACGAAGAAATTTCGGGAAAGGTGGGAGAGGCACTGAAAAAAGGCTGGTGTTAGATCCGATGAGCTTAAAGCCGCACCGATCTGTACAAGAGAGTACCCACTACTTTGTAGACCTCGAACTATAGGCCCGGATACTCTATGGTGATGAAAATACTAGAAAAATTGATGATATAGCCTACTGGATGGTACGTTAAAGTGTTTTGTCGACACTCAATTAATAGTCCATTATATGGCCGCCCTATTCATTATATCCTCAAGTGCAAAGCTTAATAGTTTGTTACTTGGCTCTGCCAACATTCTGCATATTGATGAATGGAGATTCTCCTTCATGAATCCAAAGAGGCAGCAGTCTTCCATCCAATTGGTAAGATGGCCGAGTTGGTCTAAGGCGCACGGTTCAGGTTAACCTGATCCCGATGGTATACAACTGTCTCCGTGTCTCGAAAGGGGCGTGGGTTCAAATCCCACTCTTATCATGTCTTTTTGCATTTATATGCTATACCCATAGCAATAATGGGATTGGTTGTGTTTTTGGGGTTATTCTTTGTGTCGGGCATATAGGTATATATATATATATAGTAGTGTGGCATAGCATAATACCCATATCAACGCAATGCCCGTACAAGACTCCACGAGATGTTTGTGTAGGAACCTGACCATAGAAGACAAGAGAAAAAAAGTAGCATATGAAAAATGGAAGTTAGGCGAGTATCTAAAGGCCCTCAGACCAAATCAATGAACATACAACTAGAGAGAGCACCTCCCCTAAGCCACGAACGACCCAATGTAGTGGCACACCAGAAATCAATCAGAATGTTCAATATACTACAATGTACAAACTGGTTCTATGTACAGTTCCTGAACCAAGCCCGAGAAGAATTGCCAAATACCGGAGTAATAGCACAATGGAAAAGAAGAATGAATAAGAATAAAGTTTGGAGCCACTACAGCTTAGCTCTGGGAGCAGACAGCTCCTCGGTGGCCTGCTCGTAGAGCTGATCCAAAAGGGAGCGGTATACCTTGACGACGGGAGGACGCTTGAGCTTGAGACTGTAAGAGGGAGAAAATAATGTTAACAATGCTGGGATTATGGAGGCGGAGAGGAAAAAAAAAAAAAAAACAGAAAACTTACGTCGGGGTTAGCAAGTTGTTGTCAACGGTGAACGGCTCCACCTTCAAAGAGACGTTGCGGACTCTCTCATAGCCAGCAAATTTGTGTTTCTTAGCCACGCGCTCGAGATCAAGTAGCACAGCACGGCGGACCTTATCATCACCCAAAGATTCCTTAATCGCTTCCAAGTCGGTCGGGGCAATGGTCTTGCCCAGGACCCTGCTGGCATACGGAGCGAAGAGGTCAGGCGCGACACCGAAGATGCCAACCAGGAAGGTCTGCATGCTATCGCCGTGGATATAAGCCTGGGCGATGTAGCCGAGCTCGGCAAGGACGACGCCCTCCAGGCGCTCGGGGGAGATGTACTCGCCTTGGGCGAGCTTGAGCACGTTCTTGCGGCGGTCAATGATGATGAAGCGGCCCTTGTCATCGATTGTGCAAACATCACCAGTGCGGAACCAGCCATCCTCGGTGATGGCATTGCGGGTCTCTTCCTCATTCTTGTAGTACTCTCGGAACATGTTGTTGCCGCGCAGCAAGAGCTCACCACGGGGGAACGGCTTGTCGTCCACGGAGTACTCCATGTCTGGTAGGGAGGCCAGGCATGCCTCGACGCAGGGTGCGAGACTACCGCAATTGCCGGAGGTCAGATCGAAGGAAGGCTGGGCGGTGGCTGAGGCGTAGGACTCAGTCAAGCCGTAACCCTGAAGGATGTCGGTGCCGGTAGCGACACGTAGGAAGTCGTGTAGAGTCGGGTCCAAGGGCGCAGAGCCAGACACCATATACCTGGCTCGCTCCAGACCAAGAGCGGCAGCCACCTTCTTAGCCCAGATGCGATCGTACACAGCGTGCTTGATCGTGGCCTTGGAGGGATCAGGGTTCTTCATGTTCGCGGTTTTGGTCGCAATGATGTGCCGTGAAAGAGTGCCCTTGAAGCCCGGTTGCTCAACTGTCGCGGAACGGATTGCGCTACCAAATCTACTGTAAAGACGAGGAACAGACATGAAACCAGTGGGCTTCAGCAACTTCAAATCATCGACCAACTCCACAATGTTTCCATGGAAATAACCAATCCGTGCGCCACCCCAGAAAGCAGTGTGCTCTGCCAAACGGGCATAAATATGGGCCAGCGGCAGATAAGAGGCCGCTGTATCACCTCGGGCTTGGCCGATAGTGATCAGACCGCAAGAAGTTGCGGCCACGGCATTGCCGTGTGTCAGAACGACACCCTTGGGTGGACCGGTCGTGCCGGAGGTGTAGTTGATAGTGACAATGTCCGAGGCAGAAGGAGCATTGTATCCGCGCTTCGAGGCCAAGCCCAGTTCCTCAACTTGATCCATAGTGTATATCGCCAGGCCCTGACCGGCGGCCATGGACTCAAGAAGAGCACGCTTGGAGAGACTGTCCTGCTCAGCTCCATCCAACGGGTCTATACTGATGATGATCTTCAGGTTTGGGAGAGAAGACTTGAGCTTGATCAGAGTTGGGATATGGGGCAAAGAGGTGACGACACAGCTCAGCTCAGCATGGTTGATAATATATTCGGTGGCGTCTGGGGCTAGAACGTCGTAGATCGAGACGGAGTAGAGAGACTGAGAAACACAAGCCAGATCTGTACACAGTATCGATTTAGCGCCTTATATCTTGAATTATTCGCTCTTGCAACCTAACTCACCAGTGATCTGCCACTCCGGCCGGTTCTGGGCCCAGAGACCGATACCATACTGGCCGGCCCGGTGGCAGTTATGTTTGTGGTGCAGCTCTACTAGACCAGCACCGAATGCGGCACGTCTCTTCTGTACAGTCTCGTAAGTAAGCCACTGATATGGCTCAAAGGACTTGGTAGTGGCGTTATATGGACGCCAACCGAGGCAGTGGTTCTTGGGCTGGCGGATGGCAGTCGACTCGAACATATCATGGGCCGTGGTGACCTAAAATCGGTCAGTATTAAGATATTCTAGCATTTGCACGTGCGCCTCTGTACCTGGGGATCCAATGTCGTCAAAAGTTCTTTCTGCGCATTCCATGCTCGGTATACCCGACTGCGGCCGGGCTGTTCGGTGCCAGGAATTGCTACAGAGTAAGCTACGCCTTTTGGAGGTGCTTGTTTAAGCTCCTCGGCCTTGGCCAAATGGGGAGGTTGTGAGAAGAACATATCTATTAGCTGTTAGCGGACGAACCAGAATAAATAATGGGCGGACGAACCAGACTCTATGTAAACAATGTAAACAAGAAAAGAGAGAAAAAAAATAAAAATTTAAAGACCGAAGTAACCCTATTAAAGGGGGCAAAAAAGTGTGGGGGAGAAAACTGGAGTTCTATGAAAACCGGGCGACCGCTAAACATGAAAGGCACAAGCCGACAAGGGACCTCGGCTGTTTGAGAGGTACTTGTCATAAAGTGGTACATCGTATAGTGTCTCAGGTACCTGTACTAGTGGAGCTTGATTACATCTTCCACGTCATTTGCACAACTCACATGCATTAATTTTCACATGGACCGAGATACAAATAAAGAGTATGTTGTAGTTGGAATATATCTATTTTGTAATAGTAGACTGTACATTGTATGTTGGGGTTTGATATATGTATATATGATATGAGTATATATATGCGTTGAAAAAAGAAGACAACGCCTGTAAAATATGCACAAAAAAAAAAAACCAAAGAAAAATATTTACAGTGAGATCGGCAGTCTCTAATTACCCGAAAATCCACTTCCATGCCTTGCCATACCATGTCGTTGGCTCAATAGTCTCCCATGTCTCGTTGTCAGCAGTGGTGCGGCCGGTATCCAGATCGGCCTCAATGGGCTTGACAAAGGCGGGACGGTAGATGATCTTGTGTCCCGCATACAACACCACAAACAAAATCAAGCTTAGGTAGTTGATGAAGAATTCCTTGACTTGGAAGTGCGGAATGAAAGCAGTGAATCCTTGGGTGAAGATGATCAAAATATTGAAAAACAGACCATACCATGAGAACCAGGGCTGCCAGAGGGCCTTGTAGGGCAAGATATCCCGAGAGATGTTGCGAGCCTTGAGCGCCCGCTGGAAGGCAAGATGGCAGGCGTTCAGCGAACACCAGGTAATGAAGCCAGCCACACCAGAGATCTGGAGCAACCAAGTGAACACTGTGCTACCTGCATCAGAGACGTTCAAGAATCCGAGTAGACCAAAGGCCGCCGTGAACATAACACTGTAGTAAGGGACACCACGCTTGCTGGTAATCTTGAACCAATGAGGGGCGAAACCTTCCTGGGACAGACCGACTAGGATACGGCTCCCGCTATAGACGTTGGAGTTGGCAGCCGAAAGCACCACAGTCAGAAGAACCGCGTTGATAATACCGGGGAGAGCCGCGACACCGGCACGGTTGGCGGCAATGACGAATGGCGAAGCATTCGCATTTTGAGCAGAAGCACCATCCCCCTCGCTAGCCAATAGACCGGGGTCGTCGGAGGGAACGACAATTCCGAGGAAGAAGATCGTCAGGATGAAGAAGAAGACGATACGGAAAAAGGTTTTGCGGATTGCAGATGGGACGGTCTTGCGAGGGTTCTCGGTCTCACCGGCCGCAATACCAACCAGTTCGGTTCCCTGGTAGGAAAATCCGGCCTGAATAAGCGTCGACCAGAATCCAACAAATTTGGCCAACGAATCGTTTCTATTAATCAAGTAGGGGACAAACGGACCAGGGTTCACCCAGTACCGGAAACCGATATACCCTTCCTTACCGACGCCGGCATTCATGCAAATCGAGAAGATCATAAAGCCAATCACGGTAATGACCTTGATACTCGCGAACCAAAACTCAATTTCACCGTAGAAGGCCACGGGCATCATGTTGAAAAGAATGATCACGACCCAGAAGACGCCGATAAAGATAGCCATCGGAATGCTGCTGTCCCAGAACTGAATGATCAAACCGGTTGCGGTCAATTCGAGTGCAAATGTTGATGCCCATGAAAACCAATAGATCCAACCCATAGCAAACCCTAGACTGGGGTCAATCAGGCGAGCAGCGTATGAGGTGAAGGCACCAGGGATCGGGATATATGTTGCGATCTCTCCGAGAGCGGTCATGACCGAATACACGATCGTTCCGACGAAGATATAAGCAATGAGAGCGCCCACCGGGCCTCCGTGAGCAATTGCCGTGCCGCTACCGATGAATAAACCGGTACCTATTGTGCCGCCTTCGAAGACCGTTAGTTCGAAGACTCTGAATCGACAGCATCATCCAACTCACCAATGGCAATCATCTGTAGATGTCTGCTCTTCAGCTTCCGCTTGAGATCCGGCAGCGGGTTCGCCTCACGCTGGGCGCCATGCTTCTCGTAGTCGACATCATAGTCGGCCGGGCTCTGTGCTTGGACTTGCACAGGCATTTCAGCGCTCATCTTTCCCTCCAACGGAGGGTTGATTGGCTTGTCCGCCATGTCTGCTGGGGAGGGGAAGAAAGCAGATGGAGCTTCAAGATGGGAGGAAGAAAGGATCTGAGTGCAACCTCACAAGTATCCACTCGATTTAAGCCAACTGGGGTCCGAAGACAGGCTTTTTTTTTTTCTCTCTCGAATGTGGAGACACGAGACGTCCGAACACCGACTTGAGTGGGAATTTATGTTATGTAAAAGAAAGATGGGGTTTGAGGGGAAAATAGTTGGGTTTTATTTTTCTTATAGATTCTATTCTTATATTAGTATTTCCATCTCATTTGCTCTTAGAAAAGCACGATTTTTTTATATATTTTTTTTTTTCAATACCACCCAGTGTGGGCTAGCCGGGAAAGAGTTTTTTTTTCTCTGGTGGCGACTCTCTTTGCCTCCTATGACAGATTTTATGTATCTTTCATATATTATATTTGATATTCTGCTTTCAATCTAGGCTATCATTTATTGTATCATTTACTGTATCGATACTCCATATGTTAGGTTTGTAATCATGCATTGTCATCCTTGTAGTCTAGTAGATCAGACGCCTATATCCATGGGCATGTTGTACATAGACAGGTTGTACAATAGACGAGCTGTATGGCGTACATTTTATTCCATACAGTATATACAGTATATCTTATCCCCCAATTCGTTCTTTCTCTATATTCCTCTGACTTTATATATCAAAAAAAAAAGAATTTAAGAATCAAAGTAGTTACAAAGTATGTTGTAGCCACATACTTGGCAGCGGGCTTGGCGGAGTCGGCATACCGTTTGCAGAGATAACCATGGAGCTAATAATACGACATAAGATCTGGAGGATAAGATAGGTGTTTAAAACAACTTTAGAAGAGCTCCATGAGGCAGAGAATAGGATATAAATGTAGATTAATAAAATAAAAACTTCCATGAGGTCGCTATCAAAAGGGTATCGCATCCAAACACCATCACGACCTATGATAAACATTCAAATCATTCACAAGACAAACATACAAAAACAAATATTTCAAATGCCTAGGTAGCATCAAATTCTTTCATAATCATGAAATCAATATTGAAACACTTCAAACTCCGATATGCACATTCGAATGTGTTTTCGCCTCTCCGCCGCGGCGGTGGTTCATAAGATCGATGATACCGAAATAGCTGGTGACTGCAAAAAATACCCTATACACCACACATATCACAAGTTAATTTTCTGCCAATTTATACTGTCCTAAAACCGAAAAACTAAAGGGTACGGAATCTCACCATTCAAAAGCTGCAAATACCGTTGCTGCCTGGAGCGAGCTGCATGCACTGCCATGACACCATCTTGGCGGAGGCAACATCGCTCCCATAGCGATAAACCCGGCAAACCAAAAGATCATGGTAATCACTTCAACAGCAGGAATCACATAGTGGTGTGCAAGGCGAGGGAACCATATTGGTGCTATGGCGAGATAGGGCACTGCTACAAAGGCAGTCCAGCAACCGAGGAAGAGGAGGAAGTTGACAGTATCCGAGTATGACCATCCATTGTAGAATGTTGAAACCACTAGGAGGCTTGTTAGTTTTCAAGCTTGGATTTTTGAGGATTTGTTCTGAAGCGACAGACCATATCCTGTCAAGCCGATCACGATCACGCCAAAGAGTGCTTGCACAGCTCGGACAGGGTATATCCACGGGAGGGTCATCTTCAATATGAATGCCGTTATCGATGTAGATATTAACGTAAATGTGAGTGTGGGTGTAGATGTTAAAGCAAAGTATGTAAATTTATCGGCGGAGTTTGTGTCAGAGAAGACATCTTGTAGAGAAGCCTAAGGTATGGCAAGGTATAAAAAGGCGCAGGGATTAGCGCAGCCACCGGCGTCGCGCCAGCGTCATTAATATTTGCAGACTTGGCAGTTTGACAGTAGGGCTGACGTATGGGGCATATATTTTCTACCTTGAATAAATGACACTTCTGACCTTTTTTTTTTCGCTTCAGCCTATTAATTTTTATTTATCTTATACTCTTAACATACCTACCTCTTTGATATTCTTTACTTACTGCCTAGACACCATTTATATATTTTGCTTTTCCCCTTTTCTTGCTGCCTATAGTAAACATTGAAGTATTTAGCGCCAGTCTCGTATACATATGCTTGGCTAAATGACGTGAAAGCCCTATGACGCCCGACTGCCGATCACTGTGGAACTTGGAAGCTATACATCTCGACATTTTATTACATTTTATTACATTTGATTTAATTACTTTGTTGCTTTGTGTATTCTATTCCACCTAGTGTGCCCGACTAGTGAGACAGATATATAGAGACAAAGATAAAGACGTTCTGTTTATTCCTCTGGCTGAGATAAAAAGACCGAGCTTATACGGTTATTCTCACACATTCCGCACAAGCTAAGCGACTGCCTATATATCTATAGCCTAATACGGGAGACTCGACAAAGGAGCATTCACAGGGAGCAAACATTGTTACGTATGTCCAAAATATAGCTAAGGAATAGACTCGAAAACGAGCATGTAGATGTCATTTGTATCAATTCGTCGCTCATGCGCCTGTACAGATTTATGCAACTCCTAATTACTTCCTAGCCTCCATGGTGAACGCAGCAAATCAGTAATCACGGAAAACAGCAACCATGTCATCTAATCGAGATACCTCCGCCAGAAGCAAGGCTTCCTTAGCCTTCCAGTTGCGAAGATGTTCTAATTCAGCCTCGGAGAGGAATTCTTCCTCGTGGCCCTTGACATCAGTTCGTTCTGTCTTTTCAAGGAAATCTCTCTCACGGCCACGTTCAAATTTAATGCGCTGCAGGCACCGTGACATGGCTTTGTATGTATCCTCCAGGATGCTGCTGCACACGCGATCTGGATCGTAGTACCACAGGTAGATCGTCTTGGAAGGCTGACGCTGCGCATCACGCGGCACTTCCTGCAAGTCTACAAACCCTCCAGTTTGCATGCTTGCAAGCGTCTGGCGCAAGTCTTTAAAGGGTAAGAGACTGATTTCTTGAAGCCGTTTCTCATCCAGCTTGCCCTTGGCATGCAGGACGCGGATCACACGCAGTGCAACATCTCCGTACCGTGACTCAATCATGCGCTCCAGCTCTAAATGGCGAAGCTTGCGGGCCAGGCCTCGGAATGCAATTCGCCACGTAGGGAGGCCGGAGATAACGTGTTTGGTGGTAAGATTCAGGGGAGGTTGCGAGAGAATACTAAGGTGCTGGTCGACCTCATAGGCGCGGTTTTGTTCGCTAGGTTCATCTTCATGCTCGTCACCATTGACGCCATTCGTGTCATCATCCAACGGTCGCTTGCCGCGTTTGTTTAACACAGTCGAGGGATCCATCGGGCCAATACACCCTGCAAGATCCAGCTTTGGGTCAACATCTTCGACAATTGAACTCAGTTGGATTGGTGCAGAGTATTGTTCGCCTTCTTCTCCTTCGCGAGGTATCTCATAAGAGTCTCGACAGCGGGGTGTTTGGTATTCAATGCGCCGAAGCAGACAATCGTAAATCTCGACTGAAGCGGGAGGTGCATCTTGCTCAGCAAGCCCGAGGAACCGAGTGTTTCGAAGTGCCACGTCGAGTTTCTCGTAGTTCACCCGAATGATGAGGTTAGACTGTGGCGAATGTTAGCAGTTGATACAAAATCGCGGCAAGGAAAGACAAAAAGAGCTTACATCCATTGGGATTGAATCGACGCCATCTTCATCTTCGGACCAATCATTATCCTCTTCTCCTTCGTCCTCTACATGGTCCCCGTTGATACCGTTGGTGCCATTTGACGCCCGCTGATTGGACTCCTTGTTGCCGTGATCGTGTTTTATTTTGGCGCCTTGAGGGAGGCCATTGTATATTAGGCCTCGGCTCAGATCTCCTTCGGTTCTTTCCTTCACCATGTCCTTCGCCTTCTCCTCAATCTCCATTGCTTGCTGTTTGCCCTTCATTTGTTTGACATCTGGCCTTGATGAGATGATTCGGGAAGCATCTAGCCAGTTGTCGTTTGGGCTTTGGAAGTGTGCCTCTCGAAGGCGATGGATGTATCCGTGGGAGGCAAGACTCTTCAAGGTGGGGTGAAGACGCACTGGTTTCTCGCTCACGACATGGTCGCCGTTAGGAGCAGCGGAATCCTCTTCCTTTTCCTCATCACCGTCGAGCTTAATCTCATTGTGATTGACCCCATTCGTAATGCGCTGCTTCTTGGACTGAAGCTCGGGAAGCGTCTCGAGGTGAGCGATCGAGGAATGGCCGAGGGACATGATTACTTCCAACACCTGGGCCGCGTATTCTCCTAGTCGAGATTCAACAAGCTGGAGAATCTTTCCAGACCGGACGAGAGAGTATGCGGCCTGTGGATTAGCTTCATAGTAGGTGTTGCCATCGTCGAGGGAAGTGAAGTGATAGACCAAGTGGTGTTGGATCATGGCGGAGAGGCCATGGCGCAGTTGGCGATCTGACAGGCGAGCATAGAATTTTAACCGAGGGAGAGTCAGTCTTTCGTATCGTTGAAGGACGGTAAAGATACGCTGCGAAAAGTTGACTAGTTAGTCCGGTTCCTTCCCCGCCGTCGCAATGAATCATGGCAGCCCGAGGATCTGCACAGGATGACTCACGGCAAAGAGCTCTCCAAAATTATCTTCGATCAAGAGCATGCAGAGCTCGGCAGAGCACTAACGTTCATGTCAGTAAGTAGCTCTCTCTCCCGAGTTAGCGGCACAGTCGCATACCTGGGACATCATGGTGGGCTAAAGAGATAAAAAAAAAGATTCACCAGCCATCAAACCTCGAGAGGGCACATTTAAGGGTTACCGAATGTTCATGGAGATTTCAAAGCTAGCAGAGATCTACAAGTCCAAAAATCCAATGCGCGATGAGATGCAGGTCTTCAATGTTCTTTTGTTCTTTTTTTGCTTATCGGTATATTCACGTGATATGACCAATCAGGTGATCCAAAAGCCTCATTTAAGAGAAACGTGTTCAGGCAGAGACAATGGGAACAATAGAGATATTCCAATTTGAATAAAGGCCATTAATCATTCCAGAAAAATACTCAATAAGTCCGTAACAATTATCTCCAAAGACAATAGAGAAACTCCTTCTATATACTCGAACAAAAGTAACTCCGGTTCCGTCCGCGCTTTTGATTACTTGATCTCTGATTGGCTGGAGTGACGAGTCGGGATCTTGAAGCTTTTCGTGACCTCCCAAACTGCCTCTTCCCTCTTGCTCTCTCCGCATCCCACCTCCTCCCCCGCCTCATTTGCGCCTCTTTACAAACCCAATTCGGGTTTCTATCTCTTATTCTTCTCTCGCATCTTTTCGGCACAAGCGACGATGCTGTCGCGGTCTCCCCTCAGCCGAAATGCGCCGCGTGCGTTCGCCGCCGCCGGCCGTCGGTCCATGGCCTCCGCTGCCAACCCGGCCTTCCAGTACGATGTCTCCGAAGCTTCCGGCGTGAAGATTGCCAACCGTCAAGTTGAGGGCCCTACCGGCACTCTGGCCCTGGTTGCGAAGGCTGGCTCCCGTTACCAGCCCTTCCCTGGTTTCTCCGATGCTCTCGACCGATTCGCTTTCAAGGTCGGTCCCACGGCATTCATTGATTCATCCGAACTATATATAGTGATACTAATCATTCAATTCCTTAATAGACTACCCTCAAGCGGTCTGCACTGCGGATCACCCGGGAGACTGAGCTGCTGGGCGGTGAAATCTCGTCGACACACTCGCGCGAAAACATTGTCCTCCAAACCAAGTTCCTTTCCAAGGATCTCCCCTACTTCACAGAGTTGCTGGCCGAGGTTGCTACCCAGACCAAGTTCGCAGGTGAGTCGGCCCCTTTTGATGAACGGTGGTTGGTGGACCGCAATTATATGAGCATACTTTGCTGACTCGAGCCCCCTCGCTGATATCAGACCACGAATTGAACGAGGTTGTCAGCAAGCTCCTCAAGTACAAGCAGCAGGCTGTCCACTCTAACCCGGAGACCGTTGCTGTCGATGCCGCCCATGGCATTGCTTTCCACCGCGGTCTGGGCGCCTCCATCACCCCCTCCCAGACTTCTCCCTTCGAGAAGTACCTCTCTGGCGATGCCCTGGCTGAGTTCGCCCAGAACGCTTACTCCAAGTCCAACATTGCTCTCGTCGCCAGCGGCCCGAACTCTGCTGAGCTCTCCAAGTGGGTTGGCCAGTTCTTCAAGGACACCCCCACTGGCAATGCCTCCAGCAAATACAACGTCCTGCCCTCCGTCGCCTCCAAGTACTACGGTGGCGAGCAGCGCATTGCTTCCAAGATCGGCAACGCTGTCGTGATCGCCTTCCCCGGCTCCAGCGCTTTCGGCACCGCGGGCTACAAGGCCGAGGCTTCCGTTCTCGCTGCTCTTCTGGGCGGCGAGTCCACTATCAAATGGACCCCCGGTTTCTCTCTTCTGTCGCAGGCCACCAAGGGCTTCAACCAGCTCCGCGTTTCCACCCAGAACAACGCCTACTCCGATGCTGGCCTTTTCACCGTCACCCTGTCCGGCCAGGCCGACCAAGTTGCTGCCGCCAGCAAGAACGTTGTTGACGCCCTCAAGAAAGCTGCTGCCGGAGAGGTTGCCTCCGAGGATATCAAGAAGGCTATTGCCCTCGCCAAGTTCCGCGCTTTGGAGTCCGTCCAGACCCTTGAGACCGGTCTCGAGGCTACTGGTTCCGGTCTTGTCCACGGCAACAAGCCTTACCAGATCAGCGAGATTGCTGAGGCTCTCGAGAAGGTCACCGAACAGCAGGTCAAGCAGGTATGTTGTTTCTCTTTCCATATTGTTGATGTTTTGATGCTAACAGTTGTTCCATAGGTCGCCAACACCTTCCTTACTGGCAAGGCTACCCTCGTCAGCGTGGGTGATATCCACCAGCTCCCCTTCGCCGAGGATCTCGGTCTGATCGTTTAAAATCCCTGTATACATTACACCGTAGAGAGGGAAAAGTCCGTTCCCTTCATTTTGGATTTGATGTGACCACTTGTGCCTAGATTCATTGCCGATATCTCCTTTGTTCTTTTAAGGGTGTAGTTGACTGTAATACAATTGTACCTTATCCTTTGTTCCCATTCTCTTCGACAGACCTATGGATTTTCTTGGCTCGTGGTGGTGGATGATTCGGGAGGTGTATCATGGATTAATCATTACTAGTAATTGGATGCTCCACGTATCCATACCCCTCCGCTTGCTACCACTTTTCATAATAAAAATATTTATTCAGGTGGGTTTTGGGACCTAATTAAAAGTTCACAGAATTAGATGAAGATCTGGTTTTGGTCTGTACACCGTTTTTGATGTTTTTATCTTACGTGGAGTGGGTTTAGCCACCGAACACAGAGAGATTGGAAATTCATTTGTTGTCCAGCTTTGAAGAATTTATACCTTCTAACTGCAGCACATACACATTGTCCTTGGTTATGCATGGAAAAGTCTTCTACACGGTCTATGCTTTTTACCTAAAAAAGACTGAGTAGGGGGATAAAATAGCTAGAAATAAGGACGCCTAAAAAAGAATATCTGAGAAGACCACTAAAAAGACGTCATAAACATAAGCGGGTGACTATTCTTGTTCTACAGATATAGGAATCTATAGGAATCATCATATCTACCAAAGAGCTGCTTATAATAAAAGCCGCCGAATTCAGCCAATTGCCGAGTTGATTCATATAGAACATTTCTATGAGGGCTAGGTCTCCAACGATATACTTCATTTCCAAGGTTGCAAGGCAAACCAACAAAATAAAAACCACAGTTCTCCACCAAACCCACCATTATGAAGTGGATAGTGACATATGATATAAAAAGCAAAAAGACATGATAAGAGTGGGATTTGAACCCACGCCCCTTTCGAGACACGGAGACAGTTGTATACCATCGGGATCAGGTTAACCTGAACCGTGCGCCTTAGACCAACTCGGCCATCTTACCAATTGGATGGAAGATGTGTGCTTTTTTAAATTTATGAAGAAAAGACAGATTTGTACAGACTAGGAATAAAGGCTTCTTTTTCTCTTCTTTTTTTTTAAAAATATATAGATAGATACTACATATGTTATAGGTAGTCATGTGTGTATTTTGCATATAAAATTCCTAGATATAGTGGACTTTGTCCAACTTAAATATTTAACTGTTGGTAAGCTCCTATAGTATGAGCAAATGGCTGGGAGAGAAATGATGTTTCAAGTCAGGCAGAGAATACAAGGATTGGAGAGAGAATGAAAGATAAATCACTTACAATAATAATCAAGTTTATCATTTTCATGCAAGGTATCCATATCCGACTATGCGACTATGCGTAAAGAGAACAGTCCCAGAGCCGTAAGACACCAGCCATAAGACGCCGAACAACAATGAGAGAAGGGACATCCCGAAACTCAAGAGCAAAAGAGCAGACAAACCCATTCAGCAGGAACCTCCCAGACAAATGAAAGCTACAACTCCGTCATAAAGTCCACATCACATATTCATACCCTCATTATCATACCGGAGTCGGTTCATCGACCTACCGTTCCATAGCACCACACCAATAGTCAACCCGCAGATCTGAAAGACTACGCGTCGGCAAACCCCAAGTGCGCGCAAGCCAGAGCGCCAAACCACCAACAACCCCCACACTCCCAACAATCTGAACAAGCACCCAGCTCCGGTGTCCGAGGTCATCAATCCAGCCAACTACACCGAGGGGATCATCTGGTCTGAAACCCGCGAAGCGATACCCCCCAGAACCGGCACGTGAGTGCATGACCTGGAACCCCTTCTCGCCGACGTGGCCATGCAAACCGCAAAATCCAGGTGTCTGTGAAAGAGGCACCAACGAACCGTCAATGACACATTCGCCCAGCCGCTCGGTGAGCCATACAACACGCTCGCCACGAGCTAGCGAGGTATACCGATCGCGTTCGTTCTGCAAGCTACGCTGCAGGTCTGTCGCCCATTGGGCGAGCCGGACTTGCGCTATGCGCTCTTCGTGCCGAGTGTAGTCTGCGATGCGAGCCATGGCATAGCCCGGTGGGGAGCCGGGCGAGATGGAGGTTCCCGAAACAGAGCGCCAGCTGCTAGATGCAGATGCGGACCCACTTTCGGTATGAGCCGGCTGCGCACTGGGCAACGGTATTGGGGGTGGGAACGAATATGAGCCCGTGCGCTGCTGGAGGAGTTTCTTTGCGGCCGAATGACGCATCCATGCTAGGTTGTCACGATCAAATATTTTGTTGACTAGGGCACCTAGTTCGGAGGGTACGAGTGGTTGGACGTAGTCCGGGCTCATTAGGGTGCTTGCATCCATTGTTTCAGTATCGATTGTTTTCTCGGAGGAGACCGCATATGGGGGTTGGGATCCGACCCCATCTAACCCGTTCGGGGGTTCACCAAACAGGAATGGTTTTATTCCGGCTTCGCGAGCTTGTTCGTGGAAGCGGAGTTTCAATTGAGTGATTTGAGTTGGGGTGAGGGTGTCTGCTTTGGATATTATTGGGATTACATTGCTTAGCTCGCAGAGCTGGCGGATGCATTCCACATCTGTTGAGAGGGTGTCTATACGTAGAAAGTCAGCGATCAGGGGTACATGATTAGGGAGGTTACCCTTCAGCGACAGAATAGAGAAATCCCACCATTAGAAATCAAATATAAGATGGCATCCACCTGGGATCCACCATTACCGGCTAGTAGGTTTTGGAAATCCACACTAGCCCCATTGAGTGCATTGGTAGCGCGCCAGAATTGCTGTCTCATATACTGCCCGATAGCGTCGGTTTGACCTGCACAGCTCAAGTTCGCTGCAGGGGTGTCCACAAAACAGAGATTCCTCTCCAGCACGATTTCTCCGATACTTTTCCGGCGCTGGAGCACGCGAGAGTCTTCCAGGTCTGACCACCATGAAGGGTATGGTCTGGTGCTAGCATAAATTTCCGTAGTGGTAATCAATGCTCCCCGAGATCGGGGTCGGGAAGTTCTGCGGCGCCCCGAAGAGGTAAACTGTGGAATGGTGTCGACATGTACGATATCATCGCATGTTTGAACAATAGACTTGATCAACGAGGTCTTACCAGAACCTAATTTTTGAGACAATCAGCTGCTTTTGTAATTTACTCTGAAACAATTGAGACCTACCAGAGGAACCGGCTAGAAGAATCTTGAATCGACCCATGGCTTTTCCTCGCTCGGTGAACGGTCGTCGACTAGGCATTTTGATACTTGGCATGATAAGTTGGGAGGCCCCGCCTAGGGCCAAAAATGGAGACTCATGTAGCATTTCGTCCTCATCTCCAGATCCGACAGCCTGACTGTTGATTTCATCGGTTATAGAAATATCATCGAGTGGCCGCAAGGACTGATTGGATATGGATTTAGGGCTGCTGGGTAGCGACGATGGGTCATCGGGGATGCCCAACGTAAGCGGAGTTAAGGGCCGAGACACTGCATGAATGGGAGATGCGTGTTCAAAGGAAGATTCTCCAGTGCCTGGAATTAGTGGCTTCAATGCTGACCGGCGCTGTGCGAGGTGCGATTCTAAATCGTCGGTTGCCTGCTTCAGGTTGTCCTCTGCGGAGTGATCGCGGGGCAAGCATGTGAATTCTGATTGGGACAGAGAGGCATCTAGGCTTCGTACTCCATACATATTCTCTTTGACATCCTCGGGGCTATCTAGCGATGTAGTGGAACCTTGATCCACAACATGTGGCCTGCGGGATAAGAAGAAGGTCGCGGGGGTGGTAGTGCGGGGATCGAGGGATGGAGATGGGGAATGGTCGGAGGGTTTGCGAGAGAATGGGAGGTCTGGAATAGGTCTCATGATGAAGGGGCATTTCTCATAGAGTGATATCGAACAAGCTTAAAGGTCAACAAAGCCAACAAAAGTCAACACAATCACATAGCCTACGGTTGGGAAGCCTAAACATGATCATGTCATACTACTTGATCAGGTAATCCACATCACGAGGTGATAAACCCCTCTTTGATTTCTGCCTCAGGTATCCATGCATGGATTTATATTCCACCTGGGTGACCTGAGAGTTGCTTATATTAATTGACCATTGTATTGCTTGTTATTACTTATTATTGTTCCTCCATATATCTATATATATCTATATATATACTAATAGGTATGTATAATATCTATCACTAATAGATATCTATCGGGAGTTTTTCCGTGTCCGGAATCCCCACTGTGGGTTAAACGAGAAAGAGAAATGGACGACAGAGTACCTTAGACGGGGCACCTGGGGCACCCTACACGGAGTACTCCGTACATATGTACCTAGTAAACTAGTACTTTTTTTTTTTCTCTTTCTGCATCGGCTATAAGCACTATAAGCAAACGCGCATCTAGCGCGGAATAAAAGAAGACCAAAAGTCTAAGCATCCAACAGACAGTAGCAAAGATCCCGGTGCCGACCACGGAGAACCGTGTCCGCGCCCGGTGGTTGAACTCCACTTCATCTCCCCAGGGCTCTCTTTTGATTTCCCCGAGTGCCCGGATTCTCCTTTTCTCCGATCTTCAGCTTGTGAATGAAAATCTACTTCACATCAAGTAGTAGTTCTCTCTCGGCCTGATTGGCCCAGAAGTATCCTCTCTATTCTCACAACCAGAGAACAGAATGGAACAACCAGCCATGTCGTGGCCGGAGCAGCTTCATGAGAATAACCTCATCAATGCGCCCGGTGAAGAAGAGTTCTCCAACTTGTTCGAGTTCAACATTCCCTTTTCTGAAATCGAGCACGGACCAGGGAATATGCAGCATTCCAATTCTCTACCGACCACTACCGGCCCGGAGTCAGATATGGCTCACCTACGATCGCATGCCGTGCAGCAGTACTCGGGCCAGATGGAGGGCCTCATGGATTTCAGTGACAACACCCAGTCACACACACACCACCCCCACCCAATGCCTTACTCCGCTCCTCATATGACGCCAGGCTTTTGCGCGCAGCAACCATCACCCATGTCGCAACCGCCTACGCACCAACATTACATGAACCACACTATGATCCCACCCACTCCGAACAGTATGGAGATGCATGGAAATACCCCCCGATATACTCAGCGTGTGGAAGAAAACCCAGATATGTACGACAGATATTCACGCATCAACGAAGAACAGGTTAGTTCAGACATAAACCTTAGATGATTTATGATTATGTTGGCTAACGATTAAGGCCCTTTACACTCCTCTTATCTCACCTGCTATGACGCCTTTGGAGAATCAATTCCGACTCCCCGAATACACAATCCCTGGCGAATACTTCACACCTCTCACCTCTCCTGCTCTAGAGGCCCAAAATGCTGAATCCAACAGTTACTACCATGTGAGGCAGGTATCGGATATGGGATTTGTTCCCACTACTGCGGAGGTGAACCCCCTCCCTGGAACCTCAGCCCCACCTTCTCCTAGCATTATTCGGAAGCCCAACAATCGTCGTCGGTCAACCACCGCCCGGCTCAACAACGCACGGAAAGTTAAGCAATCACCCATTATTCGGGCGCAGCCGCCTAAACGCAGCCCGTTGAATCACAATTCGGAGGAATTCTACAATAGCCTGACCCAGGAGTTGGACACCACAAAACCACAAAATCAGGACATCCGTTCACTGCGGCTCAGTAGCAATGAGGGCTCCGGTCAGGACTCGGTATCCCCCGAGCCATTATCAGAGCCGTTGATGCCCCCTCCTGCTCTTCCTCGGATGTCTCCTGCAATTGCTCCCCATGGTCAAACCTCTTCGCCTGGAACGGCTGCAACCCCTGCGATTCTGATGCGCATTCAGGGGAATCAGCATTTGCAAGACCCCTCAGGCCAGTTCTGCGGTCGGGCACAGCTCGCAGAGCCTGAGTTCCCAGATGACATAATGGAGGATATATCACTTCCAGAAGCGGCCGCTCCTTCGCAGCTGCGTCCGACACCCAGACGCATCGATACCGCTGTGAGGACTCCATCGATGTCCGCGAATGGGACACCTTTCTTGGGTCCCTCATCTGCGACATACGATAAACCCCCCAGTGCTTCTCTTGCCCCCAGTCCACGCACGGCTGCAATGCCATCACCCAGTGGACCGGTCCCTCGGAAATCAGATCACAAAATTGCGTCTAGTCGGAAACGAGTCAGTATGAGTGGAGCTCACCCCAGCCCACAGTTGCTACCCAAGATTAGTCCCAGCATCAAGCCACTTATGAAAGGCGGCGAGGGTGAGTCTTCAATCCGAATTGAACCTCGTGGATCTTATACTAACTATATGTCAGGCATGTCACAAGATACGCTCTACCTTGTGTCAAAGTCCAACTACCAACACATTATCGACGGCACTTTGCCTTCGGGTGTGAGCTACCCTGAGGCTCTGGCAGAGAATCTGAGCTCCAAGCGGACCAATCATAAGCTTGCAGAACAAGGACGCCGGAATCGAATTAACAATGCGCTCAAGGAGATTGAACTTCTCATTCCACAGGAGTTCATCGATGCCCGCAACGCCAAGGACGCCGCGGAATCTGGCGGCAAGGTTAACGAGAAGGAAAAAGAGAAAGAAAAGGCAAACCAGGCCATCAGCAAGGCCACTGCCGTGGAGATGGCCATTGATTATATCAAGGCCCTGAAGATGAGCTTGGACGCAACCACTGCCAAGTTGGCCGCTGCCGAGGCTAAGCTGTCGGGTGAACCCTCGAAGGAAAGCTCAAGCACCAGTTCCACCGCTCCATCTGAGAAGACTATAAACGATGTCGCCAAGCCGGAGACAAAGATTTCAACGTGATCGGACTGTATTACCTTAATATGACCTGATCTTCCATTTGCATACATAGTTACGCAATCTATGGAACAGTGAAAGATCAAAAACGGGATATTCCCTATTCGCGGGTGGAAGTTTCGCGCAATTGTGCTATGGATCTATGATCTATGTTGTATGCTGTGTTTTTCTAACGTGACTTGATAGCGTCGGTGTTTGAATTATGGAGGTGGCTTATTTTTGCTTCTGCTATTTCTATCTATTTAGATAACCTCTTGCCCCTTTTTTCGATTTTCCTTTCCATTGTAGTGCTCAGACCTCCCGACCTCGGGGCCTCGTATCTCGTTTACAGAACTAGAAGGGCATCTAGGCTACATGGCTCAAAGAGCACGCTAGTTTCATCCACGTGCAACCCTGCGCTGTACCCCTCTTGTCATGTACCAACATCAGTCCATGTGACCGTTCATCCTAATATATTAGCTACTTGATAGCTACATGGCGAATACGAAATAGTCCTTTAATTGATCCAATCAATATCACCCTCCAAACTATAGGTGTCCTTGAACCTTGCTTACTGCATGTACTCGGGTACCTATCCCCTAAGTATCTGCCAAACCTAAGAATCTAGCTCATAAATTGAAGTGAATTACTGCAATTTTGCATGATACCAGGGGAGAACATGTTAAGGATATGGTCTTGGATGAAATGTAAGGCTTTATACCTAACTTGAGAGTACAGAATTGAGTTTGCTATTTTCTCTGTTTAACATAAAGTGCATATCATATATATGTATATATATATATATATATATATCACATCATGATGAGGTCTTCCTATAAGGTAGACCCTACTAGTATCCTCTGTCATAACTATAGACTGACGGAGGCGAAAGTATCTGTTATGACCATGTGCTCAGTGGAAAGCTTGCAATATGTACTCGAGGACTTAAGTAGTCTCCTTTAAAAAAGGAACATTTCTTCTGAGTTATCACGCTACAAAAGTTCACAAAAGTATACCCTGTCCCTTCATATCGCCATCCCTTACTCGTTCTCCCTAACATCAATAACGGTAGACTTGAACTTCCGAGCAGGAATCTTGCGATTGAACAAGATATCACTCTCACGGTAAGAGCGACCCTTGAGCTCAGGAAGGAAGAAGTACGCCGACACGAAGCAGACACAAGCGGTACCTCCCCAGATATAACCGCACTTTCCGGCGAGATTCCATCCAGAAGGGTTGAGCATCTGCGAAGCAAGGTAGATCATGGGGATCTCGGCAACATAGTAGGCGGCACGACCGACACCGGTACTCAGAGCGCGAAGACGGACGGAAGATGTCTCGGAAATGATGGTATATGAAATAGGTCCAAGAGAACCGGCAAATACGAAGGAGATTAGGATTCCCAGAACGGCTTGGGCGTAGTTGGTCGCACTGTTCTGGCTGATAGATGCGCAAATGCCGAGGACCATGAGGAGAATGATGTTGGTGACTGTGCCCCAAAGATAGATGGTTCGGCGACCGAATGAGGAAGCCAGAGGCAGAGAAAGTATGTTCGCAACCAATTGGAGACATGAGTTGATCAGATTGAGCTGGAATGAACGGTCGGGACCCATACCAGCCTCTAAGTGGGGGAGTCAGTCATCCATTTGTGGGTTTAGATTTTATTCAGGGAGGGGGGATGAAGTGAACTCACGCTCAAAGAAGTAAGTTGCCTGATTGGCAATCAAGTTACCGGCGAAGTTCTGCGAGGCGTAGATTAAGCAGGTGATAATTGTTCGTCTTAAATCGGTTCCCTTGAGAAGGTCAAGGAGAGTAGGCGAACCGCCCATTTGGGCTTCGATCTGAACGGTTCGCTCGATCATGGCAAGTGACCGCTGGGCATGCTCAGGGGATTCGGTACCAAGGCGCTCGATGGAACGAAGGGCCTCAGCTTTGCGTCCGCGACGCATCAACCACCAAGGGGATTCGGGGGCGAAGAAGAGAAGGACCAAAAGGGGAGTCTAGAATGTGTTAGCACCTGTAAATATGCAAGGTCTCAAGGGAGGATACTGACAGGGAAGATCCATTGCAAGGCAAGAGGGATTCGCCAAGCCCATTCATCCCGACGCTTATTGTACCCGTAGGTTGCGCCGGCGACAATGATGGAACCGATGGACCAACTCATTTGCAGAGTGGCCGTGCAGGCACCTCTCAGGGTGAGAGGAACAATCTCACTGGCATAAGCGGGGGAGTTGGCAATGAAGAATCCCCAAGGGACACCTTCCAAGGCTTGGCCGACCACAAGGAGGGTGAGTGAGTTTGCCTAAGTGGAGTTAGGGGAAATAAGCTTAACAGTGTGGAGTCATGGCGTACTCACAAAGAAGGAAACGAAAATGGTGGCGTTCATAAGGATCAAAGCGAAGATAGTAGTCAAGCGATAGCCGAACCGGTTGGTGATAGGACCAGCCAAGAAAACACCGACGAAAGCGCCACATTGACCGGCCTGGAAGAGTGAACTCTGCCATTTGGTTGGAATAACCCAACCATCGTGTCCCTCGATTTGAACGCCATATGTCTCTTGAAAAATCTCAAGAGCGACAAAGTTACCATTCAGGAACATATCGAACGATTCCATGACCTGATTAATTAGCTGATATGATCTGGAGATCCGGGGGAACTGAAGAACTGGGGAATCGAGCGATATGAACCCGAAATGCGGGGAGGGGGCGGGGGAAAGAATATCATATATCAAAACTTACAATAGTAAAGCACATAGTGAATGCCCATAAACAAGCCCAGGGGTGACTCTTCATGGCCGCCCACGTACTCTGCTCATGTTCGTGGTTCTCAGCATCGAAGGCATCGTTCATGACATCCGAATTGACTAAGATCTCGGATTGTTCAATGCCAGCCTTCTCGGCTTGCAGATCATCACCTGTGTCGACACCTGAAGACATTTTGGAAGTTATGTCCAGGTCAAAAAGGGGAGTGAAGATCAATCGGGGGAAAAAAAAATTAAAGGGCGAGCTGGGGTCTTATATCCTTTGACCCTAACGCATATCTAGTGCTGAACTGTATATGCGTGATACGTGGATTAATTCTGTCATCCGAGAGCTGTCTAGACAAGGGCAGTCAGCGATCCGATGGGAAAGCAGGGGTGCAACCCTGTCCCGCCGGGGTTTTTCCCATTTCCCGGATGCTCAAAGCGAGCACTACGGTAACAGTAGGTAATTTATCCGAAGCCAGGCACTGAACCTAATGCGGTAGAAGCTTAGCTGCGACCAGAAAAGGTTAGCCACTGACGCTGTGGTTGGGAAACTGCTGGCTAGAAGGATTGTGGCGCTTACCAGTAACCTGGGGGTACCGGAGTTTCAAATTGGGAGAGTCCATTCAACTGGGCCATATATGAATATGAGTATGGGGATTATACATGGATGTGACTCTGGGGGATTCCCCATGAAATTTGGGGATGCGGGGCCCCGGAGAAGGAAAACAAAAAAAATTCAAAGAAGTTCAAAGGAGCGATTGGTTCAAGAAATCATAAGGCGGATGTGACATCGCAAAGAATGTACAACATAAGCGTAAACTTCGTTTCATTGACTAACCCAGTTATAGACTAACGTATAAACGCCACTGTCTAATCGGCTAAATATGGTGGGATCTTCGCTAAAAAAACAAAATTCTCACGGAGATAGTCCGAGCCCATTCTCACCTGATTCCTTACCTGTGGGGTGATCTATATATTTTGCGGGTTATTTCTACAATGGAATCTCCGAATGGCTATCCTCCGAAAAAAAAGGATATCCATATGGGCACGCATTTTCGCCCTTTTTGCTTTGATTTGATACCTTTTTTTTGCTGTAAATACCCCCAAACACTTGAATAAAGAAACTATTAACGGATCAAGTTAAAGGCAAAAATACCCCAGAATAATTCGTTATTTCAAAATGTATATAAACACTACAGGTCCTCACCTCCATCGTTCTTACTACCACACAGCAACGCGCTTCATTGTTGAACGTGCGATCTATAACCAAAAAAAAAATTCATCTGGTTTAACCATTCACCTCATTGCCCCGGCTATCAATTTACATAATCAGCCCACACCACCTGGGCATGTATTATACACAAACCTATGCAGGGGGAATGGTCGGGCCATTCTTGAGCCCTATGAGTCAGGCCCAGGATTGCAGTGGATCACGATAAAGCTTTCTAATGTGGACCGTCACCCCTGCGATGCGGATTGATGCGCATGGTGATTGAACGTCTTTGGGATGAAGAGGTTGTGATCAGCTTGGAATCTAATTCTCAGGCGAAGAAGCCATTAGAGATGTCATTTCCGGTTGTAGATCCCAGCTCTCGTTGCCAGCAATTGATTGATGTCGTTGTAGAGATCCCTAAGAGCTATAAGGATGGTATTGTAGCTGGGTGCATTTTCGTTAATCATGACTATGTCTTCGGACTGACTACTTCTTATGCCGCTTCACTGCCTAAATGACAGGGTGATGTTTCTTTCTAGACACATGTGTGATATACATGTAGCTCTTCCCTAATTTATTTAATTTTCCGCCTCAGATCTCCAGTTTTTTCGGGACTTGGGTTCTATACATCTTCAATATATTTTCGCATTCGCCATGCATTCTCAATACATATCCCGGTTTTCGAATCAAACCAAGACATCCATTACTTCAATCAGACAACAATAAAGTATATAAAACAATTTGAGGGATTAATGTAGAAGACCAAGATAACTGTGGATATTTAGCCCTTTGATTTCTGAGTTTACGTATTAAAAGAAATCATTCATGTTGTATTGTACCTACTTGACAAGACTAAAAACTATTTCGAGAACCAATCAAAGTGATGATAATGATAGTGATAATATAGCCAGTGGCAAGGTGCTCTCTGTATTCTACTCCGTACTCTTTCCCGGGATTTCTCCTTTTCCGCGAATAGGGCAGTAGGGTTCAGACCCCACACGTGATCCACTTCGAAAATCCTTTCTTGTTTTCTATTTTTTTTATCAAGTTTTCCTAGATAAATCCTTAGAATAATGCAATATCTATCATTGTAGTGAATCGCATTCTTCATTAGACTAATATTTGATTGGAGGCGATGATATAGCCCTGTTTGTATATATACAGACCACGTTGGGATCCCCTAAGTTGATAACTTGGGGGTGTTTATAAGAGAATAGGGTATACGGGAAGTCAAACTTTATAATATAAGGACGGCTTATCTCCACATATGGATCACTTAATATAATAAACTAAAATATAACATAGGACGGGACAATCCTACGCATTATACATATTTACTTGGATGTTTGAAAAACCATGTGATCCCAAAGGTGGATTACCTACATATATATACCACAACAGCTAAGTCAATTCCATGAATTGACTTGGTCATGACCTTTTGGTCTAATGGGTAAATGCTTGGAGTTGTGGCCAGCGGATCTCAACCATATAGGATGGGGTTACCCGCGAGAAAACAAAAAAGAACGAAGTTTCATGTTGGTGCGTTCCATTCAACAATAAATCTCCAATAAGTCTTGAAATAAGACGCCTTTTGTATGGTGATATACAAAAAGTACAAAGGAGTTTAATTAGGTAATTTGGTACTCTACCTATGGATTGATAATGACAGCCGTGATGTTTCCTTTCTCGTCTACCAGAATATTGTTGGGTAAGGGATCTTCATGCGATAGTACCAATCTTTTAGGATGGGTTTAGATAGAAGGAAAGATCTTCGGAAATAGGCCAACCAGTCGATGAGCGAGCCCTAAGCTAAATATAGCATATTCCTCGTCCTCCTAATCTCCGGCTTCCTCTTTGGCCGGGATTCTTCAGCCACACTTTGATCTTTAATAACGACTGGAAGGTAGGAGGAAAGCTTACTCTAACTTGAGCGGAACGGTCCGCGAGCTATGTATGTCGTAACCAAAGCGGTTTCCAAAGGAACATTCCTAAAGTCATCTCATCTCACCTGGCTGTTCCCTCTGTGGTTGCTCTTCGTTTGTGGGTGTGAGACTTCTGATTCCAGAGAATTTATGACGTAATCTTTGTGCTTGAAGGTTTGAACAAGAGCCACTGTCTAGAACGCAGACAAAGTCCGCCATATCTTATGGACAGAGATATTGGTTATGAGCCCTATCATAATTCATTCAATCCAATCTCATTATCCTCTAAGTAGCGAAGAAAGCGTGTCGTTATCACTTCGCCTAGGGCTTTGTTGTGCGAGTGAACAGGCAGTGAGACCAACGTGAAGAACTGACCGTGGCTGGTCCAAGCTAGATGGAGTTTGTTGAAGCCGCCCTCGGCGTAAAAAGAAATCTCACAGATACCTAAACTCTCTACTCAAAAATTTAAGTTATAGATGAGTAAATTGGCAAAAGGAAAGCAAAGGATAAGAGCAGAAATCATAGAAGGGAAGGAGTGACAAAACAGGGGTCAGGATAGGCAATTTTAGTGGTCAAAGATTAGCATACATACATTATTACCTAAAGCCATCTGAATAGTTACCACCTAGGTTTCTATAAAAAGCAAATAGCGAAGTAAATATATCAAAATCCGCTCAAACTGTGGTAATATGGCTTTCCTTGTCTTCTAGAGAAGGAGGGGGTTTATCTCATACCGACCAAAGCAGATAGATTGACGATGGATGTTTCCTATCCATTTATCTAGGTACTATTAGTAAGATTGCTTTGTAGTAGTATACAATTCCAAAATAGTGGATTATCAAACTTACTCGTGTTGATAGAACTCCTAACATACATGGGGTAGCAAGAGTTTGTCTACACCCTGGTTTTTACACCTTGAAAGCTGAATTTTACTTTTTTTTTCTCTCCGTGAAATTATATGTAAGCGGATATATATTATATATTTTTATAGAACGCTAGTATAGACGCGTTCACTTTCATATATATCATTTTTCTATAAGATTGCGATACTGACGAGTCGAAGGCCCTGTCTTATCAAGCTGAGCCTTGTTTTGACGTGTCATATAAGATTTATTGTTGTAAAATTTTGCTAATCCTTCGCAGGTTACAGCCTGGGTATGGGCGTGGTCATCCGACTACTAACCCCCCCCCCCCCCCTCCCCCGCGGTATAGTCTTACCATAAGGACTGAATCCATTATTCAATATTAGAGTACACGGAATATGAGAGACATTGTAGAGACCATCCAACCATCCCGGGCAGTCTATATCTTGAGAGGAAACCTTGTATCTGAGTTGAGCACCTTGAATCACTTTCCAGCAGCGGCACAGCCGTACGACATACGAGATCTCGAAGAGGGCATCTAGTTATATTCTAGATAGCTGAGAAAACATAGCATTATATCTCAAAACTTCATCCATGCACCATTCTCAGAAGACTTTGCTGTGCAAGAATATGCTTTATAGAAGCCTTGTTTGTGTAGTATTTTCAATTATAGGTTTGTACAGATACCTAGGTATCACCAGTTTTATAGTCAACTGATTATATATATTTACACACCCACGTCATGTAGGCGAGTGCCCGCTCCTGGAGTCAGAGCGGATGTCAAACTCGCGAGTACAGTAGATTCGATCCCCCAGAGGCACATCTTCCCCATGATCCCGTTGTTCAAACTTTGCGGTAGATTCCTGGATCGCGAGGCTTTCAACATCGGTGCCTCGTTCGTTGCCCTTGCCCCAAACCTGGAGTGGAATATTTTCCACGCGATCCAGATCCTCTATAGTCCCACCCGTAGACTGATTTATCGCCTCTTGGCTAGAGTGTCCTACATTGCTATGCCTAGTGAGAGCAGTACCAGTACCCTTTGCCGAAGCACGCAGACCGGATCGAGACAGATGAAAGGGGCGTGTTAACGAAAAAGATGCACGGGACTGTGAGCCGGCGGCCTTCAAGTAGGAATTGCCTTCCTTGTTGTCGGTGTCCCGTGATGGCCGTCCAGGGGTCCCCTGGTACTGGAAGGCTCTCACACCAAACAGCTTCCGGAGGAGCGGCCACCAGCACATCATATTAGCGACAAATATAGCAGTGCTGGATTCGCGTATATACCAGATCTGGTACACAGTGGTCAGGGGCGAGGCAAAGTTGAAGTATTTATTCAGGATAGCCGCAATGATCGTGAAAAGACCCAAGCTCATCACACAGAGTAACAGCATCTTCCGGCGCGGTGGAAACCTCGCCCTAACGATGAGCGGTATCGGAATGGCAAACATAACGGCGTCCGATGAGATGTTGAAAACTGCCTGTGTGATTGAATAGTTTTGGTACGTGGCGCACTGTAGATTCGACACTGGCAACGCCCAATATTGCGAGAAGGGTCGGCAGTACACGGCATAGTAGGTAACCATAATCACGACGAAACCAAATGCCACATAAACGGCAAGAATCTTGACATAGAGGTTCGAGGGCAGGTTCTTGGTGATCCGCCAGTAGAGTATCAACAGGCAGACTTTCACCCCCCAGGTTACAAAGAGCATGCACTGTTCTAGCGCAATTACAATTTTGCTTCCAAAGATGCGTTCGCGAACTTCTTCGGGGTCAGAGAGTACCTCATCATACTCGCTCGGATCCATCAAATTGGTCGCGTATTTTGCCGAGATTTGAATCAAGATAAGCAAGGACGTATATAATATCTATCGGGGCCGGATCGGTAGTTAGTCGAGGGTCATGAATCGGGCCAAGGCAGAGGACTTACAAATGTTGCCGTCATCACATAATCGTCCCCTGGAATATGCGATTGAGCTGGTGAGTTATGGCCCAAGCGAAAGGAAGTAATTCTGCGCACATGATATCCCCTGGATTGACATATTTGCCATCAACCGGGAGGCCCTGTTCATAAAGTCAATTTCTCCTCCGCGTTTTGTCAATGCCCATGGCGCAGACAGTTCAAACATACATTCGGCCAATATAGAGTACTGCCCCAATACTCCAAAAGATCACAGCTTCCACCAATAGTTGATGGGGCGTGGGCGAGACGTTCCCCATTCTGGCAGGGAAATCGTCGCCCTCGTCAAGTGAATCTACCTCACAAGGTCTCAAGAGTAAACATTGAGTCTGCCATCAAAGGCTCTGGGAATATGGGAGTTGAAAAAATCATCGACAGGTATCAGGAATGGAATTGGGCTTGAAATACGGAATAACCGGATTCAGCGCCCCGAAGGATCGATAGATTCGTTCGAGCGGGTCCATGATAAGAGAAATATCATTTGCTAACCATAATAAATAGGCTGTGCACAAGAGCGCCCCTATGAGAAACATCCTCCCTTCCCCCAAACGAGATCTGATAACGGGGGGAGCAATGGGGGGAGCAATGAAGATGACCATAGGGAAAATGAGACAAGTAGACGTTTGAAGATAGCAATTGCGTCCTTGAATCACACAGCAAGTCTTGGAGAGAAAAACAAAGCTTACAAAGTACCTTTTTTTTTTGCACCAACACCAACCCTGGAGGTACAAAAGTACATATACAATATACAAAATAGTTACTCCGTACTCCGTGCTCCATACAACATATTGTATTTGACCCAGCGGGCCGTCAAAGACCCGCACGGAGCAGCCGGAGCCCATCGGAACTCCCGATATCTTGATCCTTCGAGCTCTTTAGCATATTTCGACGCTAAATGGTGGGGGCCATTTCGCCTGATACGTTCTATTTTTTTATTTATTCATCGATAGAAGACTCCTAGTTTGACATATCAAAGTGCTTACTTTTCTTCACAAGTTCCCGGAGATCTGGACTACCGTTGGGTCCAATATCATTTGTTACTCTACGGAGTAGGCACATAGAATCCAACCCTAAAACGTTCCTACTAACAAGTGGGGGGTCTCATTTATATTAGATTGGGCTATGGCCCGCTAATTTCGACTTGAGGCCATGAACTAGAATAGGGGCCAGATTTTTTTTTTAAAGACATTGCACACTCTTATCATCGTGCTATATGTATCCACTCGTCCTCAACGAATGGGGAAGCTTTTGCAATTTCTGGCAGGCTTTTATGGGACTGGGAGAATTTTCTCAAGCTGCTATTCGCATGAGGATATTCCCAAATATGCCCCGACAATAAAACTCAAAGAAGTTGACGCTTATTCGACCTAGCGAAGCATCGTCTTTTACTATTTTTTTTTTCTCTTCTCTCTTTCTAGATTTTTCTCTAATTCCGTTCTTGTCGCCCTTGTTGCCCTCCTTCTTGACCTCGATTGATATCATTTGACAGACAATATGGTGGGCGCTGAGAAGCAAGCTGCCCAGGTCGGCGAGACTAGACCAAGGACCAGCACGGAGATAGACACGGTGCGCCTGGAAGCTGCTCTTGGTCATAAACAGGAACTGGTGCGAAATTTTGGGCTGTGGAGTGTGACAAGCTTGGGGATTGTGATCGCCAAGTTAGTGATTTGAACCTTTTCCTGTCCACCTTGACTAATTTGGATATTTACTAGTTCCTGGGCCGCAACTGGTGGCACAATCGTAACTGCACTTATGAACGGAGGCCCGATGGCTCTTATCTATGGTTTGATACTCGTGAGCATCTTCTATACGGCGATTTCGGCCTCATTGGCCGAATTAGCATCTTCTATGCCCTCCGCAGGCGGAGTATATTACTGGTCCACGGTACTAAGTGGGAAGCATGGCCGCGCCGCCGGATTCTTTACGGGCTATTTGAATGCATGCGCCTGGCTCCTCTCGGCCTCGTCGATGAGCTCTATGCTAGGCAATGAAGCGGTTGCCATGTATTTGCTTCGGTATTCTGATGTTACCTGGCAGTCGTGGCAGGTGTTTATTGTGTTCCAAATTGTCAATTGGACCTGCTGCGCAATTGTTTGCCTAGGAAACCGGTTTATCCCTCTAATCAATCGAGTCGCATTGATTCTATCAATGACCGGGCTCTTTGCAACTGTGGTGGTCCTCGCGGCGATGCCAAAGACACACGCGAGCTCTTCGCAGGTATGGACGCAATACTATAATATGACTGGCGGCTGGTCCGATGGGGTGTGTTTTATCACGGGGCTGCTTAATGCTGCCTTCGCCGTGGGGGTTCCTGATTGTATCAGTCATTTATCTGAAGAGGGTATGTTAAATGTGTTAAATTCCGCATATCTCGTCCCAACTATCAAGTGAAGATAAATAGATTCTAACTAGCGATATTATTTCAGTTCCTAAACCACAGATCAAAGTCCCCCAGGGCATCATGATACAGATGTTGACGGCCTTCACTACCTCCTTCGTCTATCTGATCGCCCTTTTCTATTCGATCCAGGACCTCGATGCGGTTTTCAACACTAACGTGGGCTATTTTCCTACTGCTGAAATCTACCGGCAAGCTACGGGATCCACCACTGGTGCTATCGGACTCATTGCGGTGCTCTTTGTGGCTACCTTCCCGACCCTAATCGGTACCTTCGTGACTGGAGGACGGATGTGGTGGAGCTTAGCCCGGGACAACGCAACGCCTTTCTCAACCTATTTTGCCCAGGTGCATCCTACATTGAACTGCCCCGTGCGTGCTACCGTCGCTATGAGCGCACTGGTTACCTGTATCGGCTGCATTTACGTCGGTAGCACAACGGCATTCCAGGCCCTCATCTCGTCCTTCATCGTGCTGAGCACTTTATCTTACTTTGGTGCTATCCTCCCTCACGTGTTGACTGGCCGTCAGAATATAGTCCCCGGGCCCTTCTATATGGGTAAGACCCTGGGAATGGTGGTGAATATCGTCTCGTTGGTGTATATCCTAGTCACTGTGATATTTTTCTGCTTCCCATTCGTAATGCCTGCAACCGTTCAAAGCATGAATTATACGAGCGTCATCACTGTCGGTTTGATGACATTGACCGCATTGTGGTGGTTCGTCCGAGGGAGGGCCGAGTACCGAGGCCCACACTACAGCTTCGAGGTTGCCAAGCAATTGACCTCTGTTCAAACAAGCAAGGAGAGCGGCACTCCTGTTATGGTTCCTATGGAGGGGTCTACGGCAGCTGACCATGGTGAACATAGGCGGTTAGAGTGAATGCTACTCCTGCGACGAGTATGAGAAAAGGGGAGAGATCCGAGTTCTAACGCTCCCTATGTTGTGACTTCCTGTTATATATTTACGAAACAAATTTCTCGATGAATGTGAATACATTGTGGCCGATATATCACATATAGATATACTCACCAGTTCCAGGCTATAGCTCGAGAGTGCCGAGTGCCTTTTCCATGTACATACGGTGGTGGTGCTTCAGTGCTCTGGATTGTGCTCTAATAAAACATGAATCCTACGGAGTCAGTATCTCTAGTTTGGTTGCTCACGTCTCTACTTCTCTCATTCGTCTTTATGATAGCACATACATGCAGTTTCTCTCTTGCTTGTCGATACACTTCTTGTAGTAGCTATCTCCTAAAAATAGGTCATCGCTAGCAACGAGGAACTGATGAACACCGTGCGCGCAGCCCTAAACTTTTACGGGTTGTATTGCGTATGGAATATGTTCATCGAGAAGATGATTAATTGATCTGGACAGCCGGACTCTACTTGACCAATCATTCGCTAGGTAAAATTATTACCTCTCTCACCCTGGTCTCTTATGTTCTAGACTTTTCCTATAACGCCAGTATTGACTAACAGTGCCGTTTTAAGGGCGCACTGGAGTTTCAACCAAAAAGAAAAAAAAAAGTATATTCAAAAAAATGAAAACATACAACAGTGAGGATTCGCTGGTGGTCACCCACCCAACTACTAACTCACCGGCGTGTGGCTTAAGTACGGCTGAGCGGACGGGAAGCCCTGTTTTCCACACCCTATGGTCGTATGTGAAAAGAATTGTATGAGAAGGAGACATACGATTAATACAATTAGGTGGTTCAAATGAGGGTGCCAATTAGGATGAGAATCACCCTGGGTTGCGCGGCATCCTTTCAGCTGAGTGGACCATAGGCCTATAAAACAATCGGTCATCTGCAAATTGCCATTGGACATGGCTCAGCTTAGTGCTCTTGTTGGCTGTCCTCAAATGCCTATGATAGGGTTGAGCTACGCTGAGGTTTTTGCGTAGAGCCTCAAGGGCTCGCGGGGTAGTAGAGTCTCTGGCAGCCGTGGCCTACTGGCATGAACGCGGTGGATCTGGAAGTGAGGGCTGGTTGAATCCCCGTGTACACAAAATTGACTTGTTCTAGGGTATAGAGGCAAGAATTGTCATAGTTGACCTGGGGCGCATGAACGAGCTCGGATTCATGCGTGAATATCAGTGGCTCAGCGTGGCTTGTAGTTGCGGCCGCTTTCATTTTTACATTTTATACAACCAATCAGACGATAAGAATTCCTTGAATCGCACGCCAGTCAGTTTTCTTCGTCAAGACCATGCTTCATGAAGTGCACCAGTGACAATAAACTAGCTTGCTAGCAACAGATTATTCTTACCTTCGAGGAGGGGCGAGCTGCTCGGTATCGTGACAACCAACATCACCCCATCTCGTACTACAAACAGACACGTTCGTTGATCCAATGTGGAGAATAGACAGTAACGAAGGTATTCCGCGTCGAAGTTGTGATTTGAATGCGGCCGCAGTAATTGGAGGTATGACTTCAGCTCAGAACGTAGAGGCCCAGGGTCAAACCCTTCAAGCTTTCGGGTAAAGGTAAACGATTTCATCATAGCAGGGCCGTAACAGAATTCGTACCAGGTTAGCAGACTAGGAGTCTCTTCGTTTGAGCCGGCAACATTCGTGCCTAGGAGGATTCGATCCTCTGGATCTTCGTTTCCCTCTAAATCTATAGCTTCATAACCATTTTCTTCACTCAGGCGCTGTTCCCATTCGAGAGACGGAATAAGCCCACCGTGAAAAGTTGGTCATATTGTAGAATGGAGATTGGTCGCCATGGTCGATGGGCTCGAGAGGAACGTCAGAGTCGGACAGTCGACCTATTCTATGCTATCTGATTTCTTTTACAGACTTCTGTAAAGGGCATGAGTTGAATACCCAGAGAGAAGCCCAAGACAATTATTTGGAGGGTAAACAGTCAGCAAATTATAATAATCAAAAAGCAACTATATTGATCCTCGTCCCCTGTGATGATCGTGGTTTCTGCAGACGTCACGATATTTCTAGCAAGAAGCTGACGAACCAAGTTCATACCAGTGACGATGTGCGCACCGCTGAAGAAGGAAATAGAATTGCCGAGGTTCTCTTTCTTCATTGCCATTTTCATGGTGCAAAGCCTTGTTTAACCTATAGTGCTGGCGATTGGAGTCGTTTACTCTTTTAGCAACACTACCGGGGTCTGTGGGCTGCAAAGACCCATAATTCAGCTAGCCTACGTAGAAAACATGCTTGGTAAAGGTGTGAATGTCGATAGTTAATCGCCGCTGGGGTTTGAGTCTCCCAACTGACATCCCTGCCTTTAGCATGCGGGTAGACAGCGGCAACTTTGCCTGCCGCTTGAAGGGATTGTCCGTATTGGTTGCTATGACAGTTGAACCAAGCTGCTACTCATTACTAAACAGTCTGAAGAGAACTAGAAAGAAATAAGCCAATGTAGGATGCAGATCGGTCTCCTTGCACATAGCTGCCTTGTTAACGCCGACAAATAAGGGATGCAAAACATTGGTAGATCTTTGGAGTCCCGATACCATTACGATGGTATCTCGTAGATGACAGCATCAGCGAGATCATAGATGGCTACAGCCTCCTCCTTTTCCACTTTTGGTGTGTCGGCTTACCTACCCTTATGAATAAAAGCCGATTCAAGAACAGAACAAGACTTTTGATTCAGAGCGGGACTTAGAACGGAACTAGATTCAGTGGCAAGGTAGGCGCGGGGATATCCTCTGGATCAAGGGATATTGGACTTTGGACCACATTATAAAATTGAAGAGCAACTTGGGTATATAAGAGACCAAACAAACCTCCAAAACGTGTAAAAAAAAAAGAGGTGCGACTAGAAGAAGAGCCTGATAGAAGAAATCGTTGCACTGCAACATGTTGGAATAAAAGGAAACCGAGATATATATAAGGGGCTCACAAACCTCCGTGTGAAATGGGATGAAAAAGAACAAATGTCGCTTTGACGTGTGGAGATACATGAATATTCAAGGGTGGAAGATAAAATCACACGAACGTTCAACGTGCACTAAAGTTGGGATAGAGGGAGGTGGTCGGAGAGAGAAAAGGGCTATTTATGGTAAAAGAAACCTGAGGCAAAGTCCACAAGTGGGAATGAAAAAGGACGAGAGTGAGGTTAGTTGGCCGGGCATTGACCAGGGCCGTAAACTCTTGAAGCTGATGCTACCTACAAATGCAAGTATGCAGAACTTCAATGAGGCTGAGGAATAAAACCCTAATGACACTGGTCAAAAGGGTGCCATGATACACAGTCTTCTACGAAGCTTACGATGGGGGATGGTGAAGAAGAAAGAAAGAAAGAAGGAAAGATGGAGTGGGATGCAGACAGGTGGTATAGCAATACGACCTTTGTCTTGCGAGTGGGCTTCACAAGATCTCAGCACCATTTCAATTATGATCGTACATCTTCCTCTGATTGTGTAGAGTGTGGTCGATTTAAGGAATGGGTTATTTCACAGTAATATTACGCCTAACCACCAGTGATCTGTAGGTGCATGGCCCAGTAATCGAGATATAATGTACTCAGAACTCGCAAGCCATGAGGGTCCATAGCATTATACATGGAAACATTCACTATGAATCCACTTGAAGACGTGCCTGTGCAGTTCATAAGTATTTTCTTCATGTAAGCGGACGTGCCATCGGGGTTCAGCCATAAATAATCTTGCTGGGCCTGCCTCGGGGGCGCTCACGCCCAGAGATCCATCTTGCTTACAGTTTTTATAGTAAGCTCAAACTGTGGTCTGTTTGGAGGTTATCTACCAATAAAGACCTTAATTGACCCCATATCTACGGCTAACTATTCACCTACACTCTATAATCCTCTCCGGTATTGTTCCAACCACATACGACCATAGGGTGTGGAAAACAGGGCTTCCCGTCCGCTCAGCCGTACTTAAGCCGCACGCCGGTGAGTTAGTAGTTGGGTGGGTGACCACCAGCGAATCCTCACTGTTGTATGTTTTTTTTTATTTTTCAAACAATTTTGTACTTTTGATGATACATATCTTTAGCCCCCCAAAAATGTGGGGAAGTGGGCATCTGATTTTTGTACTCTGTACCCGTAGACCTTTCTATACTAAGCATCAAAAGCTGTCGGGCGTATAGGGGAATAAAACATCTCAGGGCTGATATATCGTGGAAGATTAAAAGAATTCAGTTCCATTCAGACCAAATAAAAAAAGAGAGTCGAAAATGGACATGGGATGATTAGATATGAAGTTCATGTGAAGGGAGACTTCATTGGGTATACTAGCTATATATCTACACATACAGCATATAACACTATAACACTACATATAACACCATATATAACACCATATATAACACCATATATAACACTATATATAACACTATATAACACTATAACACTATAACACTATAACACTATAACACTATAACACTATATATTGTATATAGTATACAGGAACATATTGTGGAGTATAAATTCCAAATCACGCCATCTGCACCCCGCCATATTTGATCTTCCCCCACCCCCCTCTATTTATTCTGTCTCTTCATAATAAAATACTGCCTTCTCATCTCTGAATTCCCCATAATCGGCTTCCCCGCATTCCTAAACAATGTCCGAGCAGAATCTCCACTTTGACACCCTACAGCTTCATGCTGGGTAAGTGTCAAATCTCCAATTCAAAAAGACAAATCTAACAGATCAAGTCACGAGCCCGATTCTACCACAAACTCACGAGCCGTCCCCATTTACGCGACCAGCTCCTATGTCTTCAATGACTCGGCTCACGGAGCAAGGCTCTTTGGCCTTAAAGAGTTCGGCAACATCTACAGTCGAATCATGAACCCGACAGTCGATGTCTTCGAAAAGCGCATTGCAGCTCTGGAAGGTGGTGTTGCCGCTGTTGCCGCCTCCTCCGGCCAGGCAGCCCAATTCATGGCTATTTCCGCCCTTGCCCATGCCGGTGACAATATCGTCGCCACGAGCAATCTGTACGGTGGCACCTACAACCAGTTTAAGGTTATGTTCCCGCGCCTGGGAATTAATACCAAGTTTATCCAAGGCGACAAGCCCGAGGATATTGCCGCGGCCATTGATGACCGTACCAAGGCTGTCTTCATTGAGTCTATTAGTAACCCTCGCTACAATGTTCCCGACTTTGAGGCCATTGCGAAGGTTGCGCACGAGAAGGGTGTTCCGGTTGTGGTATGTTATCTGTTGAGAAAGCGGGTGAGGATGTGCGAAGCTTACCAAATCCTACCTTTAGGTTGATAACACCTTCGGTGCAGGTGGTTACTTCGTTCGCCCAATTGACCACGGTGCCGACATTGTTGTGCACAGTGCTACCAAGTGGATCGGTGGACATGGTACTACCATTGGCGGAGTCGTGATTGACAGTGGAAAGTTTGACTGGGGCAAGAACGCTGCCCGCTTCCCCCAATTCGTGGAACCATCCGAGGGTTACCACGGGTTGAAGTTCTGGGAGACCTTCGGCCCAGTTGCGTATGCTATCCGAGTGCGCGTTGAAATCCTGCGGGACCTGGGTTCTGCCCTGAACCCCTTCGGTGCTCAGCAGTTGATCCTCGGTCTGGAGACTCTGAGTCTGCGCTGCGAGCGACACGCAACTAACGCTATTGCCCTGGCTAAATGGCTGCAGAAGAACGAGAATGTGAGCTGGGTGTCGTACCCCGGTCTGGACGACCACCCCTGCCACGAACTCGCAAAGAAGTACCTCCCCCGCGGCTTTGGTGGTGTGCTGTCTGTGGGAGTCAAGGGTGGCGCTACTGCGGGTGCTCAGGTCGTTGACAACTTCAAGTTGATCTCCAACCTTGCCAAGTATGACTCCTTCCCATCCACCTCCCTCAAAATTCCCTACTAACATACTACAGTGTCGGCGATTCTAAGACTCTGGCCATCCACCCCTGGTCCACCACCCATGAGCAACTCACGGAGCAGGAACGCCGTGACTCCGGTGTCACTGAGGATGGAATCCGTATTTCGGTTGGCACAGAGTACATTGGCGATATCATTGCCGACTTTGAGCAGTCCTTCCTAGCATCCAAGGCTTTGCCAGACCGTACTGCTTAAAGGTTATGACACATGTGAATGCTCTCGTGCACGAAGGTGAAATACACCAGAAAGGACACCATATAGCGGCGGCGTCAAAAATTTAGTTATGACCTCAATACGATATCAATGAATATGTTTAAAAGATACATTCTACACGCGAGGCGTGTAGGTAGATTTGCCATGGGAACGAACCATGAGGTAATGTTAAATGAACTATTTGAATTCTCTCGTAAAATTTCGATCCCGAATTTATCCACCTGATTCCACCATCGTGGCGACCTCATGCACAACTATGGAAATTAAGGTAAGAAGAGATGTGCAGAAAGAAAGAAACCTCACCCCGCCAAACGATATGCCTCAAGATAAAATAATAAAAAGTCCAATCCCACAACGCCCTTGCCATGCGCGATGCGCGCAACCTATTTGGACCATATGCACGCATCAATGAGGAATCATGAAAAATCAGTTGCCTTGGCCGCCGGAAGGAGGCTGAGCACCAGGCATACTAGGCTGAGCACCACCCATCATGAAGCCAGGAGGCAACATGGGCATGCTGGCAAAGTTGAAACCATAGGAAGGAACTGCAGGTGCAGCTCCCTGGTTGTTCATGTTAGGCATGTCAAGTTCACCACCCATCTGGGGACCACCACCGTATCCATCACGCTCTGGACGGCGACCGCCGAAACGAGCATCCTGAGGGTTAGGGTTTGTTCGAGTAGAAATTGGGCCCCGTTTGCCGCCAGTATCAGTGGCAATGCGACGGCTGATAGCCTTAGAGGAGACACCTGCGCCGATCTCGATGTCGGGCTCCTCAACAATCATTCCAGATTCAATAGGACGTCCACCAGTTCCGCCATACTCTGCGGAAATCATCCACTTACGATCAGCCTCTGTCAGTCGCTCAATCGGAATGATGCTAACTCCAGTTTGGTAGTCGCTGCAGTCACGGGGACCAAAGCCAACACCCCAACGAGTCTATATCGATAAAGTCAGTGACAAGGTCCAACCACCCGTAGAGGAGTCACCATAAAGGGAGTAGGAAAGAAAAAGACTTACCCTAAGTTGCATCTCGCCGGTACGGTAAGATTCCATTCCATCGCGTGCCTGCATCGCATCGGTACGGCTAACCATCTTGATAAAAGCGTGGCGCTTGTCCACGTTCACGATGCAAGTTTGAACAATTCCAAACTGACCAAATAGCTGACGCAGATGAGCCTCGGAGGAGGTGACGCCACCAACGAAAAGAGTTCGGCTCAAAACTTTGATCATACCCTGACCAATCGAATAGTCCCATTCAATGAACTTGGGTCCAGGGGGAGGAAGGTTGGGATCCTTGTTACGAGCAGGCGAAGGTGAGCGACGTCTACCACCAGCAGCACCGCCACGGCCACCAGGAGGGCTACGCTGACGATACTCATTACCACGACGGCTACGCGCATCACGGGGGTCTCCGCGACGACCAGGGGATTCACCATATTCTCCATAAACAGGGCTGTCGCGACGGCGAGGGGGTGAAGCAGTACGGCGTCTATCCCAGCCTGGAGAGCGAGAACGACGACGATATCCAGTGGGTGGCGAGCGAGGGTATTCGCGGCCACGATCATCCTTCTGGGCGTCTGAATGACCCCATCCACCAACATTCTGTCCTTGCATCGGGTTGAATCCAGCCATTGGTCCACCAGGCATCGTAGGCATCCCAGGCATTGCGGGCATACCAGGCATACCCGGCATACCGCCCATGCCATTGTTGTTGGTCATGCTGAATAGCTGCAAGGCAGTTCCCCACTGGTCCTGAGGGATGCCCTGGGCAGCAAGCATCTGGAGTAGTTGGAGTTGCTGTGCCATGGCGTTCGAGTCGGGTGCGGGTTGCGTAGCCTGAGGAAGAATCGCAGTCAACGGGTTCGCGGCGGCCATCGAGATCGGAGTTCCACTTTGGCTCTGTGGCTGTAGAGCAGGGTTCTGAGCCATGCCGGCCATACCCGCGAAGGGAGGCGCGACAGGTCCACCAGCGCCGAGAGCGTTCATGGTAGCAGCCATATGCGAATTCGGATCATTGGCAGGTGTCACGGAGGCCGAGTTGAAGGCACCCAGAGGGTTTGCCGGTGCAAGAGCCGAAGGGGCAGCAGGCGCGGTAGTGTTCTGCTTAGCCATGTCGGCCAAAGCTTTCAGGATGCTCGAGGTATCAGGTGCTGCCGACTGTTGCGGAATTCCGATCGGGTTGGCGTTCGGTGCGGGAGATCCTTCGGGTGTGTTCGATTCGACATCTAATAAATTGTAAGCATCGGCCGCGTGCATTGCCATCCAAGAGGACTTACTTTGGGCAGCATTCAATTTCTCTTTGAACGAATTGAGCATCGGGGACGGGAAGGTCGCACCACGTTCCCAGATGTCGACCAACTTTTTGATCTTGTCCTAAATCATGACGAGATATATGTGAGTTACGTGTTCTGAACGGTCTGGCCAAGACGCCATGATCTTCGAATTGAAATATATTGAGGGCAAGGATACAATATGCAAAGTAAAAGCCCGAAAATAGGCTTGGCCATCGCCAAGGCTGTGATGCTGGGGGGGGGGGGGGGGGGGTAATGAGGTTTATCATGATACAGGTATATCCTATTTTGCGTACCTTTTGGTCATGGGGAGCATTATTGATGATGTCTGTCATCAAGATGGGCAAGAGATCAGTGACACGCTTGACACCAGCGGCGAAAGTTCCATCAGGCGCATCGCCGCCAGGAACCTGGCCAGCCTTGCGCGCGGCCTCTACCCACTGTCGAGTTACTGAGTCTACCACATAGAGCACACCCAGCTTGTGGGAGCCCGGGGCCTTCTTGAAGTGAGTGTAAATTTTCTGGATGAGCACTGATTCATTCTGCGGGCAGGGTTAGCATATCATCTATCACGTCGGGACCAATGAGATGAATCCATCGACCAAAGGGGACAAGCGTACCTGCACGTTGGCATTGCACAAGTTCGTGATGCCACCAATCTTTGAGCCGGATACGCCAGGCGGCTTGAGGGCCAGCATGGATTGGAGAAGATTCTCCAGTTCAGCTACTGCGGAAGACATGGCGGGAAATACTACCGTCAAGTCCACGTGTATGGGGAGTCGCAAAAGAATGAATGAAAAGAGTTCCCAGTCAAGGCTTTATGCAGATGGAAGGAAGCAATCGAGAGGTCCCGGCTACTGCGTTTTTTTTTTTTTTTTTTTTTTTTTTTGACGCGACGGACAATCAATCCCTTGGTATGAAAAAGAAGATATGTTTAATCGAGTCCCTGGCGATTCTTCACTACAGACTCCACGAGCGCATTCACTGTCGACCAGAGAATAGCCGCCTACAGCTGAATACAGCCTAGCGATATTGTGTCCAGGAAGGCTGCCTGGCGCTGAGTACGAGAGTACGGGGAGTACGGGAGATGTACAGCCTAGAACGTCTTTTGCAGTGAGATCCCAGAGAAAAACCAGATCAGGGTTTACGGATTCCAAGAGGATCCAGTGAAGTTCAGCGCAGCGAATGAACTGAGGTCGAGAAACTGATGAAATCGAAATGAAGGAAGATGCTGAGTTGAGGGATGAAGATGAACGGAAGGATCATCAAAGGGGAGAAGACTCTGCGACTTGGCGCTAGTCCCATCATGGCGCAATCACGTGCTGATTGCGATTTGCGTCTTTGGTTGTTGTCCGCAACTGGAACTTTTCGATGTTATGTACTTTCATGAGCAACGAAGTAGAAGACCTAAAAAGACCAAAAAAAGAGAGACCGAGGTGAATGTTAAATGATATTTATTAAGCCTCGGTTCAGTAAATATTATATTTTCAAATATTGACCTTGGCTGAGGTACTACTTTGTACATTTGTTTTATAGTGTTTTTTTTTTTCTCTGTTATCATATATATTTAGTTGGTTTATGGCCGAGAGAAATTATAAAGTCTCCATCAAATTAATGACTAAATATTGTTAAACAATAGAAAACAAACACCTTTTGGTTCCAATTGATTTATCAAACAATAATAAAGCATAACTGACTACCTATAAAGTACTCCGTAGATAATATCTTACATTATTACATGTACAGAGTACATATGTACATATCCAGTATGTGCTGAGCCGAGGAACCCGTGGACATCCCATATTCCCTCCAATATATTTCTGCCCTTGACTGCCGCTCTATAGCTCCCGACCTCGGTGAACCATTTTAGAAAAGCCATTGTACAACCATAAGACCTGGAATTTAGAATCTACAACTACCTGCTTGAGGTCAATGCACTGTGACATATATATGTATACCTACACAGGTAAGTATACTTCCAAGGTTATCTAGGCATATCCATATATTCATCTGATAAGCTCCGAGGGTTTTCAACGCGGACGGATGGCGGCACGGAAGAAAATGGCGACTTACCGACGTCACTGCCTGTATTTAATACGTAAAATTGGAAATACTGGAACCGGGGCAGAATATCCACGGCCGGGCGGGAGGGTTTTGATTATATAAGAAATAATTCATCAAGCCCTGGAGTAACGGAGTAACGGAGTTAGGGAGTACTAAATTGATATATACATTAATATAGTTAGTTATATATATATATATAGTTATGTAATCTCATAATACTAGTATACATGTTAATGTGTTAATTTACTACATATAGTATCTACTAATAATATACTAGTATAAACCTTGGAAAGAACACATATCCCAAATTACATAAACTCCGTATTTCGCCATCTCCAGGGCTACTACGTAGGTGAACACACAGATCTGCCGAGTCCGTGCTCTTCCGTACCGTTGGGGAGAAAATTACACTCTCTAGAGGCACTTCAGGAGCTAGGTATCTATGGCTGACTGAGCTTCCACGGCCTCCCGAAAAGTGACCCAGTTACCGTATCAACGGTACCGGCTGTAATACGGCCAGGCGGGAAAAAACCGAGAAAATTCCAGGCGCAAAAGAGCTCCTCCCCGAATTCTTTCCTTTCTTTCTTCTTCTCCCCCAGGCTTTGTGACCACTCTCCATCTCCTCCATATTACCCATCCCATATATCCTGTCTGATTAGACATGGCTTCTTCCCTCAGAATCGGTACTACCGCTCTCCGGTCTTCCATCGCGAAGCCGGTGCAGTCCGCTGCCTTCAATGGCGTGCGCTGCTACTCTTCCAAGGTTAAGGTATGATGCTCGTCTTTGTTCAGCTTTCATCACTGAGCTTGAACGGAATGCTAACCTGTTTTAATGATCTAGTCCCTCAAGGACACCTTCGCCGACAACCTGCCCGCCGAGATCGAGAAGGTTAAGAAGCTCCGCAAGTATGTGACGCGCCCTTCTTATTCGAAGTCAGACAACAGCTGATCATGGTATTCAATCGTTTCAGGGAGCACGGCAGCAAGGTCATTGGTGAGGTTACCCTCGACCAGGCTTACGGTGGTGCCCGCGGCATCAAGTCCCTCGTTTGGGAGGTAAGTAGAGAAATTCTACCCCTTAGCAAATGACGACGCTGACCTTAATTTTCTTTTTTTTTTCTAGGGTTCCGTCCTCGACTCCGAGGAGGGTATTCGTTTCCGTGGTTACACTGTAGGTTTTGAATTGATTCGGATATTGTTTCTACCTGCTCACTGTTTGCTCACTGTTATTTCTAGATCCCCGAGTGCCAAAAGCTCCTGCCCAAGGCTCCCGGTGGCGAGGAGCCCTTGCCCGAAGGTCTCTTCTGGCTTCTGTTGACTGGCGAGATCCCCTCCGAGCAGCAGGTCCGTAACCTGTCTGCCGAGTGGGCTGCCCGCTCCGATGTTCCCAAGTTCGTTGAGGAGCTCATCGATCGTTGCCCTAACACCCTCCACCCCATGGCCCAGTTCTCTCTGGCCGTGACTGCTCTCGAGCACGAGTCTGCCTTCGCTAAGGCCTACGCCAAGGGTGTCAACAAGAAGGAGTACTGGACCTACACCTTCGAGGACTCCATGGACCTCATCGCCAAGCTGCCCACCATTGCTTCCCGCATCTACCGCAACGTCTTCAAAGATGGCAAGGTTGCCCCTGTCCAGAAGGATAAGGATTACTCCTTCAACTTGGCCAACCAGCTTGGCTTCGGTGGCAACAAGGACTTCGTTGAGCTGATGCGTCTGTACCTGACCATCCACTCCGACCACGAGGGTGGTAACGTCAGCGCTCACACCACCCACTTGGTTGGCAGTGCTCTGAGCTCACCTATGCTCTCTCTGTCCGCTGGTCTCCAGGGTCTTGCCGGTCCCCTTCACGGTCTGGCTAACCAGGAGGTCCTGAACTGGATCACCAAGATGAAGGAGTCCGTCGGCAGCGACATCAGTGACCAATCCATCAAGGATTACCTCTGGGCCACCCTGAACAGCGGCCAGGTCGTCCCCGGCTACGGCCACGCCGTTCTGCGCAAGACTGATCCCCGTTACGTCTCGCAGCGCGAGTTTGCTCTCCGCAAGCTTCCCGATGACCCTCTGTTCAAGCTGGTCAGCCAGGTCTACAAGATCGCCCCCGGCGTTCTGACCGAGCACGGCAAGACCAAGAACCCTTACCCCAACGTCGATGCCCACTCTGGAGTTCTCCTCCAGTACTACGGTTTGACTGAGGCTAACTACTACACCGTCCTGTTCGGTGTGTCCCGTGCCATTGGTGTCCTACCCCAGCTGATCATCGACCGTGCTCTTGGTATGCCCATTGAGCGCCCCAAGTCTTTCAGCACTGAGGCCTACGCCAAGTTGGTCGGTGCTAAGCTTTAAGCGCATGACTTTTCCCCTTTCTTTTTCTTAATATCATTGGGGCCCGTTCAAAACCCGCGTTAGACATTTGTATTATCTCCCTTTTGTTTGACCGAGAGAGTCTTTGGTTTCATGTATGATAGGGACTTGATCGGTTCGAGCGGGCCTTGTAACAGAACTTCCATGTCAAATCATTTTTACCTCAGAAATCGGCGATATATCCCGTTGCATGTCCAAAGTCAAAAATTGCTAAATATATCGAGGATTAAAGGTACAGCGTAGAAGATTCACACGGTCTGACGACTACCTGTGTTGAATCGATCACATGAATATTTGTTGGGAACATTCAACGATTGTCCCCCACATGTGTTAACTCCTAGGAGTGTATACTTAAAAGGTACTCCGTACATATAATACATCTATCTATATATACTTATATACTACTCCGTATATACTACATATATAGTAATGGTGTATAATATTGGTATTTTTTTTTATTTTTTTTAATAAAAAAAAAAGTACGGAGTACAAATTTACTACTTGGTGGATTCCTTCCGGGGCTGGTATGGGAGGTACCGAGTACCCAATGGTATGAGTGGAAACTCTGGAGATCGGATGTACCAGGTACTGGTTATCCCCCAGCTTACTGAAGCTTTGATTTCCCCCCGACCCTATAAGACAATCTACCTTCCTCCTTTCTCCCTCTTCCATTCACTTTTCTACACACTCGCAATCCATCCTCTTTCGACTCTTTTTTTTTTTAACCCTCCCCCTTCTTTAAACGCACGAAGCCCCCTATCTCCCTTGGTCAGGGCCCCTTTCAGCGCATCCATCATCCCAGAATGTCTACAACTACGTCCAACACCTCGGCCCCTAAGCTCGAGAAGAAGCCCGTCAAGTTCAGCAACTTGTTGCTGGGCGCGGGATTGAACTTGTTTGAGGTTACATCATTGGGACAGGTATGGCATACTTCCAATGAATATCTGGTAAATAATGCAAACTAAGACTCCCCTAAGCCGCTGGAGGTGATCAAGACAACCATGGCCGCAAACCGGGGCGACAGCTTCGCAGGCGCTATGAGTCGGATTTGGGGCCGTGGCGGCATTTTCGGTTGTAAGTGTTCATTCAATACCCGCTTCCGAGTCTATTCAATACCCGCTTCCAATTTCCCCCGATATGTCCAGTTAGCGCGTGGGGGAGGACGGACCCGCAAGACTGTGATGAACTCGAACTAATTACGACATCGGATATTTAGACTACCAGGGACTCATTCCGTGGGCCTGGATTGAGGCATCCACCAAGGGTGCGGTTCTCCTCTTCGTCGCCTCCGAGGCTGAATACTACGCCCGGTCCT